GGTTGTATAAGTAAACAATTATTTTTTAGGTGATATTTAAATCTTAGGTAATTTATTTAAGGAGTAATAAATAATAATGATTATTGATTATATCTTTTCAGATCTCATATCGACGGAGACCCTGGCAAAGTGTAAGCAGGGCGTCAAGGTGGTGAATGTTGCCCGCGGCGGAATCATCGATGAGCAGGCTGTGCTCGATGGCCTTGAGAGTGGAAAAGTGGCCGGCGCGGCCTTCGACGTTTACCCCGAGGAGCCACCAAAGTCTGCGGTCACCAAGGCACTTATTAGCCACCCCAAGGTGGTGGCCACGCCCCATTTGGGGGCTAGCACCGCGGAGGCGCAGGTTCGCGTGGCTGTGGAGGTGGCGGAGCAGTTTATCGCCCTCAACGGAACCTCGCCGAAATACACCAGTTATGCGGGCGTCATCAACAAGGATGCCCTAGCCCACTACCAGTGAATGAAAATCGAATTTTATAACCTCAGCACATTATTCTTTGGCCAGCATTTATTAATTAGCTTACAACGATATTTGTAAATAAAAATAATAATGATTTATTCATTCAAAAATTATAGTACGCGGAGGAACCTTCAATTTATTTATTGGGGATGTAATTTTTAAACTTTCATTGCCAGCAAAATAGTACAGATCTCATTTCCCAAAATTTTTTTTAAGCAAAAGTTGATAGTTTGACAATCTGACAATTTAAAACGAGGACGGAAGCTAACTTCGGCAAGCCGAAGTTTTAATACCCTTGCAGACTTTGACAAATTGCTAAAAGTGAAAAAGTAGCGAAAGGAATAAGGTATACAGTATATAAAGTATAAGTATAAGTAAACTAGATTTGCATCGTTTCAAGTCAATTGCTTTTATACTGCAAAAATGTCATATACAAATAGAAAAAAAGGGATACTTTCGCAGCCTTTAACAATTTTTCCTATCTCCTTTAAGATATAGACTTCCGAGCGGCAAGCGCTTTTACCCTAATCAAGATATGCGTAAATAAATAAGAATTGGAAAATTTTATGTTAGTAGCTTACACACTGCGCGAAAAATTCTGATAATCATCAAATTTGTACCGATTTCACCCTATTGTTCCTATGGGAGCTATAGGATATAGACGTCCGATCGGCACGCGCTTTCACCTTGATCAATGTATGCATAAAAAAATAGGATTTGGAAAGATTCATGTCAATAGCTTGTATACTGCGTGAAATATCCTAAAAATCATTAAATTTTAACCGATTTTACCCTTTTGTTCCTATGGGAGCTATAGGATATAGACGTCCGATCGTCACGCGCTTTTACTCTGATCAAGGTACGCATAAAAAAATAAGATTTGGAAAGATTTATGTCAATAGCTTTTACACTGCGCGAAATATCTTCCATTCTTGCAAGTTATATCCGATTGTTCCTATGGGAGCTATAGGATATAGACATCCGATCGGGGCGGTTTTCAAACTTGATCTGCGTACACTTGTTTTAGGACGACTGTGAAAGTTTCAGATCGCTAGCTTTTAAACTGAACTCGCAAACGGTATTGAAACAGACGGACAGACGGACAGACGGACGGACAGACGGACAGAAGGAACATGGCTATATCGACTCCCCTATTGATCCTGATCAAGAATATATATACTTTATAGGGTCGGAAACGTCTCCTTCACTGCGTTACAAACTTCTGACCAAAATTATAATACCCTCTGCAAGGGTATAAAAATGTAAGGCTTGAGTACTAATCTAAGCGTAAAATTGTCATCGAAATACAGGAACTTTAAAGTTGTTTATCATAATAGAGTTTATTTATTATTATCATTTATCATAATAGTAGTTTATTTTTGCTGTGGCTCAAAAAGTCGCGTTTTAAAGTGCATATTTAAAAATCAGCATAGGATAATTGCTCATACTAAAAATTATTTTTGTATAAAGAGTAATTTTGAAGTTGTAGGTGCGTGCATACATGTCTGTGTTTTCCTGGGAGCAAGTTTTATTTTTGTGTTAACATGGCAATGCATGAATATGTACCGGTTATGAGAACTTTTGTTGGCCAATTTTTGGCAGTTTAAGCCCTGAGCAAAAGTGAATTCCTCCAACTGAAACAATATTGACAGGTTGCAAACGATTCACTAGTATTTTAAAGTACTTGAAGTGCTCTGTTGATGAACTAAAGCAATTACAGAATTGAACAGGGAATACTAGTATATATAATTTATTCTGTTTGGACTGTCCCCGCCTAATGGAAAATGAAAACCAACTTAGTTGTGGAGATTAGGGGAAGAGTGCTATGTCGGCATTCTTAATTGCTTGTGTTGTCTGCCTCTATGTTTATTAAATACTACAAAATTTAGCAGACAAACTGTATTTAATTTTATTACTTCTTTCTTATTTTACTCTTTATCCCTCTAGGACAAACTTTACGATTTAACAAATATATTTTATATTAAAAAGCGAGTCCTGTTTTGTATATCAGGATTTAATAAAGTAAAGCATTTTACAGTTATCAGTGGACAATAATAGACACAATTTACAATAAAAAAAATACATTTCGCATGCAAATTTTGGAATTGCAAAATTGATTTCAATGAGCGTGAAAAAGTTATTCGCAAATGGCAATAAAATAAATTACTTTTACGAAGCTGCTTACATTTAAATAAATCGTGACAAATGCAAATAATTTTTGATATTTAAGGTGACATCGGCTTTTGAATATAAATACGAATTTAAGTGACTGGAAAATGTTGTATCAAATATATTCAAATAAATGTGCAAACTGTTTCCGCATGTCCTGCCTTCATTTTAGCAGGAAAGGAACTGTTTCTGTCAATGCATAATTCACGGTACAGGAAGCGCCAACTCGCTTGCAAAATGTATTGTCATATGCAAACAAACCGGCTCAAAGAGTAATATGAATCGTTATGGTCCCATAATCGTTCTTCTCTGGCCGACACACAAAGGAGTATCCAACCATTGGCGACGAGGAACTGGAGTCACTCCGACAAAAGTTAAAATTAAATTTTCAATTCAATCAGCTTACGTGTCGGCTCAAATGGAATCAAATTGTAAGCCAGCATTGAAATTGAACTTGGACTTTTACAACACTCTAGGCAAAATATTAGGTGAATAGCTGACTGGATACACTCCGGTACAACGATATAAACAACATCAAAATTAAATTAAATTTTGAAACCAATTTAATTTAAATTTAAAACGTTTCAAAATAGAGTTTAGTTTTTCAATTCTTGTAATGAAATTCTCCTATTAGTACATTGTGCTATTTTAACAAGTCTTTTTATGTAATTTTTAAAGCTTAAGGACTACAAAGTAATAGAAGAAACAACAAAAATATATATTTAAAATATACGTAATAAATCATTTATAGCCTTACGATTATGAACCGTACTGTCGATCTAATTGAACCGCTTCCATTGTGTATCGGAATTCAATTGCAAATTACCTCTTACGAGGCTCTTGAAATTAAAAACTCGAGACAGGTGCTGTGAAAATGACATAAAAAGATATATGATGCCATTTGCGAAGCCTACGGAAATTTAATTAGAAATCGAAACCAAAAGCATGTAGATAATTGTACAACGCAAGTCATGACAATATTTAAGACATCTATTTCCTAGAAGTCTGCGTTGTACATGGCAAAGTGTACAATAAAGCATTTGCATTTGGATTTCCGGTTAAGAGTCCTCGTGGCAAGCTAAGTTCGGATTACTCTGAAAAGCTCTAAAATTGCCACCAAATTTGGAGGTTCGCTGTCCTTGAACTTGAATTACTGCAATGCACCCAAATAAAGGGTGTCCTTTTCCATGAATGAATATATATAACAAAATTAAAAGATACTAGTGTTTTTATGTTAAAAAAAAATCCTGCGAATTTGGAAAATAAATAATTGCTAAATTTTAAAAACAAGCCAAATCGGTAAACGAAGTAAAACAAACCACTGAAGTCAATTTAAAAATAAGTCCCAATTACTATTATTTACGGTCGCAGTTTAAAATGTATAAATATGTATACTTAGGTTTCAAACGATTTTTTTAGGGTTTTATTAAAAGTGTGCTTTCTGAAACACAATTCACCTCCACGCTTTGTAATCGAACGAAATGTTTTTTTCGGAATTTATCCATATTGAAAACCAGACAAGGACTTCCCCTTAAAAGAACCCCAAGCTACTTTGTTTGCAATGCGCCCAGACCATTAGTTGTAGATTCCTTAAAGCCTGTGACGCAATAAAACCAGGGAAAAACAAAAGATTATTCCCATAATTGACTGCCAGTAGAAAGGTATTATTGTCATTGGATGGCTATCAGGAACAGGGAAATAATGTGCTCAACAGGAGGGAATCTAAGCGACCTGGCATGACCCAATCATGGATTCCGTTGTAAGTCTGACAAGTCATCATTGGGGTCACTCTAAATTTGAAACAAATGATTTTTGGCCGTCAACAGGAACAAATAAACAAGGTCCTTAGCATCCTGTCCGACTGACCAACGGCAATGGACGAAATGCCCACGGACGGTGATACTCGTGCTGACCCGGCCGCCCACTTGTCCCGTTTTTGATCCCCGGGTTCTGCTGATTTTGTCATTCATAGACCACTTAATTTTGGCGCGACCCAGCCCCCAAACTCAGTCTCCCCTTCCCCCGAACCGGAACCGAAACGAATCCCGCCGAAGGACACGAAGCACGGAGGCTATAAAAGCGAAGGACCACTGCCAAACGAATCCAGTCTGTGACAGACTACGGGCGTGTTGAATTGCCGGAACGTAATACGGAAAAGCGGAGCAACAAGTTGAATCTTGGACCCAGATATACGCACACCTGTTGGGATAAAGGAAATGGGATTTGACTAAACAAATGACTGCCGTTCGTCGTTCGGGCACCAGCAGCTGCCAGGACCATGTGAATATCCTCGACCATTAAGTGCTTCACAGTCGGTGCTCGGTAGTCGGGTTGTCAAATTGTCAGTGGCCCGTGTCGGTGTCAGTTTCGTGGAAAATAAAACTTTATTGCCTTTGAGGATGCCACGCTTTTACGCCTCCACCACTGCACTCTTCTGCATCTTCGTCCTTCTCGGCTGTCAGTGGAGCAGCAGCAATCCTTTGGCCTCCGGAGCAGCTGCCTCCACGCGTCGCCTGTCGGACACGATAAATATTGGATTCCTGGCTGAATACTCCCAGATGCGGGTGAGTAAGCGAAGCTCTGGTCGCGGCCTAAAGTTCCTCAAAAATTATCCAAAATTATTTTAAATTGATTCTTGCGGTAATTATATATGTTCATGAATAAAACATCAATCTGTCACATTTGCAATTCAAATGCCAATCTCGTTTTGGGCCACAAGTCAACGCAACCTGTCCCAAAAATATCATGAAATTTATAGCTCAGCATAATGATTGACGATTGTGCTGCCCCAATCAAACACATCATGTGTCCCTTGAGCCATTTCACTGCAATACTCTAACAATGATGGCCACGGTTCTATTCATATTGTTTTTAAAGTAAATCAGTGTTTATAGATCATTAAAAATTTTATATTTAATAAAACAAAACTCAATAAAATAAAAAAAAACACTTTGAAAGAAACATTAAATATAAGGACTAAATTGAAGTTTAACATAAAGTAACAGCAGTGTATTTTCCTTGGGGCTATTTTCCCAACAGCTTTCCCATCTTGTTTTGATTTTCAGATATTTTTGAAAGAGGATTGACAGCGCTCATCTCGTCTGTGATAGAAAAAAAGAAATACATGCATGCATTTTTTCTGAATTTAATTGGTTCCCGGAAAAAGCGAATAGTAGTCTCCATACTTTTTATGATGGCCCAAATTTATCTGCACGAAATAGAAAGCTTAAAAGCAAACCCATCAAAAGTCCGTCTCTTCATCATAAACTGACCAAAGCCAAAGGACTCCCAATATTTCGACATTTTTTTGGGCTTGCGAGATATACATAAATAAATACGGATCATAAAAATATATTCAGTTTTCTGTAAGCTGACAAGGGTTTCCAAATCCTTTTTATGGGAGTGATGGGTTTCATTAAAATGAATATTACAAATTTATTGACAACTATTGACTTTTTTACTAGCAGCTACTAACTTTATGCAAACTTATGCAACTTCGATAAAGAAACCAAATTAAGTTATAAATCTGCAATGCGGAATTCAATTAAGGCCTTTTATATTGATCTGTAAACGCATGTTGGCCGTAGGTCAGTTTATCCCGAGTATTATTTATGTTCTCTTATTTGTTTTTCTCGTAAATAAATGTTTTTCCTTAGTGGAAACTCATGCTTGCTTGACCTTTTATTTCATTAAAACGACAAACGATGGACTTCGCTGGAAAAATAAATATTAATCTGTAAAGAAGTCGGTACCATACTTTCTTAATTAGTTTTTTTAAGTAAAGAAAGTGATGTTTTCTTTTTACAGAGTTGTTTCTCAAATTAATTTATACCAAAATCATTACCCCAAAGCTTGAAATTTATTTTTAGAAAGGTAAACATTTGGAAGTAAGAGATTTCTTAATTGATGGTCGTAAAAACAGCTTTAATTCGTTTGGGCACCATTAAAGAAACTTAAGATGATGAAAAACTTTTTCTCTGCCAGGCTTTCAATTCCTTTCTAATTATTCTGTAATTGGTAAAGAAGTATTGCCTTTTAAAAAATAGGATTTATACAGAAACTTTAAGCTAGATTAACTAGATATTACTCCTTTTAAAATATTTGTCGTAATTAATTAATAATGAAAATTCAACGCGCGAAATATTATGTAGCGTACTGGCTACAATTTCAAAGCCAAGAAACTAAAGCAACAAATCCTCTTTGGTTTTTGTGTGGGTGGCTCTATTCTTTTTCCTACCCTTTCTCCTCATCTAAAATCAGCATCCTGTTACAAAAAAGTATATTTCCGTATAAAAGCTTAAAGGATGCGAATATTTAAAAACGGAATAATTCTTACATTTCCACTTTGATTGTAACCATGCTTAAGCTTAAAGCTCATCTCAACAACGGTTCACAGTTACTATGACAGCTTCGTCCTTAATTGGAAAGCGTTCATGCTATTTTTCTAAGCCGTGCTTAAAAGTGACCTAGAAGCACTAACTACATATGTGCATATTGGGTAAATGCTAAATGTAATTAGGTATATTTTGATATTTTATAACAGCTATACATTACAAGGATGTTGAAAAAACATACTTTATTTACTTAAGGTTAAGATAAAAACTGACGTGCATGCCGGTTCTATCTGACAATTTAAAAACTAAAGTACTAATTTGCTGATAACGTCAGCTAATTTCGGCTGAAATGACAATTGCTTAAATAGCTTTAATTCATGAAATGAATACGTCTTTTTAAATTCGATTTCAGTTTAATACTCACTTACTTACTACTGGTCTGTAAATCCAAATGTTTAACCAACATATGACTTTAAGGCGAAAAATAAATGGAAGTTAATTTATGGCCCTAATAATTACGAAATCTACCTAAATTTCAATAATGACTGTCACAAGTGGCTTAACCATTTTAATTTCCTGCCAAACTCGCAGCATGACCTTTAAGATTCTGGTACGTGAATGCTGCTTAAGAGAAATATGTAGACCTGTGATTATGATATGGTTAATTGGAAAATTTGTGAGTGAAAAAACAATGGCCTTAATTACTTTTTAATTTTTTTTGTGGGAGATGAAAGAAGCCTATGTGTGCAATTAAAAAGACTCCTCCCTTATACATTCAGTGCAAGTTCTTTAATATAAATTGAAATGTTTTTTTAATAAACATTATGAACTAATAACATTAATCAACTTCTAAATTTTATTATTGGTGCCACATCTATTAAATGAATCACAATTTTATGGTCTGGTTATTTGCGCAATCAGCCATCAAAAACCATAATTTGAGGGACAATTCGATTTTAATATTTTAATTTGTTTCCATTGGAATTGACTGGCGAAAACCACAAATAAATCAGTATTTTAATTGGTATTAGTGGTTTTTTCTATGACTCACCACCTTTTTAATTTAATTTACTAAACCAAATACTGTGACAAGAGGAGGGGATTTCGATACTGTTTATTCAAAGAGGAATAATTAGTTCATTATGGTTTATTCATAATCAGCATCCACAGTTTACCTAATCCAAATGGTATGGCCGGCAGAAAAAAATAAATTATTATTATAAATATTAATAAACAAATGTCTTTTTTTGTTCCAATAATAATAATTAGGGCCAAAAGCTAATTAAAGCTGGTTATATTTTAATGATTTTAAAAACATTTAAATGAAAATAAATTTCTGTTTTATTTGACGTCAGCTTTAGTGTAAAGGTTCTAAGTTTAAATTACAAAAAAACTTCTGCTCCAAGTTAGCTATTTTTTTTAAACAGTTTCGTTGACTGTCTGGCTTAATCCATTTGAAAAATACTTACAAAATTTTGTAATTTTTGACGCTAACATTATGCGCGATTATATTCCCAACTTTATACGTTCGCATCGCTGCCTCTGCGTATTCATCATGCTGCAACTGACATTGATGCTGTCTATGTTGGAGGTTATAATCCAAGTTGACCCATCGCCGGAGCCTCAGCGACCTCTGACCCGAGTTTACCTAGTGGGCAAGTTGAGTCAGCTGGCCTGCAGTCCACTGCTCTCCGGATTCGCAATGGGTGCCCAGTTCTACGGATACGGTCTGATCCACCTCCGCACCAAGGGACCCCTCGGCGGATTCCTCTCCAGACTCCGGATGGCTGCTCTGTCCGTGTGGCAGCAGTGCAGTACAGTGATGCTTCTGCCCTGGTGCTTGAATGTCGTCCAGGGACTCTGCCTCTTTCCCGCTCACCTGTGGGAGTGCCTGGGCAAGGACTCCTGTCTGGAGGCCGACCACTTTCTGCTGTTCATGATCCTGTCGATCCTGTTCTGGAGCAACCTGCTGATCCTGGCCATCACCAGTCTCGTTGTCGCAGTGAAGCTCAACCTACGGATGTTAGGTGCCCGGCACATTGGAAGCAGGAATCACGAATTGCGAGCCTATGCCCAGGGCATCAACGAACTACTCGGCTTTGAAATGATAGTTGTGCCCGTGTGATGGCTACATCTAGCAACTGTGTTATCTAAAAAAGTACTCTTAATATTATATATTTTGTTACTAAATTTAAAATTGAAATTAAAATATTACATTTTGGCGGTCCCCAAAATTATATGCTTACAAAATCTCAATTAAAATTTATTTATATTTATACTTACTACTTTTACTTCTCTCTTTAATTCGGAAGACCGCCCACGTAGTGACGGAGCGAACCGAGAGTGTGTTGTAAACTGATCCATCAATTTAAATACTTCTTATTAAATCATTAATTTTTAACCTATAGATTGCAATATAAGAATATATAAAATTTTAATAGCCATTTTTTAAATAACATAGAATTATATTTACATAATAAATTGCACAAACGCACATTTTGGTCTAAGAAATTTTTAAAAATTTCATCCAATTTATTTTATTTTTCGCTTTAGTTTGTTTAAAACTGTATAAGTAAAGCCTCTACAATTATTCTTTCTAAAAGAAGTCGTTTACCGCGGTTTTCATAAGGAAAAGTTTCTAGCTAGCAAATTCAAATTTAGTTTCAGACTTTTGCACACTCACACAGCTACACAAATATCCCAAGGAAAAACAAGTATCCTGAATCTTATGCTTATCATTCATATTTGGGGATGCATTTCTGATTCCACCTTATTCCTCATGAATTTCTCCACATATGAGTTCAGGTTCGACTGGGAATTGTTACAGCTGAAAGTAACAAACGTTTCTTGAAAAAATGCCGAAAAGTTCACACTCCCTATTTAACGTCTTAATAAATTTTATTTTAAATAAACGGGCAAATCCTGTTTAGGCCTAGCAATGTGACAATCACACCAACATACAAAATTTATGATACAATATCTTGTTACGAAAAAGAATTATACAATGAACCAAACATAAACACTAATTCCTAAAAGGTTTTTGTTTAGCAAAAAATATACCTGTATAAAAAAATTAATAATTTTAGGAAATGTATTTGTTATTGTCTAACGTAAAATGTCCAAAAATTTTAAATTATAAATTTTGTATGTTAAAGATGTGGGCGTCACAAGTTTTTTACCGTGTTAAGAGGTGTTTTTGGTTTGATATGTATAAATATAAATTTCATGTTTCCGTAGTCAAGAAAAGTTTTTTTTTAATTTCTATCAAGAAAGTTGTCAGCGCCTGAAACTGATTTTCTTTGTATTACAAAAATTTATAACGAGAAATTCTTAAATTATCCCCCACCGACAAAGATGCAGCCAAGTGAAAATATTAGTTGTCTTGCATTGCTTATGTTTTCCCTCCCTTTGGTCCTTTAACAATGAGACAACATGCATAAATTAAGTAGCATTGCACAACGGGGAGTTCATTTAAGAAGCATGTTTCCATCGTAACCAGCCACTACTCATTACTGACTTTAATTTGGCTTACTTTATATTAGGTGACGCTGGGAGGACTGCCACTGGCCATCGAGGATGTGAACAAAAATCCGTACCTGTTGCCGGGCAAGAAGTTGGCCTTTAAACCAGTCGACATAGGCCACAAAATGAGCGCCTACCGGGTAAAGCCCCTTAGGTACTCCAAAATTAAATTGCTCCCTGCATCCTTACCTGCGAAATTGACCCGTTCTGTGTAACGTTTCAGGGCGATGACACAGATGCGTGAATCGGGCGTGACCGCGTTCATCGGTCCGGATGAGAGTTGCACCACAGAGGCGCTTCTGGCCTCCGCTTGGAACACACCGATGCTTTCCTTTGTGAGTAGACCCATTACTCAAATCTGGGTCACCAGGGTCCAGTTCAAGAGTTGGATACCTTGGCTTCACATATGACAGACCATTTTGTTAAAGTTTAAGGACTTTTCTTCTGCCTTGGGGTTTTAATGCCAATTTATTAGCACATTGACATAAAAAGTGAAATAAACTCTGGAGGCAAAGATAAATTCAATTGTTGACAGAATAAAACACAAAACTTTATTTTTGTTTTTTCCTCATTTGGCAATTGCATGTGAAAGTAGCAATAAACTTCACAGTATAAGTCTAACTAATTTGAAATTGTAAAACCATTTATTTGATTCTGTTTAATGTTTAAACATGTTAATGCTTTGTTTGCTCTCTAGAAATGCTCCGACTCAATTGTCTCAAACAAAAGTACGTTTCACACCTTTGCTCGAACATTGGCTCCGGCCTCCAAGGTAATTTCTAGTAATTGACAGTGGGATGACATATTTTCTAACTAATTGCATTACAATATTATATTAAAAGGTGTCTAAAAGTATAATTAGTCTACTAAACGCCTTTCATTGGAATAAATTTGCCATAGTTGTCAGCTCAAAGCCCATTTGGGGCTTAGATGTTGCTCGGGCAATTCAGGTGAGTCTGACGTCCTGATAATTATAAACTTATTTGAGACTTTGCACAACAGGAACTGGCGGAAGCAAGAAACTTCACCATCAGTCACTTCAAACATATCTCCGACTACATACCGACCACCAAAACCCTTTCGCAGATCGATAAAATTATCGAAGAAACATATTCAACAACCCGCAGTAAGGATTGATGTTGTATGATGTACGAAAATAAAATAAAGTTTGGTATAGGACTATTTCAATAAAAAATATTTTTTAATGCAAGCATTGGAAGAAGTTTGTGTTTAAGCAAAAAAACAATTGTTTATACTTAATTTAAAAATTAATTAAAATAATATACAATTTACTGACATTAATTATGGACCAAATTCGACCTTTTTTCATTAGTTTAAATTAAATAAATAAGTACTGGTACATAAAATAAACTATTCAAACTTTATTTTTATTGTTAATTGCACTGTACAATATTGAAACACCGATTTTAAACTTTATTTGAATTGTACATTGCACTGAAAAAAATTGAATTACCCCAACACCCAACAGTCTATGTGTTCATTGGGGAGCATATCGCCATGGTGGACTTTGTGCGAGGCCTCCAGAATCGGAGGCTCCTGGAGAGCGGGGACTACATCGTGGTTTCCGTGGACGACGAGATCTACGACTCCAACCGGAGGGTTAACATTATGGAACGTAGTAAGTGCATTGTGCGGATCGGCGGTCCGGGATAGAGTTCTAATGCATGCACCATCTATTCCAGATTATTTAGATCCTTATATTAGAAAAGAAAAGAGCAAATCACTGGACAAAATCTCATTTCGTTCAGTTGTAAAAATAAGCATGACATATCCACAAAACCCCCATATTCGGTAATTTATCTGACTCTTAGTTATCTAACTGTGCGTATTTTTGTTGCGTCTTTCTAATCGATCTTTAGGAACTTGATTTTCCAAGATCACTTGGATTTTTTCATTTGGTAAAAGTAGTGCTTACTCTTTTTAAAAACAAGATAAATTATATTTAAATTTTTTTATAGGTTCTCATTTGTATCGTACTTCAAATAGAAATATCGCCTTTTAAACGACAAAATTAAATAAAATTAAAACGAAAATTATTGTTGAAGTCACGGTTAAGGTCATACCAAAGACCAATATAATTATATTGAGTATAATTATACTCACTTGATTTTGTCAAGTATCGAGAAACCAGTTATTTTTTCTCAAATATAATGTTAAATTCAATGTTAAATTATTAAGAACCTCAATTATTTTTATTTTTTTGGTTCAAAGGCGTTATTTGTAAAGTTTATAAATTAATATTTGTGAGTGTAGTTTTAGGAATGTCTTCGAAGTTTTATGAGGAGATTTATACATTTTTATTTCAGATTAATTTTAATTTGATTTAATCACATATGTTCATTATTTTTTTAAAAATATTAGGATCATAGAATATATTAAAAAGCGGTATTCCCTTACAAAAAATCTATTTAATTCACGTTAATCATTTGCATGAAAATTAAATATTTAAAATTATATTCTATATAACAGTTTATCTATTTGTACAATTTTATGTTTGCAGCGACATTTGTTCGAAAATAAAAGATTATGCTCGAAAGACTCCATTTCTGGTGCCATATCATCAACGTGTCTTTGACAACATATCGGTAGGAAAATCGGAGATTATTAAAAAAGTCTGAGTTATTTTAAAATAAATTTGTATTTTATTTTATAGATTGCTAATAAGATTATTCATTTTATCGATGTTTTTATTGTGTAGGTGCCCATATATGGTCTACATCTTTACGATAGTGTTATGATCTATGTTCGAGCCATTTCGGAAGTTTTAAAACAGGGCGGTGATATATACGATGGAAATTTGGTAATGAGTCATATTTTCAATAGGTCCTATCATTCAATACAAGGATTTGATGTGAGTACTTACATATGTAAAGCGTGGTGATATAAATATATAAGAGTTTTACTAATACTATGTTCATAACTTCATAAAAACCTATATTTTATTTTGTACTTACAAAGGTCTACATAGACTCTAATGGGGATGCTGAGGGGAATTACACAGTGATAACTCTGCAAAACGATGTCGGCAGTGGAACCTCAGGCGGATCTCTGGCCAAGATGTCCATGCAGCCAGTGGGGTTCTTTGCGTACAACAAGCACTCCCTAATACCGGTTAGTTCATTATTCATTAATTTTAAATTATAGTAGTGAAAGCAATTTATTTGAATAATCCGAAAGGAGTTCCGCTACATAAAGAGTGATAGACCCATCCAGTGGCTAAATGGCCGTCCTCCGCTCGCAGAACCCCTCTGTGGTTTCCATGGCGAACTGTGTCCTCGAAAGAAACTAGATTGGCGATATCTGGTAACGGGTCCATTAAGTGCCCTCGTCGTCGTGGTGGCCATCGCTCTGCTAATCAAGTATGATTATTTTTTAAATAGGCTTAAGGGGGTATATACCTTTTTTTGTCGAAAAAAATAGGAAAGTTTGGATGTTTTTTACGTATGTAATAATTTTTTTTATTAAATGAATGATTATATTTTCTGAAAGTTTAGATTGTTGACAATGTTTATGCAAAAATGTGTGAAAAAGGTTTTAAGGGGTGTCTGTTTCCCTTAAACACCTTTTTTTGGAAAAGCCAAGCGGTGATAATTCCCCAGGACGAACGGGTCAACTAAATCCTTAAAAATACAAATATTTCATTGGTTTAGAGTAATATCCAGTACTTGAAAGAACGTTTTTAATTTTTTGTTTTTGTGCATACGGGAACGTTTTATGCAAAATATAAAGTTTTTGGACGCTAGAATTCCTACAAAAGTATCTATTTCGGTGAAATAAAAATGTTTACATAAAAAATCGATCGTTCAAGTACTCATAAAATTCATTACGAACATTAAAAAAAAATTTGAAGAACATCGGATCACAAAAATGGATTTAATTTTTTGTAAAACTACATGGGTTTATAAATTTTAATAACAATTTTGAATATTTTGTTTGAGGCATTACCGCTATGAACAGACACTGGCAGGACTTTTGTGGAAAGTGGACATGAAGGAAGTTACCGTCATTAATCTCGGCGAATACAACAACCCCAGTAATAAAAATATTGTAAGTATCGCTTTGAAAAAATCAAATGAAATAAATTAGTGAAGCATTACCTATCCACATATAGTATCATAATAATGAAACTGTCTTATTATTTTAGTTTCAGATATGTCGCCAAAGCATTTTAGTGGTTGGAGAACCCAACAAAAGGTCCTTTACAAATATAGGTAAGCTACATAAGTACAAATATAGTAAGCAATAATGTCGCTTATAAAATTGTATTGTATATTCCACATTGAATAGCTCTTTTTCGGGGCAATATTGTGGCCATGAAAAAGATTCACAAAAAGAGCGTGGACATTACTCGTTCCATTCGCAAGGAACTGAAACTGATGCGAGAGGTGAGCCATAAAAGATTAAGAAAATATAGTTAAGCGATATGATTTTCTAACAGGTTCGGCATGAGAACATTATCAACTTCATTGGGGCATCCACAGATCACGGGTCTGTGATCATCTTCACCACGTATTGTGCACGAGGCAGTCTGGAGGACGTGCTGGCCAATGAGGACTTGCACCTGGACCACATGTTTGTCTCCTCTCTGGTCTCTGACATCCTGAAGGGCATGATCTACCTGCACGACTCCGAGATAATATCCCACGGAAATTTGCGATCCAGCAACTGCCTCATCGACTCCCGCTGGGTTTGCCAAATCTCTGACTTTGGACTCCACGAACTAAATGCGGGCCAAGAAGAACCCAACAAGTAAAGCAATAAAGTTCGAGATCTATTCATTGATCTTATTATTTATTTAATTTTGCACTTTTAGTATAATGTATTTCTAAAATAAGAAATCTTTTCATACAATGCAAATAGGTCAAAGAACTTTCTATTTGCAGGAGTGAACTAGAACTGAAACGTGCCCTCTGCATGGCGCCAGAGCTTTTGAGGGATGCCTACCGACCTGCACGCGGTTCCCAGAAGGGAGACGTCTACTCCTTTGGGATTCTCCTCTACGAGATGATTGGCCGCAAGGGTCCTTGGGGGGATACGGCCTACTCAAAAGAGGGTGAGTGTTGAAGGCCATTTAAAATTTAGTTATTTTAAACATTATTTATGCTAAAAAGATTTATGATATTTTTGGTAGTTGTTTCCTTTGTTAGGTGGACATCCTACCTGGTGAGAAAATTATCCGAAAATTAAAAACTACGTTTTTGTTTTAAGTAAACCTTAAATTTAATTAATTGAAAAAAAATTGTAAATTGTGAGTGTTCTCTAACTAAAAATACAAATTATAACATCATTTTGTTTACTGTTTTTCAATTATTCAACTTAGTAAATTAGAATTCTTCGTTCTATCAGTAGATGTATTCGAGTTGATTTCATGTTGAATATGTATGCAGGATAAATGACACAGAGGGAGAAACTACCAAAACCTATATCTCCGAATGTATTTATGCGATTGATTTCCAGCTGTAAAAGAATGGGAGTAATTTTAAATAAATCATTTCTTTTTTTGCAGAAATAATTCAGTTTGTCAAGTGCCCGGAACTGCTGCAGCACGGCGTATTTCGTCCGGCTCTGACCCACACTCACCTGGACATTCCGGACTACATCCGTAAGTGTTTGTGCCAGTGCTGGGACGAAGATCCGGAGGCCAGGCCCGACATCAGACTGGTCCGCATGCATCTGAAGGAACTCCAGGCTGGCTTGTAAGTAACGAACATTAAGGTTATTTTTGCGGATTTTTAAAAAACTTATTTTTGGTTGAATACAATGACAATCTTTGGAGAAAATCTTGACACTGACGATAATTTTAACCTTGGACTATTTTTACTTTCTTTAACCCAATCCAGAAAACCCAATATATTTGACAACATGCTATCGATAATGGAAAAATATGCCTACAATCTTGAGGGTCTAGTTCAGGAACGAACTAATTTACTATACGAAGAGAAAAAGAAAACAGACATGCTTCTTTACCAAATGCTGCCTAGGTAAATAATATAAAACAATGAACATAATATTTAATATATATATATATTAATATTTAATCTCCTAAAGACCTGTAGCTGAGCTCCTAAAGCGAGGGGATCCTGTAGAGGCAGAGTGCTTTGAATGTGTAACAATATTATTTAGTGACATTGTGGGATTCACCGAACTTTGCACCACAAGCACCCCATTTGAGGTGGTAGAAATGCTGAACGACTGGTACACCTGCTGCGATTCGATCATATCCAATTACGATGTCTATAAGGTTAGTAAAGGTACTAACAAGCAATAACAAATATTTTAAAACACAATTTTTGTTTAAGGTTGAGACAATTGGAGATGCTTATATGGTTGTATCCGGATTGCCACTGCAGAATGGAAATCGACATGCAGGAGAGATAGCCTCTTTAGCTCTCCATCTCCTAGAGACCGTGGGGAATCTCAAAATTCGGCATAAGCCCACTGAGACTGTTCAGCTCCGTATTGGAGTTCACTCGGGTCCATGTGCAGCTGGAGTTGTGGGACAAAAGGTGCAGTGATTTTGACTTTTTTATAAAATTTATAGGGTTTTGCAACGTATACTAAAAAATATTACGAAATATATTCTATTTGAAGCAAGATTTTATTTATTAAAAATAATTTTAATAATTAGACAAGATTTTTATGTTAGCTATTTCAACTGATCAAGACAAACCAACAATAAATATGAAAGATATTTTGATCGAAAAAAGTAATATTACAAAATATATTAATTTAAAAATATAATCGATATTTTTTAAGTAACATTTTATTCGCTCAGAATAATAATAACCATCTTTGGTGCGACTAAGTAAAACTCAGAAAATAATCATTAAATTGAGATAGTTTTTATTTATGGTCCCTGATGTTATGTTTATAACCTTAACTAAATCTCAGATGCCCAGATATTGTCTATTCGGAGACACTGTGAACACAGCATCCAGGATGGAGAGCACCGGGGATTCAATGAAGATACACATATCCGAGGCCACCTACCAACTTCTGCAGTTAATTGGTAGCTATGTTTGCATAGAAAGGGGTCTGACCAGTATCAAGGTGGGTTCAAATATTTTCAAATATTATTTGATAGATAAGAAAAACAATCTTTGATTTAGGGCAAGGGCGACATGCGAACCTATTGGCTGACAAATCGTCACCAATCCGAGCTTACACCGGATCTCATTAGTACCGTGGATACTCTGGATAGCTACTGTTCCGCGGGAAGGGAAAGTATGGAGCACATACTCCACCAGTATTGCAATCCAGCTCAGAATAACTATAGACTGGGATCCTGCAAGTGTGACACGAAGTGTTTATATAGCCGCCGATCAGACGACAATGTGACCAATTCCCATGTCACTTCAGAGTTTCCGAAGATAAGTGAGCCGACGCAGGTCAACTGCAATCAATTATGCATTTGCCGGTTAAACAGCAGCCAAGTGTTCAGCAATCGAAGTCCTCGATCTGCTCCAAGCATCACATTTAGACTATAAGGATTTCACTTTGTTATATCTAAGATATTTGTTCAGTGACATTTGAGATGTAGTGAATATCAAGCTAGAACTATTTACTGGCGTCCATTAATGTATGTGTGTTGTACAGTGCAACATCCTCTTAAATTCTAATGGCTTACTGAACTAAATTTGACAATATGTTTTTTGTTTAAAAATATAATAATATAATAATCTACATTCGTTATTAACTGTATAAATTTAAAAGGTCAAATTAATGGAACACTTCCATGAAAGTCCAGTTTGTCCGTCCATTTGCATTTAATTTACTTATTTTTTAAAAAACTCAAGTATGGAAATTCAGTTAGACAATAGAATTGAAATTATGTGCCGTAGGTAAAGAATACTTCAAATACAAACATTTACCTATGAAATTACATGTCCTTTTATTATTGTCACCGTGTGTAAAATTATTTTAGTTTTTAGTAATTTGGAAATTATTCTTCAAGGCTTGCCAGCACTCATAGTAGGCTGCATCCAGCTTTTGACAGGTTTCCTCGCCCCATTTGGTCACGGCCAAACTCAGAGAGGATTCAAACATGAAGGCCTTTAAACACAAATTAAAATATAAATTTGTATACTATATTTGAAATTTCCTTTGGCCAGACGTACCTGTGTTCCCTCAGCCACGCGCTCAGGCACTAACTTTGCATTCGAGGCACCTTCAAAGCACTTAACATCCGGGCCATGCGGGGTCATAATCGAATGTAGTGTCGCCCCTCCGGCAGCAAAGCCATCCTCCTTGGCCTCATACTTGCCCAGAATCAGACCCATGAACTCGCTCATGCAGTTTCCTAATAAATAGGTGGACATGGTCAGGAAATTATACTTTTATCTTTAAGGTAACTTACTATGATAATAGGGTGGACGGAAGGTGTGCTCCTGTACGGACCAGCGGGGTGGGAATATTACAAAGTCGGCTATAGCTGTTCCAGCCCTTAAGCTCGGACAGGTCAGCACGGTGAAAATGCTGGGGTCACAGTGATCGAAGCTCACTGAGTTGATCACCATAAACTTGGACAAATCGTATTTGAAGGGCACATAGTTGCCATGCCAAGCCACCACATCGAAGACGCTGTGGTTTTGTTTTGCCACAAAGAGGCTACCCTGGAATTTCGATATTACCTGGAAGTCTTTTGAGGAATCATACATATTTAATTATATTAAATTCCAGATTTATTGTGTGCTGTTAATTACCTTTCTTGTCTTGATCGTCAAACCAGGCCACAGGTGTTTCAAAGTCTCTGGGATTAGCTAAACCATTAGCACCGATGGGACCCAAATCCGGTAAAACAAAGTGTCCATCATAGACCTCCAAGATGTAACCTCTGAAAATGAGATGTTTAATATTTTTAACCAAACTTCGTTCATATAAATTTTAATTTTATTGCTCTCACCTGGAAGGGGAATCCACATTAACAGCAAATCGTATTCCTTGAGGTATAACGCAGATTTCATTGGGAGCCACAGACATCCTTCCGAACTCAGTGGTTATATCCAAAACACCTTGCTGTGGAACTAAATAAAAATATGAGTATACTTGGTTCATCTGATAATGACAATTATTTGTACCAATTAAGAAATCCCCATCGCTGTTGTAAAAAGCAGAGTTATCCATGGAGAAATTGCAAGAGTAGATGTGTATGGCAAGACCATGACGAGATCTGGGATCGCCAGCACCACAAACCGTATGCAAACCTTCCACAAAGTCTACAGTCTTCCCATTCTTTGGTGGCAGATCAAATGGTTTCCAACGAAGCTAACCAAAGAATTTGATTATAAATACCCGTCAAATATAGATTTTGTAAAATGAAATTCACCTGATTGGGATTTGGTGGTTGTTCATCCCAGTTCTGCCTAAAGAACTTGGCTCCTTCGAAGGGCTGGAATGGAAGGTGGACAGCTGAGGGCAACTTCCGATACAGCCAGGTGCGCACATTTTCGGTTCTTGGAGCTGTGAAGGCACTTCCCGAGAGCTGTTCGGCGTAGAGCTTGTAGGGGCACACCTGAGGTGAGTTCTGGCCAACAGGCAAGGAATTGGGATACCGCTCGTCCTCGGAGGAGAAGTGCGACCCGAAACCCGAGAGGTACTAAAATAGAATAGTTATAAAAAAAAATTAGAACCAAAACAAATGATACATTTTCTACTCGATCTCTTTTTCTGTAGAGAGACCCACACAATTTTTCTTAGCTGTACTTTTAAGAATTTTGGTAACTGATAAGTTTTATAAAAGCAAACATATAAACATAAAGAGCTTTAAAGATGCAGATGATGAAGATTGACCGAGAAAGCAGATAGCACATTTGCATAAATAAGAACCAAAATAGAAATTCTCGTTGTATAAATAACAACAAACAGTGCACTAAATAAACCGGCATAATATTATAAAATTATTCAAGTTGTTAGCTTGTTTTTATATCCACAATGGAGATTTAAAGAAGGCACGCGCGAATTCAACCCGAAAAACTTGAATCGGAAAAATAATGGGATATATATTTGCCAACTCATTGCTTTATTTTTTATAAAAATGAACAAATTAAGAACACAAAATTATGTTAAATACCCGTATCCGTATTATAACTGGGAGTGATAATAAACTCTTTACGTAAGCTGGTGTTCGTATTCGCACAATTATTTTAATTTACATAGCAGTTAAATTAATTCAGTAATTCACCAATTCACTAATCCGATTCTATAAATATGTTATAAAATTTGTTGCAAATATGTCTTACAACCTTGGATACAGATACACTTCCAGATAAATTGATCAGACACACTTTTTTACCAAACGATTACCTTATATTGCGACATGTCTGATCCCCCGGCGTTTAAAAGTATAACTGAAGTTTGCCAATCATAGGCGACCCCTATTTATATATGCTCGATCCAGTCAGGCCACTTGTTCTCCAGCTCTAGATAGCAGATGTTTTGAATACTCGCCGGAGAAACTAGTCTCCGAGAAAAAGCCAGCCCCCTAAAATCTGCCGAATGATACGAGAGGTAAACACCTGCCCCCAGTTGTTTATGCGTGTGGATTGTTTTGATTTTGTTCCCAACTTAATCTCAGCACCTTTACAACTGAGAATCATACGTGTTTTACTTAGCATAGCGGCTTTACTGGTTTAAATCAGGGGCATACCTATTTAAATATCTTCACACTACTTTATCTAAAAGGGCTACTATAGTACTGCTATTATAAATTGAGTTGGGGAAAAGAAATAAATTTGAAATACTAATGCAAATCCGTTTTCTATTTCGGTTACTTTAAACTAAACAAGGAACAGAAAACTGAAACAAGGGATCCCCAAAACAACAAGAAAGACAAATTTTCGTAAACTAAGTAACTAGTCGTTTAATTTATTGCGGCAAAGATTCAAAGTTATAGTTAATGCGGTAGGCAATACAATACAGTTGATGTGTTGTGCGCTGTCTGTATATTAAAATACTTAAAGTACTTTTATGCGGTAATTAAACCTAAATTAGTACGAGTACATTAAATTAAACGTTTAAGGACATTCAGCGCTCGTAAGATGAGTAAAAGCGGAGATTCACTCGTAGGTCTGAAAAAATCTTTACAGATCGTAATGATGTGTTTCGATATGCACGGCATATCTGGGTTCAAGAACATAATTGAAAATAGAAGTATTCAAAAGTAATTGTTTGTAAATTGCTGGTGATCAGATTCATAATTCTGATCTATGAACTTTACACTTAGCAAGAATTCGACTTAAATAAGTAATAAGGAAGATTTAAAATAAAATATTTGTCCCGAGAGATACTGATTGGGCGATTAAAATGACGGACACTGGTATGTTAATGGATGCTACGCGGCATTAAGTATGGGAATATATACTGTTGGGGAAATACTGCGACTGCGATTGCGATTGCGCTGGCAAGGATTCCATTTCATCTATTCTAGTCGTGCGACAAGTTCAGGATGTCATCGCCCATGCTGTTTTTGGGCATCTTGGCCGGCGGCGGTGCAGCCAGATCTGCCACCGAGGCGAACTCCATGCGCTTCTTGGGCACTCCACCGCTGCCGAGGAGTGCTCCAGGTGGTGCCAGCTCTCCGTAGAGGCGGCTAAGGTCCGGCGAGGGACGTCGATGCGAAGAACTGCTGCTTCCGTCGGAGGGCGCCGGAGAGGGTGTGTTCGAGGGCACACTCGAGATGGCCAGGTCCACGGCACTGAAGTTGTACTTGCCGCCCGAGTTTGAGTTGATGCCGCTGCTGCTGCCACCGCCGCCGCCTCCTCCACTGTTAGCCGACTTGGTGGGCGTCAGTCGCTCCAAAGCTGGCGAGGCCGATGACTCGCGTGTGCGCGCCGATGAAGGCGTCGTGGACTTGGGTGGCTTCATCATCATGGCCGACAGCGATTCCTGCTGAATTTTGAACAAAGCCGACGGAGTCATGAACATGTTATTTGCCGCTAGTGTGGTTTTAGACAGTGGATCAGGTATGCCATATTTGCCATGCTGCTGCTGAAAGAAGGCAGCATAGTCTTGCATCTTTTCCTGCGCCAACGCATTGTAGTAAGCGGCTTGATTGGATAGGGAAGAGGGTGAGGAAATACCGGAAACCGCAGAATTGCCTGAGGAGCTTCCCGACTTCATGGCATTCGCTGAGGATCCAGCTCCCACGACAGCTCCCGAGGGCGTGGCAAACAGGGCGTCCAAATCAGCCGCGGCTTTATTTTGACGATACAATAGCGCTTTGATCTCCGAGTCCTGCTTCTCCAGCTGCAACAGCTGATTCAGCATATCGCTCTGTATGTCCTTCTGCTTTTGCTTCGATCCACCTCCACTCGAACCTCCTGACACGCCCACTCCGGAGGACAGGAGAGCGGAGAGCTCATTGTGAGCTCCTGCCATGTGCTTGTTGGAGGACATCGCCGCCGCGAACTGGTTGTTGGGATCAAACAACTTGGTGTAGGTCTGCAATAGTGCCGTGTAATCCGCCTGAGCAGCCGCCTGCTGTTGTTGCTGCTGCTGTTGTTGCTGATGTTGCTGCTGCAACTGTTGCTGCTGCTGTTGCTGCTTCTTGGATGAACTGCTGTTGGAACTGCCACTGGAGGCAGACTGAGATGGCGGTGGAATCGAAGCGGCGGCCACTGCCGCCATCTGCTGCTGGAGGAACGCATTGAGGTCGTTGCTCTGCTTGCTTTGCTGCATGTAGGAGTCGTAGCCGAGTAGCTTCGATGCCTGGATAAGGTTGTTGTAATCGGCACTGAGAGCAGCTGCCGCCGCTGCAGCATTCGAAGATTTTGAAGACTTGCTAGATGATGAATTTGAGGGCTGACCACCAGTCAAAGCATTTGCAGTGGGCACTCCAAGTCCCGCTCCTGTCAGATAGCTGTAGTCGGATCCAAAACCCAGAGTGCCAAGGGTAGTGGCTCCCAGCGCTTCAGCTTGCTGAAGGAGCAGAGCAGCATATTCCGGAGAACGGATGAGCTCGCTCATCTTAAGTGGATCATTTTTTAGTTCGTCCAGCTCCTTCATCAGCTTCGTTTTATACGAATTGGAGGTTGAGCTGGAGTTGGAGGAGGAAGAAGAAGACGACGACTTCGATGATCGCTCCGATTTAGACTTGCTGCTGCTGTGGGCGTTATTGTTGCCAGTTCCTCCAATTCCTACTCCCGTGGGCAGTGGCATATTGAAGCTATTCGAGTAGGCGGCCACAGCGGCTGCCACATTGGGATCGCTCAAGCCGGAGGAAGCGGTGGCATTGCTTTGTTTGGAGCCCCCCACCTTGGCTGCGGCCGCTGCCAGCTGATTAAGGGAGGAGCTGCCGTAATCCTTACGCTGCTGCTGGAAGAGAGCAGCCAGGTCGCCTTGAAGGAAGTTCGGAGGAAGTTGTCCTGCCAGCTGAGCCAAACTGGCGGCCATCAGATCGTTGGCCGTGGGTAGGCAAGCGGCCGCTGGAGGGACCAAAGCAGCGGCGGTCGCCTCATACTTATTAGGCGTGATGCTGGGACTATTTCGAGCAATATCGCTGACGCTGAACTTGCCCGGACTGGGCGCCGGAGAGTTACGGGTGCGGGAGGTGGAGGCGTGCGACGAAGTGTCTGACTTCGCGGGCGATGGTGACGCCCTCACCGGAACCTCAAACTTAGCTGGACTGGCGGAGTTCGATTGGATAGTAATGGGACTGTCCCTCGGCGAGGCACTCAGAGCGGTGGTCAGGGCCGATGTCGTTACAATTGGTGGGATGACTGGTGGTGCGGAAGCTGCGGGCATTTGTGGTGGAAGCAGCTGACTGGTGGCTGCCGGCAAAGTTGGAGCTACCAAATTAGGCAGTCCTGGCGGATGACTCGTGGGGTTAGGAGTGGCAAGAGGCGAAAGCATTCGCACCGGGTTCATATTTAGTCCGGAGGGCATGCAGAGCTGCTCCTGGAGCGACATCACCTTCAGCTCGCTGGCCTTCTGCTCCGCCTGTGCGTTAGACTCTTCCTCCGCCTTGCGCGCACTCTCCTCCAACGCGCTTATCGACTCACTGAACAGCTCCTCCTTGGGTGGAGCAATCTTTACATCACTGCTAAGATCCATCAAAACAACAGGCTTGTCTTCCTCCTTTACTTCTAATTCGTCATTGTCGATGATTTTTATGGTCTTGGGTGGAATGAAGTCATCTTCCTGCTCGCAATCCAGCACAGCGCAAATCCAGTTCCACAGCGCCTTGTCGCTCTGCTTGGAGGGAAACTTCGGGTAGAGCGTGTTCTTCAGCTTCTCGTTGTAGGTCACGTCGTTGTTATAGATGTTTCGGAACTTGACCACCTCGCTCCGGTACTGCGAGTAATAGTCCACGCACAGCTGGATCTCGGAGCGCACCTCCTCGGGTATCTCCTTGTCCGGTAGCACCGAATACTGCATCAGCATGGGCCTGCCGTACTCCATAGATTGCCTGTTTTCGTTGGGCGGCACGATCCAAATGCACTTAACCACCGACTCCAGCGTTGGATTCTCATCATAGTAAGGGGCTGCAAAAATAAATTATTTTTCCGATTTTAGTAATTTATCTTGAACCTTTAATATACAACATAAAATGTTTGCAAATCATTAGATTTTACTTACATATAATAAGAGAGACGCAGGGCGTATAGGTGAGATCGCTGGCTCCGCGCATTCGAATCTGATAGTCCAATTGTGAGTCGCAGTCACGCAGAGTTGGTTCCGCCTGGAACCTGGGATGTGAGTGATACCAGCCAACCAACAGCAGTTGATCCTGGATCATCATCTTCTGTATGTCTCGCTCCACTTCCCCGGCTCTCTGTCGATCGAAGCGCGTGCTGCGGCAAGGATATGTCTTTGTGATGGACAGAGCTGAAATGAGCAAACTTGTAGGCAATTCTTATGCAGAGGGAATCGCAAGCTGAGCCGGACTCACTGTGTGTGTTCATGTCCCAGGTGCCCCCCAGATAGCCGCACACCTCGCGCACCGTCAAATGGCAGTGAAAATCCGCCAGCAATAGAGCAGAGGAGTTGACTGTGATGAGGAATGGCTGCAGCTTGCCCACCGAAGTAAACGGCACCGATTCAATAAGCATGTTGGCGTCACTGTGGGTAAAAAGCAATGCTTTAGACGACCTATCTTATTCATTACCTAAGTGTACAACCTTACATACAAGTAAAATTAGACTTGCATGAATAAACAAATAGTCTTATTACTGACTACATTTCTCTAAAACAAGATTCTTTAAATTAATCATTTAAAGTTTAAATTTCATAAATTAATAATTTGTTCATGCCAATAATAGGATTGAAATCTAGAATGAAAATATTGACTGAAGTATTGACTTCTCAAAAACAACCCTTCTGTATATTCATGTTGCACTAGGTTTACTTACTGAACTACATTGCGGTTCGATACGGTGTTGTGGGCGAAAACAGTTCGCTTGACGACAATCTCCGGGGAGTCTGACTTGCGTTCGGCATCTGGGGATTGGATAGAATTAGCACAGATGGCACATGAAAGGTCAGGTAACATTTACGTACCCAGGTCGCAGTCATCAAGCGGCGTCTCTTTTTGCAAGGCGCACTTGCGCAGATAGGTGTTCTTGTAGGCGTCTAGCTTTTTGCCCTTGTACTTTACCGAGGCCCATCCGCATCCGCTCTTCTTCTCGGGATTGATGATCCGCTTGCAGTGCATAGCCCAGGCGCTGGGCGTGAGGAATATGGTTTCAGTCTCATGGGATTTGATCTTGCCGTCGGCTAGCAGATCTCCGACGAACTTCTGGCCGAGATATTCGATGGTCATAAGGCCCAAGCCCGGCTGCAGGACATTAGCGGCCATCAGTGTTTGCAGGGTGACGGTGCGTCCGGTGCCATTGAAGCCCTCATAGTTCTCCTTGGCCTGAAGAGGATTTATGTGGAAAATGTAAATAAATATTTTGTAAAGAATACATTTTACTAGTGCTTACCTCATCGTCGTTGTCCTCGTCACCAGCATCGCTGTCCACATCCTTGTCGCACAGGTTGTCCTCCAGCATGGCCCCAGGTGCTGCTTCGTCCAGGGGCGGTGGTCCGGAATCCGGAGTGGCGTCTATAGCTTCCGTCACCGACAGTCCACGCTCCCCCTCCCCCTGCCTAGCTCCCTCTACATCACAATCGTTTGTTATTTGCGGCGGCGGCGGCTGCAGCACGTCCCCCTCCCTCTCCACATCACCATCGCCATCGCAGTCGCCCTCGCCGTCGGAGCTGCTTACCACCTGGTTTTCGCCTGCATCGTCTGCACCATGTTCCACTCCGTTTTCCATGTGTGCTCGTCGCGAATTTTGTTCAATTCCACGGATTTCTTACTTTTAAGATACTCAAGTTTTGCGACTAAAAAAACTGATGGATGCAGTAAGGTCGCAGCTTTTTCTATTTAGAATACCAAATTGATTCGCGAGGTTGGCCGGATCAGGTCCGCAATTTCAAACACCCAGCAACTGGTCACACTTCCTTGGCCTGAAGTAACTTTTTTTTTCGAATTTTTCCGTTTTTGCAATTCTTTTTGAGTGTTTAAAGTGGAGGATCGGCTCCCAGCAAGGACAAAACGAAAAGCAGTCGGGTTTTCCGCGACTTATTTTGGGGAAACCCTAAACCGGGTTTTTTATCATTGCGCGGGTACTTTTCACGGGGAAAAAAACAATGCTGCCAGATCGGCTTTGTAAAACATATAAGCCTGAATGCAAACTTAAAGTTACTAACTTACTTTTATTAGTTACTAACTTAAACATTAATTTAAACTTATTGTAATATAATGATAACAACACTATAAATAACACTTTAACTTTGGCACTGAATGGAATAAGCTGCCAGTTTTGTTAAACAGATGTTTCGCTAAAATGTATTGATTTTTTATGCTGCTAACTACTTTTGAAAACATATGAACATATTAAATAGTTATATACACTTTTATTTAAATATTGGTATCTTTCATAGTTTTCATATCTATTTGCTGGGAGCCGATAGGAAACTCGTCTTTTTAATGATTTATAACAAATATATTTCGGGTTCTTAATGGCCTAATTAACATTTCGGGTTGGTTGTTACAAAGAAAGAAATTGAAATTTTTATAAAAAAAATATTAAGAAACCCACTATTTGTTTCTAGTTCAGATCTATAAATCTATTGCGTCTAGAAAACCGATATAATAATACCTGCTTAACAACATTTATGTAAAATTAACTTTTTAGGAATCAAGAAATACGATTTTTTTAACTTTTTAAAGAATTTCGCAACTGGTATGGACTCTGTGGAATTAGTCGTAAAGGGAATACCACAATTAATTTATTAATTGATTTTATCGATAAATCGATTTCCAAATTAAATAATCTTCCGTCTCTAGCAGTATTTGGGCAAAAAGGCGCGAGTTAAATTTGTTTGTTTAACTATTCTTAGATCCTTGCATGATTATACGTAATGGCACTTTGGGTGGATAAATACCGTCCGCGGGAACTCTCTAAGCTGGATTTTCACAAGGTAAATGAGCAAACGATCCTTCAAACCAATATTAGCTCACCTGGTTTTAACATCATTTTTTGCGTGTTTCTCAAACAGGAGCAAGCGGAGAATCTGCGCAGCCTGTGCAAGCAGAGCGACTTTCCGCATCTCATGTTTTACGGACCCTCGGGAGCCGGAAAGAAGACCCGCATCATGTGCCTGCTGAGGGAGATGTACGGAGCCGGCGTTGAGCGCCTGAGGAGCGAGACCATGACGTTCACGACGCCGTCCAACCGCAAGATCGAGGTGATGACAGTCAGTAGCAACTACCATCTGGAGGTAAATCCCTCCGATGCCGGCATGTACGACCGGACGGTGGTGATTGATTTGATCAAACAGGTGGCCCAGACGCATCAGATAGAGATCAGTGGCCAGCGGGAATTCAAGGTGATCGTCATTTCCGAGGGCGACGAGCTCACCAAGGATGCCCAGCACGCCCTGCGCCGCACCATGGAGAAGTATGTGGCCACGTGCCGCATTATCATCTCGGTGAACTCGACGTCCCGGATCATACCGGCCATTCGGTCACGTTGCCTAGGCATCCGGGTAGCCGCACCCAATGAAACGGAGATAGTGTCCATCCTGCAGAGCACCTGCAAGCGGGAAGGTCTCGCCCTGCCCGTGGAGCTGGCCAAGCGAGTGGTGGACAAGTCGGAACGTAATCTTAGACGTGCTCTGCTGATGCTGGAGGCCGCAAAGGTGGCCAAGGCGCCATTCACCGCCAACCAGGAGATTCCTGACCTGGACTGGCAGGTGTTTCTGCGCGAAACAGCTTCCCAGATCATCAGTGAGCAAACGCCCAACAAACTGGAGAAGATCCGGGAACGCCTTTACGAGCTGCTGACCCAGGGCGTACCGCCCAATCTCATTTTCCGCGGTTTGGTCGAGCAGCTGGTGAACAAGTGTGATATGTCCATCAAGGCAAAGACGCTCGAGTTCGCTACCGAGTATGAACATCGGATGCAGACTGGTGCCAAGCACATCTTTCATCTGGAAGCCTTTGTCGCTCAGTTCATGAACATCTACAAAAAATTCCTTTCTGAGCTGATCATGACGGATGATTTTTAACGAGCTTCACATTTACACACTTTAGATTTTATTTCAAAAAACTTATCAAATAAACCGAATAAAACGAACTAATGAAGTAGTTGCTGCTGTCGTTCCTCTCGACTCTGCAGGATAGCCAAACTCATCTTGTCCTCAGTAGTGCGCTTTACGGTATCAATGTACCTATGAACCTCCTCCTCTAGTTTGTTGTACGCCTGAAATGACAGTTAAAAGAGCGGATTTTATTTAGTATATATCGGAATTGATAAGTTAGTAAGCAAACTTTACTAGACAAACTTAGACAAACTTTGACCAAAAATTATATGCTCTTAAATCTTTACCATTTCATATTCAATATCCTCCTTGGCGTTAATCTTTAGTGCGTGCAGCAGCAGATCGATTGTGTTGATGGGGAAGGAAAGCTGAGGATTTGTAACATTGACCGAGTGTTTGAAATCGAAATACTCGCTGCCTGCTCCCAGCATGCCGGCAATCATTTCACAGGCTAGATCAGCGGCTTCCAGCAGGCGGTTATGCTTGACAAACAACTGGAGAAGCTCTCGGGAATGGGATAACTTATAAGAGTCCACTAGCCACTGAGGCACGAAAGCATTCAAAACAAGCAGCCTTTGAACCACGCTCTTTCTTATCAATGTGGAGTCCTTTGCCTCGTTATCCACCACCAGTTTCTGGAGCAAAGTCCAGGACATATCGGCAGCATTACTTCGATGGGGGAGATCTAAGATAAAATATAACAATAGTAGGAATTTGACTTGTGTAATTTAAAGGGAGACCTAACCTGCCATGTCGTTGTTCTGAAGCCAGTTCCAAGCATCCACGGACTTGTCCTCGGTGGCAGTGACACAAGCCACTGTCAGACTCTCAAATATAGGCAGCACGGAAAAGGAGTGACCCCGGGAAAGTTTCAGGGCGGCCGTGTACAACCCACAGCTTGCTAGGAGGTAGGACAACTCTTCTGGTGAAGACCGCTCATAAGCAGCAGCATCTTTGCGGTAGTGCGAGAGCTCAAGTAAGGCTTCAGCGTGCACCAGTTCCCTTCGAATATCGGCCAGCTCTAGGACAATCACCTCTTGACTGTTTTTATCGTCATCACCCTTGGGTTCACCGTCGTCATTATTCTGATCCATGGATGCAACCCTCTCGTCGCCAATTGTGGGCTTGGCAATCCACCTATAGCGGCTGTCTACTAAGTGCAAACAGTTCAGACAAATTAAGAGCGAAGAGCAGCGCTTCTCCAGCGCGTTAGGGGCATCGCTGTCTACTTGAAAGCGCATGGCCTGCTCGTACATAACCGTAGCAGCTGTTTTAAAAGAGAATAATTACATTAGCTGTCAAAGAATATTAAGACATTCCGATATTAACCTTTTCTCATGTTACCCTTGTTCGTATGGAATGCATACAAAAAGTTGTAGACGTCGTTCTGATCGATGCTCATTGACCGCGCCCTGGATTCCACAATGCTTTCAAACTCATCCTGCAGTCCTATGTAGGGAAACTGCATGAGCAGAGGCAAGCATTTGCTCTGGAACAGCGTAATGACCAACTGACGTAGGCAATCTTTGCGCCTTGATGTGTCGGCATTGTATACTAAAGCGTAGTAAGCCTCCTCATAGTGTCCCAACTGCAGATGATTGTTAAATACAATCGACTGAAACATGGGCAATTGGGGATCATCACGCTGCAGCACACTCATGGCCATATGGGCCAGTTGAATGACGTAGTCAAGCGCTGAATGCTGCTCAAAGAGCTGAATAACCTTCAGATAATAGTGAACGATGGCAAGTTTTGTATCTTCAGCGGATACTTTGTCGCCCCGGGTGACGGACTCCTGCAGTTTACTGTAAAGTGGTGTGTTTTTAAGTACATGCTCGAAGAGGAAGTCATCCTCCACAACGCCGGTTGCCGTTTGTTGAAAAAGATGCACGGCCTTGTGGGCCTCACCACAATCCAACAAAGACACTGCTAGCATAAAGCGTCCTAAGGAAAAACATAGAAAAATTACCAAAAAAGGTAAATAAATAAATTAACCCCGAAAGTGTACTTACTGGCATGAGATTTTACGGAACACCAACTAGACAAAATGCGCACATAGTCCTGGACAATGATGTGATGACAGGTGCCAAACAACCACTCTGGAAACACGTAAATCGGAGACTCGGGCCAGCTGAAAAATGTATACAAATCAGACCGAGAAATATTTATTTATCTGAGTACCTAATACTTACAGCATCTTATTTATGTATCCCACTAGTTGGAGCAAAGTCTGTCGGAGGTTTAATTGCTCCGACTCAAGTTGCATACTGTCCGTCTTTAGAAGCATGGACAGAGCGCTAAACAGACCCTTGGATTGCAGGAACAGCCTGAGGAGTGTGGTCTGGTCATTGCCAAGATTACGCAAATGGCTGGAATATGGCCGTGTATAACCACTAAATAGTTGTGCCCGGCTCAACCGCTGTATAGATGCCTCACTGAAAGATGTGATTAATATGTGACATTGATCAATACAATTATTTGAATATTATTACAATCCAGGTGGGGTATTCCATGAAATGGGCGTCTCGGCAATCCAGACAAGGGTGAAGTAAGAGTTCAGATAATTTATGTTCGTTAAAACGTTTCCACTGTCCATTCCATCCTGGCCATAAACCATGTACTGCAATACCAACAGGTTTCGGCAAACTGAAAACCTAGGGAAGAAACAAAAATAATTTTATAACTACCCTTTCAAAAATCTTAATGGATTGTTACTAAGTATGTGTTTTTTTGAAAACTTACCGTATTGATGCCATTTGCTTTACCGTTTCGGACAAAATGGAAAGTCCATATTCGCTGCCCAACAGAGCTCCAGATGGTTGCAAAAAGCGTGTAGAAAGGGAATAATCTACGAATTGTATAGAAACATTTGGGTAAAATAATATTTCCAAATTTTAAACCGATAAGTATTTTACCATGCGGTGGCGCATCTGGATCAATCATGCAAAGTACGTCGAGCAGCATTTCCAAAGCGGGCTTAAGGTTTGGTATTTCTTGGAGCTTCTGGTGAATTTGTTTCACACAGCTCGTTGGCATCATCGGGCCATTATCATCGCCTACAGTGATCCTAGACACCAGTTTGGATATCACCTCAATGGGCGACTCCCGCTGATACAGCTGCTTGTCTAAATCTGTTTTGATGTCCTCCGAAATTAACTTATCCAAAAGAGTCACCACATTCATGAGGTCAACAAAGCCCTTGGCCATTTCGGGATCGTTGCGGAAGAGTGGAGCCACGTATGTAGCCACCTCCTCATTGTGCTCCCCGATTAGTAGAAGGTGCTCCAGTACTTCACAGGGGCGCAGCAGGGCAAAGGATTGCCGCCTAACCAAACACACTGCATCCATGCCACCTAAGACCGCGAGTCCTGTGGGCTCGGAAAACTTAATGTGGTATTGTTCGCAGCAGGAGTAAAAGCGATCCCACAGCCTCGTAGAAATCTCCAAATACTCCTCGTCGGTAACCACAAAGTCTTTCAGTTCGTTTTGGATTTCGTCCTCAACGGCCTGACACACCTGTTCCTTAAGCACTGACATGGAAAGCTGTTTCACATCGAACTGCAAGTTAACGCGCCTAAACATCTGTGAAAAGAAAGAAAATTACAAATTGTTTAAAAAATTGAAAACAAATCATGCGTTTATATATTTCATAAAAATTTTAAGACTCGTAGATTTTTACAATTTAATTTATAAATAATATTGTTTTCTTAAAATTGGTGTTTTATTTTTTAAGTGATATGAACTTTTGTAGATAAATTAAAAAAAAGAGAAAAATTTAAATCTGTTTATTTTAAGAAGGGCTTAAAAAACAGCTAAGATATTTTCTTGGGGTCCTAATAAAATATATATTTTCGTACAGAAGTATTTGTTATAGAAATAATAACTTAAAACCTGAGTATTAAAGACGAGTATCATGACCAACCTTTCCAAATACCAGCTTTGATTTTTTCCTTTGCTTTATTAAGAAAATCTTACCCAATAAGAAAACAATTTGATAATACTTACATAGAGAGCCTTAGCAATCACATTGCGGTCAAACCGACCAGGGTGAAAGATATAGGAGCAATAAGATTCCCGTGGATCCACTCCCTGCTCCATCGTCAGGCAGTAGCGATCCGGTGGAGGTTCTAGAGCAGCGGAAACCCATTTGATTGCGTTATTTGAACCTAAATAAATGGCAGAGACGTGGAAATCTCCTTCAGCGTTGCTCCAGAGGGCCCAGATATGCGAGGATGTGGCATCGAAGTCAACCAGATTCATTTGTGGCGCCGGAACCGAGTTCTGTACCAAATTAAGACCGCTGGCCTCGTCGGAATCTGGCATTATGCTCACGCAAATGAACTCAGCTCGAGTGTCGTGAGAGATAAATAAGCAAAAGTTCTGATCGCTTATCTTTCGAAGCTGGTTATTTTGAGCTGAAAAACGATTAAAGTAGTTAAAAGAAAAGTACATTTAAATATATAAAATAAATAACTGCGTTCCATAATGGTTACATTTTGTTTTTAAAAATATTTCTGGGAATGGTTTGAGATTTGAACCATTATAATGGCATTATAATTTAATGCATATAGGAGCATATACTAACGTCCTTGAGCTATTGATCCTCCATGCCCCGATCCCGCAGAGCAGTTAAGGCTGGCTACAGTCTGTAGACTACTCACTGACCACAATCTCAGCTCATTACTGCGATACAAGACCAAGATGAAGAGCTCCTCTTCGATTTCGCTGAATGCCATGGAAGTAGCTGCTTCTAGCGTTTCCGAGCGGCCACTTTAAAAATTGTAAATGGGTAAAGGGTGGGAATGTTTTTAGAGGGATTCATTGACTCACGTAAGGGCCCCCTTGAGATTCGAAAGAAACCGAGGCATCAGATGCGGCTCCTTGACTTCATGGGTTACCGTGTTGCCGGTGACGCAGTTCATGATGTGAAGCAGCAGTTTGCTTTGGTAGGCCACCGCAAAATATGCTGACTGAGAGTCTTTCGAAAGATACGACACGGCCACGTTGGGCATTGATCCAAAGCCGTCCGTCACAAAGAAGGTGCTCGGATCGTTGATCTTCTCGTTGACGTCGTAGAAAATGGACTGGGACAGCAGATCCTCAGGGGAAGTGTTGGCCCCATCCTGCCCAGCTATCTTCAGGGGGAACACATAGCGATGCACACTACTAACAGTGACCACCAATAGGGTGATGGAGTTCGGCTGCTCCGTGAGTGAAACGTTCAGCACGGCGGAGTCGGTGAAGCGCAGGCGCAGGTGATTCCGCTGCAGGGTGATGTCCAAGCTGACCTCTGAGAGTTCCAGCACATCCTGGTAGGCGCGCCTGCAGGCAATAGAGTATTAAGGTAAGTCTCGTGTTTATATTTCAAAGAAAACTTACCAATAAATGAAACGATTCCTGGTTTGTACGTTTTTCCTGCTCTTGTAGCAGTAGCCGCCAGAGGTTTCAAATGTCTTGAGGTCCTGCAGAGTGCTCTGGGTTCCTAATTCGAGAGCAAAATGAATGGTCATATCAAAATTCCCACCGGTGATCATGAAGGCAACTCACCCGTATTTATCTTCACCTCGATCCACTCCGCCGGACTGAGGTTCTTCGGGATGACCTCGCGGTAACTCATGTTAGCATGAAGTTTGGAAGTTGGCATCTTTCAAGTACAATAAAATATTACAAAAATCCTGGGAAACAGAAAACTATTGGCGGCACCGGCGTAAACACGCTCGGTTTAAGTGTTGAAAACCGTCAACTTCTTGCGGTGCACCACACAAAAGTGTCGATTAGGCGTTTCGCACCCACATATGTAGGTGTGCCAATCTTTTATACTCTTTTGAGAGAGCTAAAATTAGTTTATTACATTTTTTCCACATATTATATTAAATATGAATGGTTTTTATTAAAAACTGATTATGTTTGTTATTAGTATTTTTTCTTCTTATCGATAGTTAATCCTTGATAGTGATATATCGATACTATCTTAAGTTTTACCCAGCTCTATTGCACATGTGTTTTTGTTGATGCTGGTTTGTTATTTTGTTATTTTCTAAATTAAAACCTTTTTCCGGCATAGAAATGAGTGCCCTTGCAGATGAGACCATAGTCTGCCTGCCGGGAGAACGTCTCTGCAGGACCGAGGACAACATAGTTTTGGGCATAGGTACCTACGAACAGAATGGCTATATTTACGCCTCCAAATCGGGAATCGTGAACATTGATGATTCGGGAGAAAACGTGAGTTGGCTGGGTGTCTAACGAATTAAAATAATTATTACATACCAATTTCAGTGCCAGGTGGTGAGTGTTCACAAACCAGGCTTCCATCTGACCATCCCAGCTACCGGAGACGTGGTCACAGCACGCGTCCTTGTCACAACTCCCAAGTTTGTCAAGTGCGCCATTTTCTGTGTGCGGAATGTCCTGCTGGAGAGTAGCTACCGCGGACTCTTGCGCAAGGAGGATGTGCGCGAAACTGAGAAGGATCGGGTGGACATCTACAAGTCGTTCAAGCCTGGCGATGTGATCCTGGCCCGGGTCATTAACCAGCTGGATCAATCCTTCCTCCTGACCACTGCCGAAAATGAACTCGGCGTTGTTATCGCCTATGCCAGTGATGCCCGAAAGACCCGAGTTCCCATGGTTCCGGTTGGCTGGAGCGAGATGCAGTGCCCCCAGACCACGATCAAGGAACCTCGAAAAGTGGCTAAAGTCCTGCCAGAAAGTTCAATAAACGCTGTGAAATAAGCTCGATCGAATGATAATCAAAATATACATATTTTTAACTCAATTTGGGAACTACAAATGTTTTGCAAATGTTATAGAAATTAATTAATAGATAAACACACACTGCTCAGGAACATTATGCGATTGCCTTACAATTTTTTTTTAGCTATTATCTCCATAGTTACCTAATGTAATATGTATTTAGGCTCTTAGCAGCTGTATATATATTTTTAATAGTTTTATGACTGACATTATGCATTGTGCTAATTACAGTTAATAATCCGTGAATATATAGCTGTTAAAATCTTTCCAAAAATCGTGGTTTCCATAGTTATGCATTCTACGCTTGTTTGTAATTTGGATTAGATGTTCATGTTTCGGTTGTTATACTGATTCAACAAAAGATAAGAATTTAATATTAGATCATGCAACTACTATTGAAAACTTTTATAAGATAACCATTCTAATGGCTTTAGTTTTGGAAGTTTATTTGAACAAAATCAATAAGTTGACAAGGTTAAAAACGGGAAAAGAATATTTTTGTATAAAAATTATACGTATCGCATACAGTGAAGTTTGAAAATATTGCAGAACGCCTTAAACTTAAAATATAATTTGGACGTTTTTAAATAAGTTTATTGCACATCGAAATGTAAATAATTAAAGGTAAGAACAGTAAGAGTGAAGTTTGTTTTTGAATGGCTAGTTCAAAAATAAATTAATTTTTATAGACCCGTCCTAAGTTTAAAAAAAAACTTGAAATATTTAATAAACATGTTTGTAGGATGGTTTGTTATAGGATGGTTAACATGAGGGTATAAAAAGCCATAGGCAGGCACATGCACTTTATGGGTGTCAAACATATAAAGTTTAGAAGTGAATGACAGGTACTTATTTCAAGCAAATGGAATTACACTTACATTGTATTGCAAGCGTTCCCAAAAAAAATAAAATAAAGCAAATAAAAGGTAATGTGGGTACAGGCGTCAGAGCAGTAAAAAAACAGTAACCCGTTGCCAATCAATGTCGCTGGGAGCTGTTGTTGATGGATGACTATTCCTATGCAAATAGCAGTTCGATTCGCGTGCAGGAGTAACGACTAATTCGATCAGAGGAGCGGGAGCCAGGAGCCGTACGCTTCTCCTGGACTAGGCCACCGGGTCTTGTCTTGCCTGCCGAAAAATGCAAATGCAAGTAAAAACGTTACAGGTGGGTCAGTGGGCAGGGAGTTGAGCGAGTCCTGGGTCCCGGACCGGGGGATCCAAACAACCAATCGTTGTTTGGTCGATTGAAAACGCAGCCGGCTCGTTTCGGTGGTTCGAACCCCGGTTAATATTCAAATTAAATCGAGGGGGAATACGGCCAGTATGTGGTGCAAGTGAACAGTCGGGTGGGTAGCTGGCCCTGCCGTAGTTGTCGTCGTAAAGTCACCAGATCCAGCCTGTCCCAAAACATAAGTTCCTGCCCGTTGTCAGTCGAGAACCAACAGCAGAAGAGCCACACCAACATCAGCGGAAACGGACAGGGAAAGCAAGCAACTCATCATGGTGCAGATTTCGCAGACGGAGGAGGACATCAAGATCTCTATCGAACTCAATCGACTGGTGACCCGTAAGCCGGACGTTGTGCTCCTGCCGCAGTACTTAAAGTTCAACAATCCGCCCATTTTCTTTGAACGTCATCTAGCCCAGGAGATTGACGAAATGGCAAGGTGAATTGATATTTTATGTTCAGTAATTTTTAAAAATAACGTACATATGTAATTACGAATGGTTCCCATATTAAACTATTTAAATGTTCTATAATTTAAATAATAATCTGTGTTTACAAAAACTCATAATTTACCAGTCAAACAGTTATTTTGGATTTTCTTATCTTAACGTTTATCATGGCTAAATTGAGTTACAAAATGTTAAAATCATGTTATTTATTTTCAGCTTATGCATATTATATTACGTTTTAATTACAAATTCATTAAATTTTTAATGTGAAATAAAGGTATCCAAAATAATTTAACTATTTGGCGTGCGAATTCCGGTCTAGCAGCTTAGTTGCTTTTTTGTGTGTGATTATCTTAAAACTAACTACATACATAATTCTAATTTTTCATTCAAATTATTTCTACAATAATTATATACTAAACCAAATCGAAAATTGTTGTTTTTAAATTGATTTGCTCGAATATTAAACAGCCACTTAGTAACGAAATACCGATCTGTTACAGCTTCTGCCGCATCTTCAAGAACGAAGCCCGCATCGTTCTTGTGAAGAAGGAGAAGGGCTTCTGGCCGGAGATGTTCCAGAAGCTGGACAAAGAGGCACTCCAGCAGAAGCGCTTAGAGATCGCCGACCTGATCGTAGAGCGGAATAAGAAGCGGGACGAAAAGGCTCTGGAGCGGTACGAGAACAAGCGGCGGGCGGAGATCGAGAAGGAGATAAAGCGGGAGACTGCCATGCGGGAGCGGGTCAAGCAGTTCCAGGAGAACTCGGTGCGCGAGACTCTGGTGGTGGATGTCCGCAAGGAGACCAATGCGGCAACCAAGCCCGATCCGCTTCAGTATGCGCCGTCGTCGGTGGCCGCCAGTCGCCTGGCCACGCCCCTCATGCGCCCGCCCATGAGCTCCGTTCGCGGCAGTGGGCGGATCACCGTAAGCTTCACCAGCCAGCACAAGCGGACCACCCCGAAGAGGGAGTCGCAGGCCAGCATGGAGAAGGCGTACGCCGCGGCAGGAGGACCAAACCCGAATGTCCAATCCCCAATGGAGAGCCTGGATGAATGAGGAGCAGAAGTGCCTATTCAAGCGTACTCACATAAATATTTTCACGAGCAATTGTGCGTGCGTTTTCAGACTGTGCTAAGTGTTCTAAACTTTATTATTCCATCAAATAAATCTACAGGTGTTTGCTTTATTAAATGAGGACTAAACTTGTAATTGTATTTAATTGACGGATAAGGAAAATATTTTTTACTTTATTTTATGCCCCAATTAACAAATAAATAGGAAAGAAGACTAACCAGATGAAGTATAAACCATTTTCGAGTGCTAGTTAAAATGTCAATTAGTTACAGCAGTATCTGTTCTAAAAAACTAATGACCAGATAAACTGGTAAAAGAAAATAAATATTTATATCACTAAGCTTAAGTAATTAAAAAACAAGCGCATTTGTACTTTGACAAAATAGTTTTTAATTCAAGCAATAAATTAAGTTAACTTCCATCAGTCGCATTTATGTACGTCATTCATTAAGCAAATCATACAAGTCTTGCACCATAAGCGCCAAACTTTTTAAGTCAAAGCTGAGCCTAGAAATATTTATTGAATAAAAACCATCAATTTTATCCAGCGCAAACTTTCCTGAGATCATCTTTGGTTACGGGCTCCGTGATTTATTAATAATTTTGTAGAATAAACCTACATATAAATTCAATAAAGGTAAGCAATAATTTCGATGAAGAAGGTTGTTATAAAGATAAAACTTGATGTTTGCCATCATACAAGTGTGCACTGATTTTACACCTCATTTGGTAACATCTGTCTAATTTTAAATCCTATATTATTTTAAATCCGATAGCACCGCCTGCCCAACACAGAAAAGTTCCTATCGATAACAACAGCTGACGGCTGTCAGTGTTGGGCAAGCGTTGTGACGTTGCTTTTTTTTCATCAGAATTCTTTTGCCGCTATGACATTAAAATTATTAAAAGATCTTTAGATTTTCTCAGAACTACACACAGCCATCGCAAAGTAACAGGACCACACTCACCCTAGACCGATGACCGAGGCCGCAGGAGCAGACATTCCGAGAGGCGAAGCAGGAGACACGGACCATTACGCCAAGGAAATGACCGGTAAAGCAAAGGAGCCTCCCAAGCTGGACGACCTGGTGCAGTATGTGAGCCTGCATGTGCGCATTCCCACTCCGTTGACCGGCGTGGTGCTGCCTTTCGTGCCGCTCTACCTATCCGCCTTTTACCTGTGGATCCACGTGATTGGCGGCGAGGAATCTCCCAAGACCGACCAGATTTCCGGCGAAAACCAGACAACCACAGACCATTCAACGACTTGGAATGACGTGGGATTCATCGCCGTGGTGGCCATCGCCTTTCTGCACGTCCTCACCCTGCTCTTCTGCTACTGGAGCGTTCATGTGTTGGCCTTTCTCACCTGTCGCCGGGTGAAGTTGCCCGGCGCCAACGTGCTCGCTAAAGTGGTGCCCACCGCCAACAACGGCAACTCCAAGATCGTGCCCGTGAAATCTTCGAAGCTGGAGGACGGCTCCACACAGTATTTCTTGGTTTTCCAAAAGACTAAATACGTTTGGAACGAGGATCGGAAGACTTTCCGCGCCGTCGAGTTTCCGGTAAATGGACTGCTGAGCAGCTATTCGTCATCGCGAGGATTGGAGACGGAGGAGGCCATTAAGCGGGCCACCCTTACCTACGGCAACAACGAAATGGAAATGGTGGTGCCTGAGTTTCACGAACTCTTCATAGAACGGGCCACGGCGCCGTTCTTTGTGTTCCAAGTGTTCTCCGTCGGATTGTGGTGCATGGATGACTACTGGTACTACTCCCTGTTCACGCTCTTCATGCTGGTCGCATTCGAGTGCACCATTGTCAAGCAGCAATTGCGAAACATGTCCGAGATCCGCAAGATGGGCAATAAGCCTTACCTGATCTACGCATTTCGGCAAAACAAGTGGCGTCACATCGGCTCCGATGAGCTGCTGCCCGGGGATTTGGTGTCGGTGACGCGCTCCCAGAACGACAACATTGTGCCCTGCGATCTGGTCATCCTTCGGGGCTCCTGCATCGTGGATGAATCCATGCTTACGGGCGAATCTGTGCCACTGATGAAAGAGTCTTTGGAGTCCCTAGATAATTTGAACATTGAAATGGACGCCGAGGGAGATGGAAAGCTATTTGTTTTGTTTGGCGGCACTAAAGTTGTTCAGCATACTGCTCCCACAAAAGAATCGCTTCGTGCTCCTGATGGTGGCTGCATTGGCTATGTGATTCGCACTGGATTCAACACATCGCAGGGCAGGCTTCTGCGGACGATCTTGTTCGGCGCAAATCGCGCCACCGAGAATAACGTGGAGACCTTCGCTTTTATTGCCTTCTTGATGGTCTTTGCCGTGGCCGCAGCATCTTATGTTTGGGTGAAGGGCAGCGAGGATCTGGAGCGCAATCGCTATAAGCTTTTCCTGGAGTGCACGCTCATCCTAACGTCCATTATCCCGCCGGATCTGCCTATCGAGCTGACGCTAGCCGTGAACACATCTCTGATCCAGCTAACCAAGTTGTTTGTGTTCTGCACAGAGCCCTTCAGGATTCCCTTCGCCGGGAAAGTACAAATTTGCTGCTTCGACAAGACGGGAACTCTAACCACGGATAATCTAATGGTGGAGGGTATTGCTGGATTAGCTCCCAACGGAGCCTGTGTGCCTATCGAGGAGGCGCCAGGGAATACTGTTCAAGTACTCGCCTGCTGCCACTCACTGACGCTGCTGGACGACGGATTAGTTGGAGATCCACTGGAGAAGGCCACACTAGCGGCGGTGGATTGGACGCTTACCAAGATGGACAGCGTCATTCCGAAGCGTCCGCAGTTCAAGCCCCTGAAGATCTGCCAGCGCTATCACTTTTCATCGGCGCTGAAGCGGATGTCGGTGTTGGCTGGCTACCTGGTTCCCTACTCCAACGAAGTGAAGCACATAGGAGCGGTGAAAGGAGCTCCTGAGGTCATCCAGAAGATGCTGCGCGAGGTACCCTCGGACTACGAGAAGGTGAGTTAATTATTTTATTTGTATTTTTTCAAAACGTAGCAGCATTTACACTTTGTAACGGGTATAGTAATGTATGCGTTAAATAGTGTGTACCAGTCAAAAAAAAGTTTCCGTTTACACTTTGTAACGGGTATAGTAATGTATGCGTTAAATAGTGTGTACCAGTCAAAAAAAAGTTTCCGTCCTTATAAAGAAAATATATATTCTTGATAATATGATGATAACCGATTTTGATACATTTAAATTAATAAATCTTTAGATTTGATTTTACTATACTTCCACGTTCGCAATTATTAATTACTTATTTCTTCTAGGTTTATTTGGAGTACGCCCGCCGAGGAGCTCGCGTTCTGGCTCTAGGAATTAAGGAGTTCGGCACCTTGGGATCTCAACAGATTCGGGAATTGAAACGTGAAGAAGTGGAATGCGATCTTATATTCGCCGGATTTGTGATCATCTCCTGTCCCATGAAGCCCGATTCCAAGTCGGTTATTAAGCAGCTCATTCAATCATCACACAAGGTGGTAATGATCACGGGTGACAGTCCGCTTACCGCCTGCCATGTGGCCCGAGAACTGCGTTTCACACGCAAGAAGCTTCTCATCCTGACCCCGCCGGATCAGGAAGAGAGGACCTCCTGGAGTTGGGTGTCCATCGACGGGGATCAAACCTACGATCTGGATATTAAGAGAGGTAGCAAGGGTATCTCTTTGTTGCTGGGGACGCACGATCTTTGCATCACCGGCGAGGGATTGCAGCACCTGCAGCAAAATCAGCAACAGTACATGCGGCATCTGCTGCCACTAATAACGGTCTGTGCTCGCTTCGCGCCCAAGCAAAAGGAGTTCGTGATCACACAGCTGAAACATCTGGGTTACTGCACTTTGATGTGTGGTGACGGCACCAACGATGTGGGAGCCCTCAAGCACGCCAACGTGGGCGTCTCACTGCTGACCAGTGCTCCTGTGAAGCGAAAGCGCACCGAGGAGGAGCAGCAGCAGGCAGCGGCTGCGGCCAATGCAGCTGCGGCAGCGGCTCAGGCAGTTGCCAATGCTAACCAACAGTTGACGCCAAGGGAGCGGGCACTGCGGCGGCGCCAGGAGCATATCAACCAGACTCAAGCTCGCCTTCAGAATGCACTACGCGACATGGAGGAGCAGACAATGGTCAAGTTGGGCGATGCCTCAATTGCGGCGCCTTTTACCAGCAAGTCCTCTTCGATCACGTGCGGTGCGTAAAATGGTTTCTATTTATTAAGATATATTTTAATTTCGATTGTCCACTTTTCAGTTAACCACATCATCAAGCAGGGTCGCTGCACGCTGGTTACCACGCTCCAGATGTTCAAAATCCTCGCCCTGAATGCTCTCATTCAGGCCTACTGCCAGTCCGTGCTCTATATCGATGGCATTAAGTTCAGCGATACCCAGGCCACCATGCAGGGCATCTTCATTGCTGCATGCTTTCTCTTTATCACACGAGCTAAGGTGGGTAAACTCGAACTTAAATTTAAAACAACAAAGGGAAAAAAAACGCTTCCGTTTAAATATTTCTAGGTCATAAAGTAAAAAAATTAAATTAGTTATTTTATTATTAATATTAAGATCAAATTGAATATAATATAATTATAAGATTCCTATTTTTCAGATTTAAAGATTGTAACTAATATTTTCCCTTCCTTTTTACTCTCCATCCAGCCACTGAAAACTCTGTCCAAGGTGGCCCCACTGCCAAACATCTTCAATTTCTACACGATTTCGACCATTCTCAGCCAGTTCGCAGTGCACTTTGGAACGCTCTACTACTTGACCAGCCAAGCCAACATCCTGGCACCACCCAGGTATTCTTGGATTCAAAATAATTGTGTAATTATAAAATGATTATAATATAATTATACTATTTTGTAGAGAGGGCAAAGTAAAGTTGTACATTGACATGGATGCTGAGGAGAAGACCAAATATGATCCGAACATTGTGAGCAGCACTGTGTATATCATTTGCCTATCATTGCAAGTGGCCACCATTGCGGTCAATTATAAGGTGAATTCCATAAAGGATCAATCACAATGTAAAACTGAAATATATTTACCTATTTCAACAGGGGCATCCATTCATGGAAAGCTTACGCTCCAACCGCATGCTGATGTATGCCATCGGAGCTTCTGCGACATTGGTGATTCTTCTGTCCACGGGACTGGCGCCCGAACTGACGGAATTCTTTGAGATAATCAATTTCCCAACAGAAGTAAGTATTACCGAATTCAATTTTGTACGTTTTTTTTAATTGAGGTTGTTTTCAGTTCCGCAAAACTTTGCTCGGTGTACTGATTTTGGATATTATCGGGGCCTTTATTTTGGACCGCATTTGCTCATTCCTGTTCGGGGAAACGCGTTGCAAATCTAAAGTGTTGAACTGTTAGGACCATTTAGTAATAAGTACTAAAAAGGATTGACTTCATAACCTTACGTTCCAAAAGATAGATAATCCTTTTCTTTTTTATTTGTATTTCCCTAATGGTAAACGACTTAACGTGTTTAATGGCGTCGGTTTCTTAAATGTTTAAATTCCGCATCAAAGAATCAACGTAATGCATTTAGAGTGTATTATCGGGCAAGTGTATTATCGGGCAGCCTATATCATTTTAGTTTGACAAAGACAGAATTTTCGATTTCTTCGACTCCCGTATATGCGAATAGTGAAATTGTCGTAATATTTGTAATGCTAATAAAGTTAGAGAAAAGTTTGAAAAAAATATAAATACATATTTGTCAAATATTGTAATTATTATGTTTAAGTTTGTTCTGGTACTGGGTCCTCCACTTTAGAGTCTTCAAGCTGTTTAAACTGAATTAAGATGACTAGGTACGTGGTAACGGCTGAAAAAATCTGAAACGCAGATAATTAAAAGCTTAAAGCTGTATCTGGTAATGATTGGGATACCTTGAATAGAGTGGAGTTATCTATGGCAAAAAATCCGTAGGCCGTGAATTGTACCTCCTGCTTGATGCTCTTCGTAAGGAATTTATCGATCTGCAAGAGGGTCATTCAATTAGCTTTATTCGACTTGTTTTGCAACCCACCATATTCTTATACTCCCTGCACTTAGCATACACCCTCGCCAGAATCTGGGATGTCGCATTGGCCTTGAAATAAAAACACTCATGATGATTAGTTATAAACTTATCTCTGATATAGCTACCCACCTCCCTTGTGGTTAGACCACAACTCCTGGACAACAAAGCCAGGAGGGAAACGTGGAGACAGAGCCAGGCGAGGCACCACTGCAGGATGTTGGGGGACACCATGCCCTTCGCGGTGATCTGGACAAAGAGATTGTAGCAGTTGGTGGTGACCGTGTAGAAGGAATAGCCCAGGAACGAAACTAGAATTAGGTTGCAGCAATCGTTGATGCCCTTGTAGATACGCAGCAGTTTGTTGTGCATGCGGTATATGAACAGTGAGTCTTCCGGGAAATGTTCCATAATGGCGGGATTGGAATTGGGATTGGGGTAACTATTAATATTGTCACGCTGACGCCTTCTCCCACCGCCCTTGCGCTTTTGCTGCGGCCCATATGTGTATCCATTTAGTAGCTGGTTAATAAAATGGAACCGGATGTACACTATCCTGAGCAAAGCTGAAGCGAATACTATATACGTGGCTGTGAGCCCATTCTGGATGGCATAGAAGGCCAGCAGTATATAAGAGGTCGATGTGATCACGCCTTGCACAGCGTATATTTTCAGCACAATAATGTAGGCCTGGGAGGCCGCGATGCCCACCAAAAACTTCACCGAGAACCCAAAGTCTTGGTTCAAATTGGCTCCAAACTGCCGACGAACCTCCTCATCCAGTTCAAGGATTTCGTTCATGATCCGTAACATGTTTTTTGTATTCCGAGCACATACAAACACGGTAAGGGTGTAGGTTAGGATGCAGAGCAGCAGCTCAATCCACTGGTTCACATTGTCCGTCTCCCGGTACGAGTAAAATAATTGTGCCGAATTCGGTGTGAATAGACTGTAGATATTAAAGATGGTCAAGGCGTGGACCACGCCCCTTACGAAGAAAGAGTAGAACTCGTTGGTTTTGGTAGGAGGACCCACTTCGTAGCTGGAAACCTGTTCGTATATCGGCATCAAGCCACTAGCCTTCAGCACGGACATTATGGTGCGAATGTCCTCGAAAACGGGGTGATCATGGTTTTTTAAAGGAGGAGAAGGTCCCATTGCCGGCGGATCCCTGGTGAAGGCATCCCTGGATGGCGTTCGGTATGGAGATATTCTTCGTGGAAACGGATGTGCGCGTGCCTTTTGTGTAGGCATTTCGATTACCCAAGTGTTCGGGGACATGGCCAACAAGCCACTGACAGGGCCAAAGGATACGACTAACTGGATTGACCGGCGTTCTATTAAGTGGGACCGAGTTATCTGATTGTGCTCTGGGGTCACGGGCCCGGGTGTCGTCGGACTTCAAGTGCCATTAGAGTAATTGCTTGGCATTGTGGCTTATTGAATATTGCCAACTCAAGGGAACTGAAGAATCAATTATTTTATTAAATTTTTTTACAAGGTATAAAAAAGTATGTATAGAGTGAAATTCTCTTAAACGAACCTCGGCTTAAATCTAGCGTTTTTATTAAATTTATTGAATCACTTCCGGAATCAGTTTTATTGTTATGTTATCTTTAAAACAATGTTACCAATCATATATTTAAGCTTTTGACCCAAGCATTTAAGGGCCAAAATCAATCATTTTTTAAACAATTTTTTTCGTTACTACATGAAATATTATATTTTCAGAAAGTAATCTTATAAGCTTAAATATTTATTTAAAAAATAAACAAAACCTTTTTCTGATAATTAATACAAAAGGTATCCTAATTAAAAAAAATTATTAAACTTAAAAAAAATAATCAAAATACTTTGATTAGATATTATGTTTTAGAAAATGTAAATAACTTTTTAAGTTAGTGCACCCACTGGTTTAAAAAACATACTTTCGAGAAAGACTATATTTAGCTGCGACGTGCCATCTTAAATCTCGATTAGAAAATTTAACAAAAAAATGTTGTAACTATTGTCCCCATAAATACTTTTTATGATTCCTTCGCATTTTTTGGGGGCTTACTTTGGTTTTTTTAGTTTAGTACACCCCTTTGGATTTTTAACTTTTTATCACTTCCCAATTGGTAATTTATCAAAATTTGTTTATTCCATTTTATAATGTTCCCCATAGTCCTGATAATTCCGAGAATTGCTTCTTAATAGCTCTTAGATTTCTATCCGATATTGCATTTCCTTTTATAAGCCTTTTCCTAAACCCTTAGTAATCCCCTCAAAACAAATGCCATAAATCTAAAAACGAATGGGGAACATTTTCATACATATAAAACCAGCGGAAGACCAGCCCACCCTCGGATGTGACATACGCGTGTTATGGGTGTATTATCACTGAGATGCATGAAATATTATCTTTGTCACACCTTTTCCGCCCCCATAGCACCCACACAAGGACAAACTTCACTTCGCACATACATATCTACGTGTGTACGTATTTTTCCACCCCTAATGAGGGATTGCAATTCAAAGCGGCTTGGGCTGTTGCTGATTTTTTTGTGTCATTCCCAGCATTACTTTACCTTTGGGGGAGAGAGTGATACAGAGAGAGAGTGCCAAACGGGCACGCTGTTGCTTCGGGCACATGCCACACTGTGGGTCGAGTCTAGAAATAGACCCATATAAAACTACAACATTTTTTTGGAGATTTGTTTGATTAATTGAATTCCGTAAAACAAAGTAGACTATTTTAATGAAACTTGTTACAATCTCAAAAATGTGTTGTTTAAAACGGTAATGTTTATGGCATGCTAAATAAGATAGATCTGATAGTTCATTACTTTTAATGATAAAAAATGACTTCTATGGATGCTTAGTTTTGCGTGTAATTATTAAAAAGAACAATGCCCTACAAATTATGAAGTAAGGTAAAGTTGGAAAAAATTCGCCTTAGGAATGTTTCAGTTTAATAATTCTATTAAATCCTATCAGTATGATTGGGAATATTTATTTATTTCATAAGTCGCTGGTTTATAAAACGTTTTCATTCAACAAGTTCAAAGGTTAAGCGTGACTTAGTGCATCCACTTGACCCACTGTGTGCCATTGCCTGTGACGTCACGGCTTTAGCTTTCGGCTGAGCTCACTCCGACAGATACAGACACACCGAGAGATAGAGATAGGAGGGAAGGTGAGAGAGCCACTCTTATCAGCAGCGGCATCGACAAATCGAAGACAAAACAAAAACGTCGTTAATCTTGCAGAGAAAGTCGAGCGCATCGCTCATCGCACGGAATGCTGCCGCTCCTCCTGGTTTTGGCGACTTTCGCTAGGATCCACGGCCACTACACGAGCGGCGATGTGGTCTACCACCCAATGCCGCACTTCTGGACGGGCGTGGGCTTCTGTCCCGCCGGCCGGATCGATCACGGGGGGATTAGCTCCGCCCTGGCCGATCCTGCTCTCCGGATCAACCTCCGCCAGATTGCCGCCCTGCCCGTGGGAGCGGTGACCCACATTCGCATCCACTGGATGCTGGAGCTAGTCCAATTCTGGCAGTATGACCCCAGCGGAGTTCCTATTTATGATTTCTCCAAGTTCGATGACTTTATTGATTTCCTGCACGAGGAACTGCGCCTGTCTCCGGCTTTAGAGTGGATGGGCAATCTGGGCGGGGTTTTCTCGGAAAACCCTCTGCAGCAATCCTTCTACTGGGAGCATTTGGTTAAGACTACAGTGAACCACCAGTTGGGTAAGAAATGTATGTCCCCTCAAAAATGCTTCTTTATCCGAGCTTTCCCGTCAGCACGACATGGAGCCTCCCGACTGGCCAACTGGCGCTACGAAACATGGAATGAACCCGACATTCGGGGGTACAACAAACTCAATTTAACGGCTCAGTCGTACCTCGACTACGTTCAAGCGGTGCGTCGTGGTCTAAGTAAAGCTGGGAATCCTGACACCCACGACGGAAAGCTCCAGCAGTCCATGTATCGTTCTTTGCGAGGTCCTGCTGGGCTCTTTAAGGACCCCAACAACCATCCGCTCTGCTGGAAACTGCTGGAGCATTGTAGCCAAAGAGTTGTCTATTGTCCAATAGATATACTCACTTTCCACCGAAAGGGAGTGGACGGCACTGCCACTGAGATCCTAAATGGCTCGTTGTCCCTAATGGCAAAGATCTACGAGGAGTATCCCAATCTTCAGCAGCTGCCGGTGGCCAATGAGTGAGTAGCAAGTAAAAGATTGCATTGTATAAGAATATACTATAACTACAAAATTTAATCGTACACCAATTGCTTTCAAATTTAAATGCTCATAACTTCTTAGATATTTATTACAAAAGAGGGGAGGGTAACTAAAAATAGTTGATGTAGTAAATATATTAATTAAATTAAGCAAACAAACATTTTAAAGGTACAGAAATTAGTTGTAGACTTTTAGTACAATATTTTTTAACGAAACCTGTTAATTTTGTTAAATTTGTATATCTATAAAGACTTATTATATCCTTGGTCACGGCAACTGAGCTTGGTTTTCGTGGTTTATAGAAAATTACAAGTGTTATTACCTCTAAGTTTTTTTATGACAATTTATAGATTTCTTTGAAGTTATCTCATCACCTTTTTTGAGAGTGTCCGACACGTTCTTATTATGATAAAAGTCCAGTCACTAAAGACGTGTTTTAATTCTAACTACAGAAGTAGCTATGCAGTCCTAAACAATTACATTACCTAAATCATTGCTTTTAGTAGGACCAATGTTTTTGTCTATTTGATCTTTAATTAAAATTCCGCATAATATTGGTGAATCATAATAACCCAAAACAATATATTGTAGTGTTATGGAAACGAAGCAACTGCAAAATGATATATGTCATGGATTGGGTAATGTTACTGGCCAGGAAGGATTTATTAAAAAATGTTTGAACCTAGCGGAATTTAGATCCCTTTAGGAATTTCGGCGATTAAGTTAATATTTCCTTGATACCACAACTGCATTATTAAATTAAACTATCGTTCTTGATTCTTTAATCAAATGTACAAATGTATAATAAATTAAATATTGTACCCTATTAATCACTTAGTGAGGCCGACCCCGTGGCTGGATGGGAAACTCCCCGGGAGTTTCAGGCGGATGTTCGTTATGGAATTACCCTGATGTCCACTGTGATGCAGTACTGGCATGCCAAGCTTGCAGCCGGTCCACTGAGAAACTTGGAGTCTATTAGTCATGACAACGCTTTCTTGAGCTACCATCCCCACGCGTTCACACAGCGCACACTATTGGCCCACTTCCAGATGAACGAAACCAATCCTCCCCACTCACAGTTCATCCAGAAACCCGTATACGCAGCTCTTGGAATGCTGGCGAAGTTGGGCAGCCGAGCTGCGGACGTGGAAGTGGTCAACATGGACACCAAGCACAGCGTCGAAGTGCTTCGTACAGTGTCCGGTGGTGTGGGCGGTCCTGGTCAGTACATGGCCACCATATTTCTGAGTCCCGAGGAGGCGGGCCCAAAGATGACGGCCTTTCATCACAAGTACACGCTGAACATGTCCATAGCGAATGAGTCGGCCTTCATCACGGAGCTCCTGGTGCCACAGGCCACGGATCCGTACCACGTGTGGCAGCAGGCGGGAAGTCCGGTTTATCCCAACGCCACTTTAAGGGAAGCCATGCGAAGAGCGCAGACTCCGAGGCTCTATAAGACGGGTCCCATCTGGCAGTACAACAGCGAGCTGGTGATCAACTCCGCCAGCATCCCACTGCCATGGGTGGCGCTGCTCCGGGTGTGTTCCGCATCGTGGCCCAAGCTGCGCCGGCCGCAGCAACTCTCTATCGTGGAGGTAACCCACCGGGAGGTCTTTATCAGCTGGATGGAGCACCCCAAATCCACGCAGTGCCTACTCAGCTACGAGGTGTGGTTCAAGGAACGCGACAGCCTGGGCCCTTCTGCCGACTGGCTGCTCATTTCCCGCGACTGGCACCTGCCGTATCCGTCGTTTCAGTACGCGCCCGGGGATAAGGGATCCGTCAATGGTGAGTAGGGGTAAACAAAAAATTAAAATTTTGACGCCGTTTACGAAGGAAGTAGAGAAAATAATTTAATCACCAAGTTAATTTCAATTGGTAAAACTGATTCCTGAACAGTTCAATAAATTTAATGGGAACTTTTAAATTAATGTAATTGAGTTAAGTCTGAATATTATTCAAAATCGAAATTTTTATAGATTTGATTTTATTAGAGGACAGTTAAGGTAACAACGATTTATTACGTGAAATTTTTTTTTCAAAACTCATATTTTTGCACTTGCAATAACTTTTTGGATGAAAATCTCCAAAAACATTAAAACATATTCCCATATCCGTACCTCTCTTTCCTTGACAGGTTTCTATAAAGTTCGAGGAGTGGATGCGTTTAATGAGACCAGCCCGTTCTCGCAAATAGTCGAATATTTGGAGCTGTAGCTCAACAGTTTAGGAATCAAAAGAACATATTTGGGCAAAGTAAAAGCAAACATAATCAGGCTTCGGCCAGGCGCTAGTGGACCTTATCCTACTCTCTATGTCTCTCTTGGAATGGACTGACTTCACCGGCACAATCTTCTGGACTTGCGCCTACGCCTTAACGCCGGCAATATCTTATATACATTATATAAATAGATATATTATTATATGTGTTGTGTTCGTAATACATATATGCCTTTATCCTGAAAAGGAATCGGCGAAAGCGTATATAGACCATTTTCATTTCCTGTGACGAGTATATACAAAGGAATTACTTAGTGACTTAATCGAGAACAACCGCGAATAGACGTCTTCTAATAAAACAACATATTATTTTGTTTGCTTTTCGCAAATAACCAAGGATCCAAGTCAATTTCTGCCTTAGGTGTCCAAAACCAGCCACTTTTCGTTGATGTGTTCGATTTGCTTGGTAAGAATCGGATTGCGAACGCGTACTTTGACTTCCAGTTTTCCTCCCACTTGCTTGCGGCCATCCATTAGCTGTTTCGGAAGTGAAAACAATTAACTTGAATTCCCTATTGTATTTTTTTATTTACTACTTACATCGTAGGTATCGTGAATGTCACACTTTGTCTCCAGTGGCTGCAGCTTGACATTGACGGTTCCAATCAACGTATCCGATCGCAGGAACCCTCTGAAACAACACAGGGGCAGTTTACGACTTAGTCCACAACAATCTATACTGCAGCTATTTATATGCACGATATTAAACGCGTAGCATTGGATGAGTGTTTGGCGATTTGTTGGGATTTGAGGCGTAAAGATTTTAAAAATATTTTATTAAAATGTTCCACATGGAAATCAATGAAGTTCAATGGGAATACATATATGAGATATATGTGTGCTGAAGCCGTGACTGGTACGATACTGTAAACGGGACCAAAATAACATGCTGACTACGGGGGAAAAAATTAAATTATTTGAAAATCATTAGGGGAAACTAAATTTTAAGAAACAAATCAATTCATAAGTTAAACTAAAAATAGTTAAAATAAGTTTAGTGTGCCTCTTCAGTTGTAATGTATTGCCTATTAAATTGTTTAGAATTCTATAATGCATAGATTTGAAAACTATTTATTAAATATCAAATTTATATGCCAAAATGATTAGAATGTTTTAAAGGTGACAATTTTAAGGAAGTGTCTTTATTTAATGAGTAAACTAAATATAAACCTAATTTACTTTAGGAACAGACCAGAATATAGTTTCTAAAATATACTACCCCTCTTAGAAAATCCTTAAAATGCGCTTGATTAAAATCATAACCACATCTGTTAGTCGAGATTAATATGCATGGAAAGCGACTTAGTACGGATTAATTAACTGTGCTAACTTAATTAGTTACAAGCAACTTACCCTCTGGAATATATTTCAAACTTAACGCCATGGCGCTTGAAGATTCTCTGAAATTGACGATTAGCTCGCTGAATGTCAACTTTAAAACGCTCATCGTAATCAGGACTGCTAGTGTCCCTTATAACATTGGTTTTAGTCTTAAAAGATTCATCCTAAAAGAGAAAAAAATTAATTTTTAACTAAAAGCAATGATATAAGTCACAATCTTACATTAAGTAGGGGAAACTCTACGCGCACATAGGTATCTACGTCCTTGGGATTGGCCACATTGTAGTTGATTCCTCGGACCACAACAATTTCCAGCTCACTGTCCGTAATATCCGTGTTGCAATGCACAATGTTAAAGCTACGTTTCTCATAGTGAAACTTTGGCAGTGTTTCATTCTTTCGCTTAGAGTACCGCACCAAATCCAAATCCTTTTGCACTGTTAGAGCCAGATTTTCAAACCGATTCATGCCTGCCACATCGCCCATGGCCTTATGATGATCTCGAGTATTTTTGCACATCATTAGCTGTTTGGCCAGCTGCTCCTCCATGCGAACACCAATCTCGCAGCTATCATCGCCCGGATCACATTCCTCGGCAGAGACTATGGCGAATGAGGCTTCAAGATTGTCTCGTTCGGAGGGTGGTACTGGTAGCTGGAAGATAATGGAAAACTTAGGCTTAAAAACGAAGAAACAACACGAATCTTACAGTGCTGAGATCCACTGGTAGTCCGCTGCTGGCTGCATTAAGCAGCGAATCGAATCCCTTGTAGATCTTGAGGTACTCCTTGGCCTGATCGATCTCACCCGCTTTTTTGGCCTCTATGGCTGCTAACTTGAACTCCTTTTGACGTTCAAGGAGAAGTTTCATTTGCTGCTCGGCGAGATTGTTTTTTTGCTGATTGCCAGACGTTCGAGTGGTAAGCTCCTTCGCTTGAGGAGGTGTAGGAGCCTTTCGGGGAGCTGTAGGCGTAGTCGTACTGGAACTGGAAGGAGTTCCGCCGGCGGAAGTACTCGCCGTCGCTGGAGGCGATGTAGGGGAAGTAGGCAGCGAAGGGGTAGGTGCGGCCGGAGCAGCATCCCCTGTGGGCAGGGGACCGAAACCGGGTGGGACAGGCAGTTCATCATAAGGCACAGGTTTTCCCGCCTTGTACAACTTAATGGCATCTTCGTATTGCTTTACAATCCTTCCAAAGCGTCTAGCCTTTCCGGTATTGTTTTCTGCCTTGGCAGCCGCCTCCACGGATTGATATTTTTCCAAACGTTGCTGCAATGCCTCCATCAAGTTTGTGGCAGCAGCTGGAGCGGGAGCAGCTGGTTCAGGAGCTGGCGCTGGAGTAGGTTCAGCAACTACTTCTGGCGGCGCTCCCTCCTTCAGCTTGTTTAAGAATTCCAGGAACTCAGCTGGCGGAGGCGGCATATCGCTGAGATCGACTTCCTGACCGTCCTCACACATCTTTACCACAACATCGAACTGCTTAACCACTTTAAGGAACTGAAGGGCAGTAGCAGTGTCACCGCTGCGCTTTGATTGCAGGGCAGCAGCCTTGTACTCGTTTTGGCGGCTGCGCATTTGTGCCACTAGGGGATTTGGAGGTGTGGTGGAGGCCACAGGAGTAATGGGTGCGACTGGCGAGGAGGGAGTTGGTGGTGCTGGAGCTGCCCGACTCGGAACAGGTGGCGGGGAAGCAGGAGTGGAAGGAGCGAGCGGTTCCTCGGCTGCCACGGGAGGAGCCTGACCGCCAGCAGGCTTTACACTGACTTCCGGCGGAATATCATCTACGTTGATAGATTTGCCAGCTGCTGCCTGCTTGTGCAGATCCTGCAGGGTCTTTAGACCTCTTCCGAAACGTCTCGCCTTCCCGGAATCGCCAGCAGCCTTGGCATTCGCCTCGGCCTGCTTGTACATCTCTAGGCGCTGCTTGATGACGCCCAACGTGTCCACAGTGGTAGTGGGCAGGAAGGTCTGGACGGGCTCGTCATAGTCAGCTGGTGGTGGTAGGGCTGCAGGCTCCTCTTCCTCCGTCTCCTCGACGCCACCAATTCCGCGCAGTTCGCCCAGCAGATCCGAGTCGTGTTCCAGACTGTCATCATCATCATCTTCGTCGCTGACATCACGCAAGCTGTCGGCAATCATTTTGTCCAAGTCACTGGCAGGGACCAGCTTCGCCTTGGGCTTGGTTTTCGGTCTACCTCCTCCTCCGCCGGCGATGGCCGCCAGCTCCGCCTCCAGATCGCTGTCGCCGCCATCGTCGTCCCCGTATCCAGCGCTGGGATCAAAGTCATCTGGGATTTCCGTAAGGCCAAACTGAAAAGAGAGTGAGGGTGCAGGCGATGACTCATAATTAATAAATAGACGAACCTAGTCTGTTTGTTTTTCCTCTTACCTGCGATAAATCGTGTTGCCTTCGCTTCGCTGGCTCTGGCTTCTTTCTGGAGAACATTCCAGGCTATTCAGAGGCTATAAAATAACTAAAATGTGTCTCTGAAGCCTTTAAAATCCTCTAATTAATTGCGTCGCAGCTACTCAGCCCCAGACAACAATAACAGAATGTTCGTGGGGATCACTGGGACAGAAATGAAGGTGACGCAGGAAAGAAGTACGTCACTGGCTCAGGGCTACTCAAGGTTTGAATATAATACCTATTAAAATATATGATGTGAAGGAAATATTAAATTTGTATAGTTTTGATTGCCATTTCAATTTTATAACTAATGAAAAGTCAAACAGACCTTTAAAATGAACACATGTTATCAGGATTAAGAAATAACCATGTTGAAATTGCATTATTAAAGATAAATAAGGAGATAATAGTCGCTTTTTTAATATAAAAGTAAATTTAATGAGCAACGGATCTTAAAAAGTCTGTAATTTACCCAAATGTAGTGCTTTTAATATTATCAAAACGTCGTGACACCCTTCAAGCTGCACATCATGCAGAACTAAACTTTTACCGGGAGCCAGGGCTACGGCACGCTAACAGGTACAGGGCTGCTTCGCCAGCTGACTAATCGATATCGCCACCTATCGATATCGGCAGCCAGCGCACACATAGTGCAAAAGAGTTTGCGAAAAAACCTGGACAAAAAGATAAATTGATTGCCTTCCGCGCAGCTTGAGGAAGCAGGAGTTGCCCGACGACCAGTGCCGTGGAGTGCTCTATCCACGTGGCCGTGGTGGCACCAAGAAGCTAGCGATACCCTCGCCACTGGAGTGCTCCCATCTTCCACCTCCTCCAACTCCGTCTTGGGGCAAAAGGCAGAAAAGCAGCAGAGACTTCGTGACGAGCAGCGGGGCAGCGGGGACTGGCACTGGGCTGCTGGGTCTAGCGTGGAAATAAACAAACGGGTCGGATTCCGGGTCCGGGTCGGAGGAACGGGGCGTGGCTCGCTAACCAGCGGCTTGGCAAACAAAACCGGAGGCGGCAACAAGTAGGCGGCAGGCATGGACGTGTCGCTCACTGAAGCGGAGACGCGATTCTACAGTGAGCTGTTCCAATGCTGCGACGTGGAGAAGACGGGCAAGGTGCCCATGCTGAAGGCGACCGAGCTCTTCCGCTCGGCAGACATCGCCAACGAGATTGTGATTGAGGTAGGTCCAATTCGAGTGATCGTGAGTGATTAATTATCTGGGGCTGGGCTTACAGATCACCGGGCTGGCGGGGATTCCCTCTACGGCATTGCACATCTCGCGGACGCAGTTCTACTCATGCCTGAAGCTGATCGCCGCCCACCAGGCGGCAATGCCGCTGCGCCAGGAGCTGATCTTGGCCACTTTTCCGCTACCACTGCCGCACTTTAGCTGGAAGGAGGCGGTCACAGCTCCGGTGGCTGTCGAAAATGGATTGGCTGCCTTGCCCCCGCCGCCGCCCACAGATCGTAGGAACTCGCTGCGTCGCAACTCGCAGCAGGAGCAGCTGCAGGACACTTCTGATGTGCCCAGCACCGACTCCGAGGTGGAGCAAAACGAATCCGTGGACGAGGCGACGGGCCATGGACGTGGCACGGATGGCAGCGGGATCGTCAGCAGCAGCAGCCGCGAGAATGTTGGGGTTTGTTAATCTATCTTATCATGTGACATATGCAAATAGGCTAGTCAGTGACCGTTCCGCGTCCATTTCTTATCTCTTTAGCGACGCCGAGGCGGCGGTGCTGCTGGTGGTTCTCCCGAAGCCTGGAGCACCAACAGCGACAGCCCCACACCCACCAACAGTGTGGCCCTCTGGCAGGGATTGTTGGGCGACGAGCACCGCCAGCTACTGGGCACGGAGGAGGAGTCCTCAGATCGCCACAGCAGCGATGATGAGGATAACGAGAGCGAGCTGGTGACCATCTACGAGATAACTCCGGAGCAGCGCGAGTACTATAACAAGCAGTTCAGAACGGTCCAAAGGGATCCACATGGACAGCTATCCGGCCAGGCAGCAAGGTGAGCAAACAGATAATAACGTATCTTTTTTAGTGTTTCTCAAACTCAATAAATTAAAGTTTTCTATTTAATTATTTCGGACGCTAATTATTTCCTTTTAGAATCTTTTTCGAAAAGAGTCGCATTCCTGTAGAGGAGTTGCGTCACATCTGGCAATTGTGCGACGTTACCCGTGATGGAGCGCTGAGCTTGTCCGAATTCACGGCCGCCATGCACCTGGTGGTTCTGAGACGGAACAACATTCCGTTGCCCACCAGCCTGCCCCACTGCCTGCATCCCAACGTGCTCCAAGCAGCTGCGTCTGGCAGTGGACAGGGAGTCACCTCCTCATTGTCAGCTGCGCTGCCTCAGGAGCCGCCTGAGGCTGATCTCCTGCATCTGAATGATGACGATGAGGACGACCACACGGACAATACAATCATAGCCGGCAATCTCAGCGGCGGCAGTTCCACCAGCAAGCCGCGTCCCAACGTGCCCAGCGACAAGAACATCATGAATCTGAGCAGCATTTCCACGTCCTCGCAGGCAAGCAACAGTTCCAGGCGTGAGGCCACACCGCAGAATTCTTTGGCCAAGAACCGCAGCATCTCGAACTCACCTAGTGTGGAAAAAGCGGTGACGGGGGCTGTTTCATCTACTGCAAATGCTGTAGATGCGAGCAACGCCTCCACCCAGTGGACAAAGTTCAGCGAATCTCCCACAACAAGTGCTGCTCCGTTGCAGACATCCACTGTTGTTGCTGCCGGAGCTGCTGCTCCTGCCGTCTCTAGTCCCGGGCTAAAACCAGCCCTGTTCGACATGAAGCGCTCTGCCCAGGATGTGGTCTCCAATCCACAGATCCTACACCCAGTGCCGCTAAGAGTGACGCCCATAGGTGAGTTAAATAAACCAAGGTTAAATATTTCTGCAAGCTAGCGGCGGCAAGAATCTTACAAATTATGGTAATATTTCCCATTTTCAGGCACCGCCATCGCTTCCTCGGCTGAGTCATCCAACGACAATGAAAGCGTTGTGGTTCTGCGCGAGGATAGTCCCAAGGCCATTTCTTCGACCACAGTCAACAATCAGTCATCTGGATCTGCTGTTTCAACGGGAGTATCGGGAGCCACAGGCTGCCATCGCGAGAGCAGCGATCTGCGTGCCATCCAACGGCCTCAGGCCAAAAAGCTGCCGGCCAAGAATAGTGCATTGCCACCGCCACCACAGCGAGAGCCGAGCATCGGATCTACTGGACCAAGTGAGCCCTCGGAGCCACAGGTTGCTTTCGTGGCGTCATCGTTGGCGTCCAAGAAGGAACCACCGCCTTTGCCGCCGCCGAGACCACATCGTCATGCGCGAAGCAGCAGCCTGGATTTAAACAAGTTTAAAATGGGCGCAACGGGTGGTGCCCAGCAGGCGGAGGTGAGTTATGGCCTATTGACCAACAATGTACTTGTGTGTTTTAATCTGTGTCGTGTTATTTGGCTTGGAATTACAGCCATACAGGGGACGGAGATTTTCTCCTGTCTATCCTCTGCAATATTGTGTTAGGCTAAGATACAAACAAAGATTAATGTCCGTCATATCCCTTTTTTCTATTAATATTATTTGTGGTGTATCCTTGCAAAAAAAAAAAAATATTGCAGTTTCATTAAGAATGTAAAAACGTATACCCTTTTTTTATGTCCGAGCCTTACCTACATATGTCCCTTCTTTAAATGATTTGCTGTAAGAGCAAGTTCCTCAAATATTTAGTAGATTTTGCAAGGATATCTTAAACTTCGGCCGGTCGAAGTTCCCAACATCCTCGTTACCTTTGTTTGCTGTATTTTTAACTACCTATAACCTGTGACATGTATATAAATATGCAACCCCACTCTTTGTTAAGATCACTGCGCAGGCCAGCTTCGATATGCAAACCTCAACAGGGTTTGCCGATTTCACGCACTTTGCCGACGAAGGCGCCGCGAACGTCGTAAGTCCAATCCTAAATGTATGCAACTCGTAAAGCATTCCACTCAAATTGGCCGTAGATCCTCTAGTGTCATGTCTCCAAATTCAGTAGCTTAACAATGTAATCCACATACCCGTATTTAAGTTTACCTAATCTGTGGACAACTTATAGGTGGACGAACAGCAGCTACACTCTTTGCCGCCGACAGCACCTCCTCCACAGGCAGCAGTGGTGCCGCCCACGAGGATTACTCTTCAGCAGGCTCAGCAGCGCGTTTCCGCTTTCGAGGTTTACCGGAAGCCGCAGACGCCGCGCGGATCGCAATCGCCGCCCCAACAGCCTCCACCGCCGGCTCCTGCTCTGGGACTAGCCACGCAATCCGGCCAGCTGCCCAGCGCTGAGAGCTTTGAGAAGCGGGTGACCGCCATAAGCGACTCGCTGCGCCACGTGTCCTTTAAACATGGTCAGGCCGGCACCACGGAGGTGTTGCAAAGGCTGCGTGAGCAGAACAATTCACTGCTCCACCTGTGCAACGATTTAAGCGACGAGCTGTTGAACGTCCAGACGCGCAAGGAGGAGATGCGACTCAAGCTGGAGGGACTCAGTGCCGGTGATGCTACCGGCCGAACGAGCTCGTCGATATCAGCCCCGGTGACAGCGAATGTGACCGGTGGATCCTCTGGTTCGGCAGGTGCTGCTTATACCAACGTTTGAGCAGCGAAAAATAATCATGTTTACTGGGGTGAATCGATTTGTTCGACAATTTGCTTGTTGGACAACTTTTGAGACACGTTTCTGTCTAAGACCTTGCATCTATTTTTATTATCTCTAAAGCCAAAAATTTAACATTCCTTTTAATGTGTTATCATTTTTCTAAAGCTATTAACTAAATCTTTTTTCTAAACTGCATACTAGACTTATATTGGTCCTTAGACTGCCTTTATATAACAATTATTTGGTTTCCAAAAATGCTAAAAAAGAATATTACGATATCTAAGTGAATGCTAAATGTGTTTTCTAACAAATGGCACAGTTAAATATTACATCAAAAAAGTTGTGATGAATTCAACCTTGACTAACATTCACTTGTTTTTCATTCAAACAAATCGATCCACCCTTAATGTTTAACACTTATTTTGTTGTTTCTGTATGTTGCAAGCACAATTCACTGATCGGGGTATTTACTCAACGATAAGACTGAGCAATCATTTGAGTAAGCAAACCAAATTTCCGTCAAAATTGCTTCTTATTCATGAAAATGTTTACACACAGTCTGTGGACAAACGATCACAAGATAAGTAAACTTTTATATTTCGTGAATTCAAATTGCTTACTCAAAAGTTGGCTCAGTTTTAAACTGATAAAACCGATGAAGCAGGTACCGCGTCCGTTTATGCATTGAAGTTGCTAATTTAATTTGTAGGCTAGTTAAATCTCAAGAACACAAACAAATCATGCGAGAACAACAACAATAATGCCGCCTCTATAGATATTTATGCAGATCGATTTATATATATATATGTATATGTATATTAAGAGATATATGTATATGCGCTTCTCCTAATTGTTCGCTTGACAGCCACCCGTATCTCACCCTCACCCTAGTGATTAATGAAACTGCCACAAAGTGGTCCAATCCCAGCTGTAATATTTCCTGCTGCGAGGGCATTTTTATTTCCAATTTGCTATTTATTAATGTTGTGTGTATGCCTCGAAAATGTCCCCTTCTATTCATTCCGGCAATGAAAACTAACTTAGAAAACAAAAAGAATCACAAAAACGAACCTAAAAAGAAAAATAATAAAAAGCCTGGCTTAATGTTTAAGTATTAGAAAAGTCAAAGGTAAAAATTCGACATCAAACTAATTTCCTTGAAAGCTTAGCTTAGGTTTTTCAAAAAATATATACCTATTAATATATTTTCTATCTGTATAGTGTACACGAATACACAAACTACTTGATATTATGTACATTTACCAAAATTTCTGTCTACGACTAAAGGAAAAGAAAATAAGATTGAAACAGGAGACAAATTTAATTTACCCGGACCACTAAATGTGTACGTATATGCTAACTTCGAATTTATCAGATATACCGGCATATATCACTTCTTTTGCATACTTAAAACCACTAGATGTATGAGTTTTTCTTCAACTTGTTAAACATTTTCAAAGACCTACCACACACAATCACACGAAAAACGAAACAAACGACATGTAATGAAAAGAAAAAAGTGATATTGAAACACTATGTAAGCATATTATTACGTGGCTGCGTAATCAATGTGTATTGTTTTGATGGATATACATCTCTATGAATAAAGATAAATGTATTAAGTTGATGTTGAAATGCTAAAAAAAAAGTAATAAAAACGAAAGTGCAACGGAAGTTTCATTGATTTCGATTTCGAAAAAGCACCGCCGATACGAAAGTGTCCATCCCTGGCGATAACAGACGCTGGCCGTTATCGATTGTCCTGCACACGCCGCTACACATCTCTAAGGCTTTGCGGCATTGAGCAAAATTTTTGCGAAAATTTGTGAGTTTACAAAGAACAGCTACTTAAATGGTTTAGTTTCGCAAGGCGACCGAATAATTGCTGCAGGCCAGAGTTTCAGTGTACCGGCTGGGTGCAACTCGCAGGAGAAATCGAGGCGATTTAACTGCTGCATATTGATAGGATTGGGCAGGTTAGTGCGAGTCGTTGCTGGGTATAAACTGGCAAAATTAATGTGTACCCCCATGCCGTTTCGCCTCCCACCTGCAGTCAGCCGATGTGTCAATGTTAATCGCGCTCTTCGCGCTTGCACACTTGCCAATCTTTCGTAAGACGCCGCCCCCAGCCTCTCCGTCGCCGCCGTCGTCTGCCCCCCAGTCGCCAAGGTGTGGCAGAGCGAGTTCCGCACACCATCCACCGCCAGCAGAAGTCCGCATCCGCGCTCCGGCCATCAACGCAGCATCCGGGATGAGTAACACCGCTGACCAGGACAAGCCGATAGCGGCCAATGGCAACGCAGTGGGGCCCCAGGAAGTGGAAATCATGTAAGTATCTCCGCATCCATATTATAACATCTGTATGTAAAAATATATTGTAATATTCCTTCCAGCAACTTCCTGCCGCACGAGAAGCAGTGCTGTCGTGTAATCAGGAGCAACCAGACTAAGGTCCTAACCTCCGGCGGCGTCCACACACGCGGCTCCTCCAAGGTCAAGCTAAAGAACATTGTCGACTACAAGTGGGAGCGCAAGTACTACTACCCGGGACATCTGGTGGCCGTCCACCGCGATGGCAAGCACCTTGCCTACGCCATTAATGGTGAGCTTTGTATACTACCGCGGGAACCTTATTGCCAATTAGATTTTATGGGGCAAGATTTTCTCTCTTATTAGTGGCAGCAGTAATAAGAGTTGTCATTTTCTTATTAATCTTTCCTTTGTTTTATGTTTTCATAAAAGATCCGCATGACTATTAGTAATCGTTTTTAATCAAATCTAACTTAAAAATTATGGGATATACAATGTAAGATAAGTTTTTGCTCTATTTTCAATTTAAGTTGTGGGCGTATTGGCTTAAATTGGTTTGTCCCATTTGAATGTCTGTCTTGCAAGTTTTGAATGTTTACTGAAAATATCGTTGGCGAGGAAACTTAACTATTCCCCTATCTAAACTAATCAAAATTGCATTATACTTACAGTCAACAACAAAGCCACTGGTATGGAGGGCATGGTTCGCGTCTGCAACATCAGCAGTAGCATGCGGGCCTTGATCAAGGGGATGAGTGGCGAGGTCTTAGATCTGCAGTTCGCCCACACCGATCGCGAGCGCATTCTGGCTGTGATCGATGTCAGCTCGCTGTTTGTCTACAAAGTTGATCAAATCGAAGGCAATCTTCTGTGCAATCTTGTGCTGAAGGTGGAGGACCCAATCGCCAACTATGTGCCGGAGTATGACATGGTCTCCTGGTGTCCCTATGTCTGCAGCACCAACACTGCTGTGCCGATCAACGACGAGGACGATGAGAATCAACTGCTTATTTGGTCGAGGAGCTCGCAGTTTCAGTGCTTCCATGTCAAGATGATTGTTTCTGAGCATGGGGTGCGTTTGGATTTTAATTTCTGAGCTATTAATATATTAATATGATTTTTTTTGTCTAATCAGCGGGGAAAAATACAACCGGCTGCATTGGAAACTGGATATCTAAAGATCGAGGAAGACTCGCTAATCACCTGCGCCGCCTTGTCCCCGGATGGCACTACGGTGGCCGCCGCCTGCGCTGATGGCTTGGTCCGCTTCTACCAAATCTATCTGTTCGATGTGCGTAACCATCGTTGCCTGCACGAATGGAAGCCACATGATGGCAAGAAGGTCTGCTCACTATTTTTCCTGGACAATATCAATAAGCCTGTTGAAGAGTAAGTAAACCAAGTTTCACAACTAATATTATTAGCAGATTTATCACGTTTTATTGGGGGCGAATAATGAGGTTACTTTTTATTACCGTCTTAAAATTTTGTGCTTAACGCTTCTTGTTATGGAAGATCAAGCAATTAACATAACTTTCTTTATTAGTTCCTACTGGCAGCACGTGATCACTACGAGCGATGCAAATACCGAAATCAAGCTGTGGAACTGCTCTCTCTGGGAATGTCTGCAGACTATTAACGTGATGGCAAGTAGTCCGTCTTCAGGGCAACCCGGAAACTTTATCGCGGGCATCGATCGCAGTGCCAACTACTTGGTGCTATCCTGCTTGGACTCGCTGGCCGTTTATGTAATGCAGATTGGGAACACTTCCCGTAGAGATTCCGGAGATGTAGACAGTTATAGCGACGGAGACGGAAGCGACTCCTCCAAACGCATTCAGAACGTTGCCGAGTTCAAGCTGAGCTCTGGCATTCTCTCTTTCTCTATCGTGAACGCCAGCATGCGTCGGGTGAAGAGCTCTATAGAGAGCTACTATCCTATCGAGGAGCCTGATGACTTCGACGACGATAGCAACTCAACCAGTGCGCTTGTACTGCACATGTTTGTGGTGCAGGCGAAGAGCCTGCAGGAGTGTCAAATAATTTACCAGCCGTGTGTGGCGGTGGCTGAAAAGTCAGAGCGCCGCAGCCTGAGCAGCAAACGTTCCGAGACGCCGGAGGATAATCTGCTGATCAAACAGGAGCCGGAATCCCCCAATAACGGATCGGCAGGCACCGTCCAGCTGGATGCTCTTTTTGCCAAATCCGCCAAGAGGTCCTCAACAGGCAGTTCATCTGCCATAGTGGCTGTGGCGGCAGCGGCTGCTGCTGCCCCTTCGGTCATTCTTCAGGATGCCGCCAAGGAGGCTGCCAAGTCAGAGTCTCCGCAACTAAGCAGTGCTTATCCGCAGCATGTGAATCTCATGACCCCAGATGCATTCAGTGCAAGCGGAACCTCTACGGCCACAGCAGTAGTGGTAGCCTCCACCACCACGACTTCCACAGGATCTGATAGTTGTGCAGCCGGCGGCGGGAAAGATAGATCGATTGATTCGGCAGTTCTGCAAACGCTTCGCATGCTGGCCACAGTAACGTCCAAGACATCCGAAAACCCCAATGCGGAGGTTCTCCTCAACCTAATGAACAACACCCTAATTGAAGACCGTGAGCAGCAGAAGCTCAAGGAAAAGCTGGACGCTCGCAAGAAGTTCATTTCCATTGATCGAAATCCGGAGCGTAATGTGGCTGAGAACTTGGCCAGCGGTGGTTCGAGTCCGAGTCGCGAGGTACAGGAAATAATGGCCACTCAGGAGGATGCCGATGCCTACGAAGCTGAGCTCGAGCATCTAGACAACGATGATGACGACGAGGAGGAAGAGCTGGCCATTTCATCGCCCCTGTTGGAGGCTGTGGATGGAACGTGGCCCATTGTTAAGCTGCCATCCCTTACCAACTCTGCTGAGCTCCAAAATGCTGCCCAAATCATGTCTCAGGCGGTGCAGAATACCAACAATGGCAATGTGCCACCCACGCTTGGTGGTGGTAATAACAATAATTCTAGCGTGGGCAGCAATAGCAACAACAACACGGCCACAACGCTGAACACCAGCAACAGCAGCAGCAACAACAATGCTGGAACTGGGGATGGCTCAAATGGAAATGGAGAGCTGAATGCCAAGCTAGAACTTCTTATCGGTGAGTAGTGATTAAAAAAGTACCAATTCAATACCTACAATAATATGGGATTGATTTAAAGAATTAGGAATTATAAAAAAATACACATCCATAAACTTCCCTTGATTTCTTTCCAGATCTGGTTAAGGCCCAATCCAAGCAAATTAACAAACTAGAGCACGAGGTCACCAAGCTACAGCAACAGCAGGAAGCAGTGGTAGCCCAGAATAGTAAACCGGATGCTTCCTTGGAACCTAAAAATGTTAATCAGCTGGCGTATAAAATCGAGATGCAGCTGTCCAAGCTGATGGAGCAGTACCTCAAGCGCTACGAAAACGAACACAAGAAGAAATTGACCGAATTCCTGGCAGCGCGGTTAGTTAAGAAACAGCTCCCAAGCATAGAATCCCTTAATCCAAATGAATTCCTTTTACAGTGAAAGTCAAAATCGTGAACTACGCGACTCTGTACTTCAGGTACTAAACCAGTACGTAATGAATCACTTTACGGACATTATTGGGAACGTTCTCAACATGGAACTGCAGCGGCAATTGCTCCCACGGGTGAATGCAAAGATGGATCAGCTCCAAGCCCAAATGCAGGTCGAGATTGTACAGAAGTTGAGCGTGTTTGACAAGACGGTCAAAGAGAATATTGCCCAAGTATGCAAGAGCAAGGTATGCATTTTTAGGAACTCTTTTTATGGAGCTTATAATTAACAGCTTACTTATCCTTTAGCAATTTTTGGATACTTTTGGCAAGTCTGTGTTGGTTGGTGTCCAAACCAGCCTCCAAACCGCGTTCATTGAATCCATGGGCAGCACCTTGATTCCAGCTTATGAGAAGTCCTCACAGAACATGTTTAAACAGCTGCATGACGCCTTTAGCGTGGGCATTAAGGACTGTAAGTATAAAAAGGCACTAAAAACTCAGGAGATAATAATAAATAATAACCTTCATGAATCAGGTTAAATAATTTGTATTAGTTCTCTAATTAATTATTGGTATCGCTTTTTTCTTCAAGTCATGGTCCAGTTCAATACCTACCTGCAACACATGCCCCAGCCTCAAGCGGTAGGCGCCAACTCCGAGGAGCTGAACAACAAACTAACTATGCTGAAACAATTAGTCGAAAGCAGCCTGCATAAACACCGCACTGAGCTTACCGACGCCATGCTGGAGACGCAACGAGAGGTGAAGAGCTTGGAAATTTTGCTGGCACGCCAGGTACAGGAAACGATCCGAACAGAGCTGCGCAAGCACATGGAGAGCCAGAATATGGCTATGCGTTCACAGGCAGCCACGCCGGCACCACCATACGACCTGAGAGACAGCATCAAGCAGCTCTTGCTGGCTGGACAGATTAATAAGGCCTTCCATCAGGCCTTGCTGGCCAACGACTTGGGCCTGGTTGAGTTCACTCTCCGACACACGGACAGCAACCAGGCCTTCGCTCCCGAGGGATGCAGGCTGGAGCAAAAGGTATTGCTGTCACTCATTCAGCAGATATCCGCTGACATGACCAATCACAATGAGCTTAAGCAGAGGTAAGCTAAGAAATATATTATCTAAAATTTTTTTGAAATCCTTTTTTAGTTTCAATCAGTAAAACAATTTTAATGAAATACATTTTTTAAGTTTCTACGAGTATATAATTTACAAAGTAAAATCTCTCTTCTACAGGTACCTCAACGAGGCGCTGCTGGCCATCAACATGGCTGATCCCATCACCCGCGAGCACGCTCCCAAAGTGCTTTCTGAGCTGTATCGCAATTGCCAGCAGTTTATCAAGAACAGCCCTAAGAACTCGCAGTTCAGCAACGTCCGGCTTCTGATGAAGGCGATCATAACGTACCGCGACCAGTTGAAATGATATCAAGAGAACTACAACCTGGCTAGCGGCTGGTACTGATAGATTACCAATCCGACCTTGCCCGGCCCGGTCCCCCATCCAAGATAGATAATCTAGGACCACACACACATTAATTAATACACGCTTGTAGTTAAGTACAGAATGCAGTTCATCCCTGCTAAAAAAAAACTCTCAGTTCATCCCTCAAAGAGTTACAATTTAATCTATGCCTTTAATTTTATTGTTTATTTGTTTTGTGCGTGTTTTGTTTTAAGTAAGGCTTTATATCTTATGTTAATGTCACTATCGAAACTGTATTAACCTTAGAAAGATTTACCTACAAAATGGCAATATTGTTTTTTTATAATTTAATTTTTGCACCGATCTGCGAGCAGTTCGTATGTGCTGCCTTTTTAGTTTCGTGTCTTTAGATTTTCTTTTTATAATTATGACGCTTACTGAAGAAAAAAAACACTAGAAACTGAGCTGTAGAAACGTATTTCAAAAATGATTTCGAAAAGAAAGGAAACTTTCGAGTATGACGAACAACACAAACACATGATTATGATGATTGCAAATGCAAAAACTACAAGTAAATCGTAGATATTAAGCTAAAAACAAAATAAGAAAAGAACTAAAATTTATAATAAAAAAATAAATGTATGTACTTGAAAAATACCGAGAAATAGTGTTTTGTCGAAGTCTCGTGCTCACATTCCATTGGTCATGTGTATAGCTCCATATAGCTTACACCTTAGCTTAGCTAGTAAATGGTCATATATTTCTGAATGGTATGCAAATCGTACAAAAATCTTTTTGCTTAACGACTAAAAAACACCTAACTATTTTGATATCCACAGATACGAGAAAATGTTTAGAAAGTTTAGGGCCACGCGACAAAATCCAGCTCAGCTGAGCAGGGCTAGCAGCTCCGACGTCCGCTCCAAGCATTTGCACCCACAGGTTGCACATACTTGGTGTTTCTGTAAGAAAAAATATATATATTTTTTTTTTTGGTATTGCTTAAAAAAAAAAGATAGAAATTACTGAAACGTTTCCAAAAGAGGCCAGTGTCTGACCTTACATACTTTTCAATTAAATTCTTTATACAATATCATTGATAGTTTTAATAAGATCTTTTCATCAAATATTCAATCATTTTAGGAACTATGCGTAATCTGTGTAGTCCTTTAAGGCAGTAATTATACATTCATAGAAATCGAGTAAATAAACTTCCCTGTAGTTTATTTTAAATACTTTCTAAAATTGTTGCAAATTTAACCAGCTAAATTTTTGGCTAATATTTTCGAATTAAAATAAATAATTCTGAATAAATGTATCTAAAATATTATATAAATCTTTTGATATGTGAAAACGTCAACTGGTTCAGAAATATAAAACGAAACTAAGCACGAACCAATAGTGAAACTTAGAAAAAGGTTACCTACCTCAAACCACTGCATCATATGATCCATATGTCCGCCATGTCCACAGGCCAGACAGGCGTTGGCTGCTCCCTTCACGGGCAAACGACAGAGGACACAGAAGAGTACTGGTCGCTTGCAGGGCTCGCACTTCGGCGTCCGCTTGGGCTTGGCGCACGAACCGCACTCGGTAACGAATTCCACACCCTGGACGGGAGGTGGCATATTCTGGGTGTGTTTGAGAATCAGGGCCCGTTTTGAAAGCAACTGCCAACCAAAAAGGATTTCGGCGTAGGAGCGCTTAAATTGATCGAACAGTGGCACCTTGGCTCGCCTAATCAAAGAGCAAGCATATGCATCAGACTGGACTTGCTTCACCTCCTGATCCAAAGAGTCGGACCAAGAGTTGCTCCGCAGTTGCTTAAGTTGCTGCCAAGTGTTGGAAGAGGACGATGACTTAACGTCCAGTGGGAGCACCGTGTGATACGGGGAAATCTGCGAGTTCAGCTGCGGTGGAAGTCGACTGGCCATATCCATGATGGCACTTCCGCCCGTGGGACACTTGTCAAACAAGCAAGCCAGGAGGACAGCAGTCTGTATATCACCGGAACTGGCATAATGCATAATCAGCGATTCTAGTAAGGATTTCTTGAACGGATCCTTGTAAAACAGCAGCTCGTTGAGCGTCTCATGGGGCACTTGGGGTGTGGCTATAAGTTCCGCCAACAGCCACACGGGCACCAAATCTAGGCGCCCATGCTGGCGACAGATCTCCCCATTTTTTCGACACGTCTCCGCTATGTTCAGCTTATCCAGCGAGAACTCCCTGGCCATGCTGCGACTAATGTGGAGCATGCTACTGGTGTCGTATACGTGAACTACCGGACTTCCATTCATCTGCCGGATGGCTCGTTGTTTTCCAGGTTTCCCCGAAATCATTCTCTCTTGGAGATAAAATGAGGCATTAGCATCCCGCTGGGCTGTAGCCATTACATTGCCAAGCAACCCACTGCCATTTATCGCAGAGAAAGTCCTCGGAGTTAGGGCAGAATGTTGCCGCAGGGTTAGCCTTTTGTTGTTCACCGGCTGGGCAAAAGTGGTCAGCATACCAGTGGCATTAAAATGCACCCCCGATGTCCGTGGAAATGGAATGCAGGCATCGTGAAGGGTGCTGGACAGTGCTCCTTCCAAACGCGGCGATTGCAAGAGCAGTTGACTGCGATCCGCTCCTCCTACAGCTGCAACCTTTTTCTTCATGGCCCCAACTAGTGCGCGGAGACACTGCTCCAAACAAGTGCGCGATTTTTTGACGCGCTGCAAGGCGTTGCAACGCAGAACCTTAAGCAGAATGCCACTCACCTCGCTAGAGAGAGTGGTGCCTTGGCATAGCTGAAAATCTGGCGGAGCACTGGGACTCGGATATGAAGTGGCAAATGTAACCTGCAGGATCACAGTGTGTCCGCCGGCGCAAATTTTGAAGCAAGCGTATCGCTTTATAGCATCTAGCGTGTCCACTTCCACATGAGGCATGTTTGTGTTGAGAAGCGAAAACTCGTGGTGCAGTGAGCACGTGGGCTGATCTGTTAAAGATCTAGCCATGTGGGGCTCCTCACGTCGATAGTAACCGCCTCCAAAGCTAGGAGAGCGGGCCATGGGCAGCGTACTGCATGCTCCGTCACCCGTAGAAATCGGCAGCGAGGCGGCTACCAAAATTGAACGTGGATGCAGGAACTCCGGAGGAGTAGGCACTCTCAATTCACTTAGGTCCGGCTCAAAGCGGGATTCCTCTTCTTCCGCGGACGGCTCGCAAAGTTTAAGCATGTTATCGTCGATCTTCCACACTCTTAGGGTGCGATCCCTGGACCACGTAACCAATTCCTAGAGGGAACTCAATGTATGGTAAGGAAGATATTATTTATACTTCTGATACTCACTATTTCTGTTGAACTCTCGTGATTGGGACGCCAGGCAAAGTCCAGAATGACATCGGTGTGACCCACAAAGGAGCAAATTGGATCCGTTTGCTTGCTGTTGCTCCAGAGAAGTAAGCTATTTTCACCGCGGCCCAAGTGGGGCACCACAATGCTCACCAAACCGTTGCCAATGGGCTGCATTATAAAATTCAAATTAAAGGTGCACTATTATAAGGTCCATGTATTACCGTGTATCTAGCTCTCCACACGGGAGACATGGTGGTGATGATTTTCTCGGCCCTGCGTGGATTGCAAACATCAAAGTACTTGACCGTCCCATCCTGACTGGCGGTGGCCAGGCAGGTCTCTCTTTTGTGGCTCCAATTGATTCCGTGGACCCTATTTAAATGCGCAGTAATGTAGTGTGTTGGGCAGCTGCCCTTGCGAAGATCCCAGATGCGTAGATCTCCATCGTGGGCGGCAGCCAAAAGATTGCCAGAAACGCGGTTAAAGCCCACTTGGGTGGCACCAGCTAAGGGAATTTAAAATGTGCTAGGAAAGCCTTGCAATGCTTTACAAAATACTCACACATGCAGACGGCATTCAAGGATACGGTTGGTTTTCTTGGTTCCCTCAAGTCCCAGATGTGAGAGAAGGTGTCTATGGAGCAGCTGACCAGCAGGTTCGGGTCCTGGCTGTGCCAGTCGATGTCAGTCACCGTGCGAGTGTGCCCGCGCAAGGACATCTCGTAGTGGGGCTCTGCAACGCCCCAGCGCACAATGTCTATGTGTTGGCTGGTCTGGAATACGATAAAATGAATGGATTAAGATAGACCAAAAATAAACATTCTTTATGCCTTACCGCTATGGCGCAGTACTCTTTGCGACTGGGACATATGGCAAATTCTGCCACTGATACCTCGTACTTGGACTGCCGCTCGTGCCGGCGCAAGGATCCGTCGTCCTGTCCCAAGCGCTGCAGGGCCAGGTGACCGCGTCCCGCGAGGAGCACCCATTGACCCGTGTAGTCCACCGACATGGCCGTGGCCTGGGAATCGCGGTGCTCATAGTATTTGCTGCTCTGCCTAATGATGTGCGTTTGCTCGGGTCCCGCTCCCCCCGATCCACCGGCTCCCCCGCGTTCCCCCGGTCGCAGTGTTTCTGTGGGTGGCATTTGGTCTACTACTATAAGTGCTCGAAAAAAATAAAATCTACAATTTAATCCATTTTTGCAACGAACGAAAAAAAAAACGAAGAAACTGAACTGATAAGAACGATGCACAATAACAACTAGAGCTGGAACAAAAGACGATAGTTATTCAGTACTATCGATGTTAAAATTTTAACGTAGATCAATAAGTGCATCAGGGATTGCATTTATCGTTATCGGTTGTTGAATTTGGTTGTTGTTGAACCGTACAAATACTCCACCAAACCGAATCGCTATTGACAACAAAGCTAATATTAAGGAAAAAAATCCAAAATTTAAATTAGGGCGCTCGATTTTTTTGTTTAAAATTCGAACTGGTATACGTGTTGTATGAGTAATTTTTATGAAGGCTTTGAAAAATAAATGAATCCCTAAATTGGTTTATTATTTATTTTAAAATGGTCAATCAAATATATAATTTTAAAGAATACTTATTTGAAAGCATAACTAAAAATATTGGCCAATTTAAACATTGTTAATGTGAGTTTTTAAAAAATATTATAATCTAAAAAAGTGTTTGTAATTGACTTTTTTTAATATAAGGGAGCACCCAGCTTAAACTCAGACCGAGGGCTTTCGGTTTTCATTTTAGGTAAACTTAAAAAAGGTGGTGGTAAATAAATGTCAAATAATTACCCCCTTAAAATGTAAAAACTCTTTGAAGCAGCCATTGGAAGTTCACATATTGATTCAGAGAATTCTAAGCCATTTTTGTTCAATTTACTATTCTTTGCCCTGATTCATTTCATTTGCAATTGATCCAAATACCATTTTCCAAATCGGTCATTCTGCCATAACTCCGATATTGGTTAAAAGTAAATAAACCTCTACATTGAAAAACCACCATTATAAGTTCGCTTTTTCCTCGCTATCAACAATAGTTTATTGTTTATTTTACATACACAAAGTAATTCCGCGGATATTACGATTAATAGTTTTTTTTCGGTTTATTGTCCTCTAAGTAATTGGGAAATAAACTAATTCCGCTATTCTACCGTGACTATGTGTGTAGGTGCATAAGATTGGGAACTCCTTACGGCAAAGGCTAAAAATGGATTATTATTTATACAAACTTCGACTATTTCATAGAAATAAACTAGGTTTTATGGCTAAGGCTACTTAATTGGGTTTCAAGTCTTTGACGTCAAACACCCCATCCCGGGAAAAAATCCGTTTATATGGCCTCCTTATCTGTGACAATAGCAGAACATCTTCAGGGCCGGATCGTTGAGGCAGTAGCTCTGGCTCCCGTACAGGTTCAACCGGCTGATGGTGCCCGTTAGGACAGTCGTATAGCCCGTCATCCGCACCGTGGACTCGAAGACACCCAGTCCGGGCTTCGTCTGCAGTCGCAGGGTGATGTCCACCGCATAGTCCGTGGATATGTTCTTCACGATCTTCGAGTGCGGCGCCGCAATCAGGGCCTGCAGTATGGAGTTCAGGTAGAGGGTCCTGCACTGGGAGCTATCCTTCAGCCGGTTGTTGATCAGGCGGACCAAATACCGCGCTGCCCGCTGAACCCGCTCGTCGTTCGTCGCCAGCTCCTGGCGCTGATGACACGTGCACCAGTGGGCGGCAATCCCCGCCTGCTCGCATGTCCTCGCCGCCGGAATGGGCAGGAACAGGCTGAGGCCACGGGGCAGCGTGCTGTCCGGCTCCTCGAGCTCTGCTGATCTGCGCAGCAGCTGATCTGCCTCCAGATTCCCCAGATTCAACAGCTGCACCATCGTGGCATGGACATCAAATGGTGTGGTCAGCCGGCGGGCATTTAACCTAAGGTTTGCTATCGCCTCGGGATACCGCTCGTTCATCCAGGGCGGGTACAGCAACATCATCAGGGGCTGTCGCTCCTCCATCATTCCTTGGTAGGTGCGTCGAAAGGAGCCCCATCTTAAACCGTGATCGGAGAGCAGCATCACCACCGTGCGATTAAGCACTCCAGAGTCTTGCAGTTGCGTCAACTGCGTCAACATGGCCTTATCCAGAAGTGAGGGGAAGTTGAAGTAGTCATGGGTAAGGGCGACCGTCCAGAAGAACGAGAAGTACAAATCCCTGCTCATTCGAGGCACCAGTTTCTTCATGTAATCCAGCAAAACATCCGCCGTCCGGCGACTGCCCATGCACAAGTGCATGTTGAGGTCCTTCTTGAAGGCCACACTCTTCTCCATTTCCATGATCATGGGCCGCAAATAGTAGTCCGTGGGCTGTTTTCTGAATCCGTTTTGGTTATAGTTAAAGGACGAGAGCAGGGCCACATCCTCGGCAAAGATGGAGCGATAGCCAGCCTGCTGGTAGCGTTTCCAAATGAAAGAACACCGATCGTAGGACCTCAATGTCTTCGGCGTGCAGGCCAGATTCAGTTCCTGGTCATCCAAGCCACTCAGCAGGGGCACTATGTTGGGGAAGGTGTTGTCGCCCACCTTATTGTAGCCCCATAGTTCCACGTGCGACAGGTGCTTCCGAATGTAGTCCGATGTTTGGCGCATCTGGCGCAGGAAGTTCAGGTGAGAAAGGCTGTCCATGCCCAGGATCATCACGGAAAGACGCTCATGTGCATCCTTGCTCTTGTTAAAGCTGTCCCCATCGGTTCCGGTCTTAAGTGGAGGTCTCACCCGCGGTTTTTCCACCGCAAAAAAGTGACAGTCCTTGTGGAACAGTTTGTCCGAGGAATCGTAGCACCACATGCAAAAGAATTCCAGGTCGAGTGGTAGTTGCATTACTCTGTCCAGCTTAAAACTAACACCCGGACTGTACTTGTTACTGGAGTCAGTCTTCCGCTTAACCTCCGTGAAATTGCAGTTTACGGAGGATAGGTCGCTGATGTTATAGTAGGCGAGCAGCTCACTGGCGTCCAGATTGAGGTGCAGCTGCCCGGGCACCGTGTCACTGGTCCGCACCAGAGCTCTGTTGCAGCTGTACTGACGCGGTTTGAACATGAACTGGGCGATGGTGTCGTCGGTGACCTCGAAGTGCGGCATCCGGCAGCCCGGAGTGTCCACAAAATAGGCTGTCGTCAAATTTCCACCGTAGTGGTCCTCGAGGCGGGCCATGAAATCGAAGCCATCGCGGAAACGGAGCAGCTTCGTCCGGAGGTTATAGTCCACGCACAGGTAGGAGAACACGCAGAGACAGAAGATCACAATCACTATCTTTTTGAACTGACCACGGTTCTTGTTCATGTTGTAGTAGCGATAGTATTGCTGCAAGTCCCTCTTGGTCATAAACTTCGGATCCAGCAGGTATTTGCTTCTGTGGAAAAGCAACAAGATAATGATTAACTTGATTTGTATGTCTAGCAGGAAAAGCAATGCAGAGGTGTTTAAAAATAGGTCGGGATCTGTCAAAAATTGTGCATTGAAAATCGTGTGGAAAGTCTGATTGGATTCGATAGGTTTTAAAAGTATTTTTAATCACAAAAAAATATTTAGTCTAAAATTTAAAAAGTTTGTTCAAATAATGTTACAAAATGTTGTATCTTATTTGATTTCAGTAAAAAAAAACTCAGGTCAAGTTATTATGAATTTGTAAATTGGTTTCTTTAAAAAAAATGTCCGTAATGTAACTTTGAGTTGTTTTCAGCTAGACATTTTGTTATGAATGGAACTCAGATATAATGCTGTAAAAATAATGCATTATTAATGATTGATATTAAAAGAGACTAAAGAATGTGCAGCATTAAATTTGTATCAAAAAATTGTGTGTGAACTTATAAATTTAAACACCCAATTTTTTTAAATTCCTATTCCATTTATCTACAAAGTATTTTTTAAAAATAAATCTCAAATGCAATGTCAATAAAGTGTGCAGAAAACATAAATAAGTTTAATTAAATTAAATTCAAACTAAACTTAAATCAATTTATCTTTAATTTATTTAATTTATCTTTAAAAAACTATACTATATTTGAGATTGATGGTAATGGCGTTTCTCATATTTTTTTTACAGTTCAATAATGTGTATATAATCAGCCTAACTATATTCTTAACTTCGCAAAGCATCCATTATTTTATAAATTGGTTTGGTTCATTGACTTTGAAATTCACTTTAGCTCCTTCATCAACCGCTGACCTTTCTATGGTTACCGCAAACTTCTGGTAGGTTCATTGTATTCTATATTATGCTTTACAGTTTTTTATGCTGACAGCCATTAATTAAGGCAACAAACAATATAATGAATCGAGACAAGAGAAGCGTTCCGAGTGGCCACTCAGTCGAAAGTCCTTAATTCACTGCCCACCTAGACCATCCTCAACCCACTTTCGGTCCTACAACCCACCACACCCTCCAGAAGTTGGTTTCCTCTGTCAAGAATAACCGGAGAACGTAGTGCTGTCAATGTATTCCGATTTAAGCCGGGGCCAGCTCATGAATATGCAGCCGAGGTATGCCCAAAGAAGTAGGCAATACAAAATGAACAAACAAAATACTGTTGCAGTGTAAGAATGGAAAGCACACTGCGAAAAAAGTACGCAATAAAGGGTAAATTTTTTAAGATTTGGGTTACTTAATTAAAATGAGTTTAATCATTTTATTATGCTGATAGCACAATAGAACATATAGAACATAGTATTATCTATTTAACATAAGATTTAATGCTTGTTCTTCTATATATTATTAAGATATTGTACTTAAAAAATATTAACATTATAAAATGAAACAATATTTAAAAATATTTAAGTTTTCAACATTAGTTTCAAATAGTCGTAACCAAAATTAAATACCAAATACCTGAATAACTGAATTAAAAGTTAAATATAAATCTAAAGGCTTAACAGTATTAACATGGGTTTGCTTTGAAATATTAGACACGACTTAAAGTTGTATTTTCAGTTTTTGCTCAGTGCACGCCATTTTTTTTCGGGCCAGGTGAAATCCATTCAAAAGAATTTTCTTTCCAATCCATCCGATTGTGGACAAAAACAAATTTTCAATTGACACTTGGAATTGCATTTTACTAGAGCAAACACACGGAAAGGATGGGAATCGAATGGATTAAGGGGCGAAGGAAGAGGATAAGCGTTGAAATGGCATTCGGCTTGAAAGCCCCAGGCAAACAAGCGATGACACACAATGACACACCTGTCCTCAACCCCCTTCACACCCCTTTTTTTGTCCTTTGATGTATGAAGGGGGGGGGCTGCCCATTTCAGTACTTACTCATAGCTCAAGTCGCCGTATTTTCGCATATCCTTTGCCGTGTAGTAGGTACGCATCTTTCCGACACTTGCGAATCCTGATGCGCCCAAAGTCCCCAAGTTAGTATCACCCTTCTAGCGCCCGTGCCCCCACCCCCCTGCTCAAGTCCTTGACATCCTGTTTGCTTTCTAGTTAGTCCGCCTTTTGTTTTGCTCTCCGTGCTCTGCTTATTCCGCTAATTGTTTGTGGGCCACATTTTATGCACTTTCGATACAACAATTTTCACACGACTGCACTCGCTCGGCTGCTTGCATATTCTTCGCTCTTCGCCGTTGTTGTTTTCTCCCAGTTTTTTGATGTTGTTTTTGTTTGAGTTTTCAATTGCCACGCTTTCCCTGCGAATTACTGCAGAATTGTTTCCGTTTCAGCTGGCTCCTCGTCGCACACTGAGTTCCGCAAAACTCGGAGGCTGCAGGCTCCAGGTTGACTGGGTTACTGCCTCTCGCTCTCCCAGTGTTTTGACAGTCCCGTTACTCGGATGGGTGGTTCGGGCGCAGGCGCGTGCCCGTGACAGATGCTCCAGGGATGCTGTGCCCAAAAAACCACACTCAAAGAAATCAGGAAAGAATAGTTAATTAGGAAAAATCAAAGAAGATGTTACGAAAAAATTTGTTTTATAAAAAATGTATCAATCACTTTAAAAATGATTTGTTTATTGAATGAATTTTTAAACCATTTTTAGTAAATTTATAATATGATTTTCATTTCTAATGATATATTTTCAACATAATAATGATTTAAAAAAAATTTATTCAATTTTGTATATGTATACCTTTAAATTATATGGCCCTAAGCTGGACAGTAAAATATCTCATGCAACATGTAGTAATTACTTAGTTATATATATTTTTTATATGTTTAATTGAACGATTTATTAAAACCTAATTAAGAAATCCTTTGCTATTGAATATTTCATTCGCACCTTTAATTATAGTCATTAAATAATAGTTAACCACAGGGTTCACATACTAATGTACAAATAAAACATATTTTAATGAATATTTTTTGTTGACTTGTTTTTCTCTAGTTTATTGACTATAGTTTGCTGGCATTAATTACTATTTGCATTCTGAAATGACCCACAGTGGGTAATTAATAGCTGAAATCCTTTTGCCTAGAAGTGTTGTGTGGCCAATGAACCCTGATTCGCATATCTCCCGCTGTTCCTTTGGAGAAAATCATTAGATTTATTGTGCAAGAAAGCTTACCTCATTTATATTATAAAAATACTAAAGTTTAATTGTAAATAAGACTTGAAAATTCTTAAACGGGCTAACAAGTGCTTATTTTATTAAAATATAACTAAAATGCAATTTTCTTTTTTTTCTATTTTAAATATTTTTTTTCTTTGGAAATGTCTATATAAATAAATATTTTGCAGAGGTTTCTTAAAATTGAAAATCCTTACTTTAATTCAATTAAACTTTTCAAACAAATTTAAGAATAGTGAGAAATAATCATTTTGCTTTGCAGGAGCTCAACTACTCCTCACGTAGAAAATTACTTTTTTACCTACTTTTAAATCGAATTTTGCATCTTAAGTTTTTTCAAAAAAATGTTGAATTAATGAGCTGTAATCCGAAAAGAATCCTTTTTTGAGTACGGATGCACCGCAATTCAAGGGTTCTCCAATATGCAAAATACTTAAGTTAAGCCCACGCAGGCATCCGTAAAACGACAAAAATGGGGGACACATGCAGCGAGGAGTCAACTGAGTTCGTGGTCATCCCATCCCCTGCCCAGCCATTCAGGCCATCATTTTTTGGGCTTAACGAGCAACAAGTGGGCCAAAGGACTTTCACATTCCGCTCATTAGACGGACCAACCGAAAAAGCGCAACAGGCTGCAACCAACACATTCCCATCCACCCACACATGTATGGTGGATGTGTGTGCGTTAATAACTTTGCTGCAGGCAGGACATGGATTTTGATGTTCAATAATTACAGCAACAGCCACTGCCAAGGAGCAGCAACAAGGACGCCGAGTGGGGGCGCCAATCGTAAATCAAAGTATGAAAAAAGCATTTCACTGTTGGACCAGCTCCATCCCGATTAACAAGCGTCTATAATGCTTCATTACTGTAAAAAAGGAGCAAAAAAAAAAGAAAGGAAACCAGTGAAAAGCCAAGAAATTGGCTGCTATAAAAGCGTCGAACGCATAAGGCCAACGCTTCAGTTGAATTTTCAAAAGTGTCGAACGCAGGCCATATTGACATTAATTAGTTTCCCGCCAGGAGCCACCAGAATGCATCACCCACCTGGGCAGAGACCAGTGCATGCTGCCAGGCGCCAATCGGCCAGGAAGAGGAGTCCTGCTCTCGCCAGGAACGAGAGCTGCCCGGCCGGCAGGACCTATCACCTGCCAGCCTTGTTGATTATCCTGCTCGTCCTCATCCAGAACTTCGAGCTGCACATGTGCCGGCAATTAATGAGGTACCCGGGCGACAAACAATCCCCGGACAAGGTGCTCACCATGGGCGGCAGTGCAGCCGGAGAGGTGACATCGCCGGAGGCGGAGGACAAGCGGGCGGGCGGAAGGTCGGCTCCCAGCCAGCCGGAGGAGATTTTCTCAGCCCCCGCCGACGAGGGCTACGACGAGTATCCGGTAAGCAAAATCCCCAAAAATGAACAACGAATGTCCGCGTGGGTCGTGGGCTGGTCACTCGCTTTTTTGATTCCCTATCACCTTACACACAATTTGTAATTGTATATTTTTCATTTGATTGCTTTTCGGCTTTGACCCTAAGCTACATTTACCCCCGAAAGCTGAGCTGACGTCACATTACTTTGATTATGCCAGGTGCATACTAGTGGTGGGTCTAATGTTGGCTGGCTCTGACCAAAACACCTTTAGCCTTGAATTAAACATTTTGAGTGGTCATGTCCGACGCGTGGGAAGTTGCTTTGAGGCCCTTGGAAAAGCATTAAACTAATTGAGAGTTGTAGTTGTACCAGGACATCTTTTTATAGAAAAATGTATGTCAGGATTTGGGTAAAGTGATAAAATATAAAGTATTATACAACCAAGTTGTTCTTCACAAGATCAAAGCGCATAAAAAAATGATTTCTGCCCATTTAATGATGAGAGAGAGTTTCCAAGGTGATAGTCTAACTGTTATAATTCGTTTTTAAATCAGGTTGCTCTGAAATTGTTGTTTCTAGCAAGATTGGTAAAAGTCTAAAACCCTTTTTCATGGTTAAAATAAATAACATTCCATTTAAAACACTCATAGAAAAGCATTTTTATTCCATCACATAAAAAATGGCAATTTCTTGATTTTATTTTAGAGGCATTCCCCATAGCTTTTAGACCGCTTAAGTAACTAAGCTCTTACTTGCTAATGGTTATATGGATCTGATTTTCAAGCTTAGTTAAATACTTAATAGTTACTTCAATTACTCCTTTACGCATATTTAGATGGTGGTTCCAAAACGAGCTGCCCTACTTTTGGATCGGCTAATGGTCGCTTTGCATCATGCCCTCGAACAAGAACGAAGTGAGCAGAGAATTGGAGATTTTTTCGGGGACAAAAACATTCTCAATGGCAAGTTGGGCGAATTCCACAATGGATTGGAGCCCCATCAAGTGAGGGAGGATGGTGAGTGTGGATATATTGGGTATATTATTAAAAGACCAAAATTAACCTGACGTGTAATGCAGGGATGTACAGCGATGATGATTCGGGAACAATGTTGGATTATGATTTCAAAGACTTGAATCAGATCAATCGCGCCACTGGCGAAACAGTAAGTTGGAACATAAAACCTAAATTGCAATATAAGACATAAAATTAGCAGCGCGATGTGTAAGAAAATTTCAGTTAATGCCAAAGAGCTTTCAGAGAAGAGCGGGCGCAGATCGATCTGGAACGTCCACGCAATCCGGTTCCCCATCTGGTCCCCGGCGAATCCCACCATCCGGATCCGGCGGTGGCCGAGCGTACTGGCGTTGCTATTTCAATGCCGTCAGCTGCTTCTGAAAAACACCATTAGCCACATTAAATCCTGCATAATATCAGCCTCTGGAGTGGGCTAAAAGCCGTCACAATATTGCATAAATCCCAACTGATCCCCAGAGAGATGTTTCAAAAACTGTTCAATGTCCCTTTGGTTGCTGATGTGAGAGTTGTTCGCGCAATTAACTGAAATCCCCCGAGTTCTGTAATTGTGTCTAGTGGTATCTGTATCTAGTATCTGTATCTGTAACTGTAACTGTATCTGTGCATTTGTAACTCACTGTGAATCTGCGTTATAAATAAACCACCTACGATAAATCCAACAGCATTCATAAATAAATTAATTCAAACACCCATACTCGTATGGGAGTATAAATTCTGTATATTCGAGGGTAATTTCGGGTAGACAGGTAATCCTACCTATCCTGCCTAATGCTGATTGACATACCCATAAATCGCAATTTCGGGCAGATCCATCGCATGCCTGCAGCTCGTGTTCCATTGTGATCTATTTTTGGTTGTAAATTGTGGGCGTGCTCCAAGCGGAAGTACTACCTTTATCGAACGATATCGAAGTCTTTATCTATTTTATAGGGCGGGAGCTTCAGATTGCCTCACCGAATTATTCAAATGATTGTGTATCAAGTTTGAATTTAGTTCTTACTATTTTTATCAACCAATGCGTATATGTACGGAAATCACAATTTAAATCAATTGGACAGTTTAGATTATTCTTTAACTGTTGTAGCTCATGGCGGTATTATTTACTTTTTATCATCTATTGCGTTTACATATTCGTGAAGCAATAAATTAAACATCCTTTATATTTTAAATATTAAATACAAGCAATGCGTTCCTAAACAATTTTAAATAGCAAATATAATTTCATTTAATAATATTACCTTTAGAGAAATATTTAGCGCAGCATATTAAAGTATTTTTTCTGAGCTTAATTATATATTCTTCAATTATATAGGTAAATTTTGCATCTTGTCATGTCCCTCACTCCTTTTTATGCAAATCAACCCCTCGAACTTCTGGCAAACTATCCACCGCCGATTGCCAACTCAAAGTCAATGCATAATATTAGCTGTGGGTCAACTGCCGTTCCATGATGAACTGTTAAACTAAACTGGCGATCGGTTTAAGTGTGCAATGCACGTTTATTGCCTGGCCACCTTGGCTGCGAAGTCGAATGGCAAAGTTTTATTGGCCAATAGCGGCCATTAATGAGTTTGTGGGAGCACACATTAATAGACTTTTATGCATATCTAATTGCCTCCATTAATTGATGGCCCGCCTCCGTTTGACTTCAAGTACCCGCGAGAGCAAAAGTCACTTCCCAAAAACATAGTAATAAATTCACAACTACATTTTTCGACTATTACTTACTTACTTATTCATAAAGCTTTGCAAACAGAAAAATAAATTAATTTAAAATACTTCAAATTGTTTTTTGTTGTAAATATATTCGGAATAGTTTTTTGTTAAATTATTAAATTATTTATATTTATAATAAATTAAATGCGTTGCTTCTAACGGCGGAAATGAATAAAATTCCAGGAACACAACCTTATATTATTCGATTACCGCGTATTAAATATATTTCCATGTGTGCTTATGGCACAATCTCACTTTTGCACATGGCGCGATTTTATTATGGAATGACCATAAATCAATGACGGATGTAAAGCCAGTCGCTGGGCCTACTGTCCAAGTGCATTTCGACTCGTTTTATGTAATCCCTACGTCATAGATACTGGTCTGCTAAGTATGCAACAGGTTTCGTATGAGGCGAGTTAATCAGCAACAGGTGCCGTTATTCGCCTGCTACTGCTACTCACCACGCCGAGCGGGTGAATGGCGGGGTGTGGGTGTGGGTGGTGGTTAATCGGTGGTCCACGTACTCGCCTCGCAGTGTCCACGTCCGTGTGGTGAATTAATAAGTCGCACATTGTTCATACGCCCCATTGTACGAGTAGAAACCATATTCAGTGTTGACATTTTTGATATGTATTCGAACGGGGGATGCTCTGTACGAGAAATTAATAGGAGGCTAGAATAGCATTTTCGAACATTTTATATATATTTTGAAAGGTTATTAGACATAACCATCAGTAGTCCTTAAAATAAAGAAAGAAAGAATTGGGTTACTAAATTTAATTTAAAGTATAGTTAAATACAACAAAAAATGTGTTTTAAAAAGGTAGCTTAATAGTTAAGCTTAACAATTTAGGATACCTTTTAAAAACCTTTTCTATATTTATTAATAAATATTATATATAATTAAATCAATATATGTATTAGCTTTTATTATTAATTCGATTAACTTGTCGCTTAAAACCTAACATTTAATTTTCTCAATACCTTGACCAGTGCTTTTTCGTTAATTTTTTTAAGTATATATCAAATTCTAAAAGTAAATTGCGTATTATCCCTCAGCGTTTAACATTTACTATCTTTATCAAGCCATTAAGTAATTAAACCTAAGACTTAAAAGTTGTTATATTATTCGCATTATATAGTCTTCTAAAATGCCCCGATAGCGTTCCAACTTCAAATGATCTTTGCACCTCATGTATGTACCCACTTTATATGCCAGGTACTGTGGACAAGTGTTAGTCCTGCAGTGTGGCTTGACATGAGGCATAAGGCATAAGGCTTTGCCTAAGCATTCGCCCCCTCCCCCTAGGACCGCCCCCAGCCTCCTGTTTTCCCGGCAGCTCGTGCTTCCTGCTGCTTCTGCCGCTGCCGGCGTCGCTGCCCTGGGTGCTGTTTGCTATTTTGTATATAAAGCCCGGTAGCAGGCATCGCCAACATCGAGTTACCAATTTCCCTTCTTGGCGTTCACATCGAGAGCGACAGCAGCAACAAGTAAGCCCAGCCGAAGGATCAGATCAGAGCTTCAACCATTAAAAGTCACAGTCGCTTGTACTTTAAGGCAAACGCAAACAGTTCGCGAAGTTATCAGTTTTCCGGCGCCAGATTTTTCCAATTTACCGACGCCAATTTGATTGCCGGCGATTCCCGAACTCATCCAGTCGCAAAAAGTATCAGTGAGTACCGAAGCTTTGGATTAGCCAAATTGTGTGTTTACCTTTGGGTTCACCAATTGGGTTTTTGCGATTAATTGAAATGAGCAGTTATTTGTCTCCCAGAATTAATTTGTGGGCGCGGAAATTGTGCCACAGGTGAATTATTGCAGGGCGAGAGAGTTACTGCCGGTGATATCATATCATGTAGGCTTACCTTCCGTAGCAAAGTCCAAAATCAGTTCATTGCAGAGTCAACACTTTTAAATATTCTTAATAACAGAACATTAATTCATTTCCTTCAAATAAAAATTTAAGATTATCAAAGATTCATAAAAATTACAAGTTAAAGTAAATAAAATAAAAATATTTGAGACGATACCTCCAATTTTTTTCAAACTAGGTGATTAATATCTTGTCATTTAGGTTTAAAAAATATTAAATTTGTTAAACTCATTTCTAAGAACAAGATTTACAATTTACTTGACTGCGTCTAAAATCTTTACCCAATTTAAAAAATGTTCATATTTTATGAATAATTGAAGCCAATTTGTATGTTTTCCGTTAAAATTGACTCAAAGCAGCTCTCCCTAAATTGACTTCATAAAAGTTCCTCCAAATTGATGGACCTTTAACAACATTGAAGGTAAAGAAAGGTTCGTTTTTGCCCTGGAAAAACTCCCACAAGTTGACGAATATATGCCATTCATAGGTCATATATTTCCCAACCGTTATTTTTCTCCTTCTTTGTGTAATGTATTTTTGTTTTGAATATGCGAAAACAACCATTCCCCTAGGGAATTCCACAGAGCCACCTAATGACAGAACAAAACAGGAGGCACTGTTTCATCTGGTTCATTGAAAATTATGTGAATTATTTATGAAGCGTAGAAAAATCAGGCACACGCACAAACCATTCACTCCATTTGTTTTGGACTTCAATCTCGATTCGAGTTGCTGATAATAAATAACTTCACTTGACTTGGCTCGTCTCGATTTGGTTTGGTTTGGTCGATTCACGCCGAAACCGCAATCAAATTGCATTTAATATTTATTAGAATACGCCTACAGTTTTCATGCCTGCGGGTTAAGGGCATCAATGAGGCAGATAATTTTCCGCTGAATTTTCCGGGGAGAAATATAGAGGAGAAAGGACAGCTTTTTGTTTGTTTAAATCATGTCAAATAATAGAGAAGAATCATTTAAATATTAAATTTGTTAAACAAAGATAAATAGGAACAATTATCTATTTACCTCCAATGCTTTTGTTAAGTTTAAGTATGATTTAATCAAAATCCACAATGCTGTTTCAGGAGTAACATATATTTTTACAGTATTTATTTTTGAACTTTCTTCCTAAATTGCTACAAAAATGTACTCGAACTGCAGACTAATCTAATTGGGTAAATAACTCTTCCGTTTTGCCAAAGCCACTTTGAACCGCATTTTCCACAAATCAGAACGTAACCACAACTCGGATCCCGAGAAACTCGATACAACTTCAAGTGTTCCACACCCTCGGGCCAAAAGGGAAACATGAAATACGCTTTGATAAGCATTTGAAGATGTCTGAAGTTTCCAGTTTTCGGTGACTGACTGACGTAATTTTAATTTTCTCCCTCGAAAATATCATATGACCAGATAAATCACATGGCCAAGGACATGGCCATCGTCCTGCCGGCTCCTGTCAGACACACATTAATGAAGCCCACGCCAGGTCCTTGTGGCAAATATTTGCCCAGCGACATTTGTTCTTAGCTAATTTTAAAGTTCCTTTCGCCGCAAGCGAAAAATTTGACGAAAAAATGAGAGGAACTTAAAAAGTGGAAACGGAACTAAGCCGCCGGATTAGGCAGGATATTGGGGTAGAGACTAAAGACCCACGTGAAAATTGCATTTTCCCTTTTTTCCACCACCTCCGTTTTTTCAGCAGTTGCAACTCTTACGCTGCCACACAGCAAGATTAAATTTCCAATTAACAATGGAGCATTATTTATCGGTGGCAATAAATGTGTCCTGATTATGTTTGGCTTTGGGTTCTGCTTTAGGGTCCAACGGCGGCGGTCCCTGCCCGGTTTTGGCCTTTTATTATTCCATTTGATCTAGCTAAAGTTCGCACGAGGGTGGGCAGAAATTAGCCTCCTAGTCATTAGTTTTTATTTATCACCCACTAGCTGCTTAATCTAACAAATATTTTATGAGCTCAAGGTTAAACAGACCGGGTTGTGGGCATTACAATTATCTCTGTCTGCCTATATCCGCTTGTAAAGTGGTTTAAGAGTTTTTGCCTGCACTTTGCCCAATCAAAACACGGAAATGTTTCCATATGCCGGTTTTTCATTAACCTAATATATATCAATGTTTTAATGGCTAGAATTATAGTGCCCCTTTAAGATTACAAGCCATAGCGAAAAAGTTTTGTGATTTCAAACTAGTAAAAAGGCATAAAAATAAATCAAAATTGTTATCAAATTTGTAAAATAAAATTTTAATTTTTAGGCATTTTCTTTTTTATCAGATACGATTTTTAAGGCATTACAGTATATGTATTTAAACGATTTAAAATTAAGCAATAGTACATACTAAATGTGAGCTATATATTTCTATAAAATGTACATTCCAGTTAAGTGACATTAAATTGGTACTAACAACAATATTTGATTACCTTTAATACTTAAATTTTTTCCAACTAATCTCCAAAAAAGTGCACTAAAATACATTTAGAAAATTTTTTACATTTTCTGGGAAACAGGATGTTAATTTGCAATTGAGATTTTTGAAACCATAAAAGCCTTTCTCTGCCAATGCATTCACATAAGCAGCTGCTTGAAATTTAAGAAGGAAAGACTCCTTTACAGGACCAACTAGGAGCAGCTACATTTTATGAGCTGCAGCAAGCAAATGAGATAAGTCATTAACATTTACGGCCGACATCGTCGAGGACCTCGATGGCCCACGACCCAGTCTATGGCTTTTTATGCCAACCACGACGATTCTGGCCCTCGTTTACCTGTTGCGTGCTGATGATGATACTGAAAGTCATTTGATGATCTCATTTTCACCGACTAAACGAACGTATCCCGGGGATTCATGTCTGTCTCCATTGCTTCTTTTTCGAGCTGCGGCTGTTTATGTATTCATGTCCTGCGGGTATGGTTTTCCTTTTGATTTCACACCCTCTTCAATTACCAATGATGTCATAACTTATGTTATGTAAGTAATTAGTTGCTGATTGTCTTAGAATATGTCGGAAACTGCTGCCCTATGTGTATAATATTTGTTTTTACCTTTGATGTGAATTACTATTATTTTATATGTTTAATTTATAAGGTTGAAGTTGAGAAGGGAATAAAATCATTTATATTTTGGAACTTTTTACAGACATGATATAAATAAATGTCTGCTCATATACTAAGAAATAATTCATATTTATGATCTTAATAATTAGAAGTCATGTTATTTAATTAACTTATTTGCAATCTTTATTTATACCATTATGTTTTATTTATGGGAAATTAGAATGGTATCAGAAAAAAATTAATTATTAAAATAAGAGCTCAAATTAAATTACTTTTAGTTTCGCATTATATTATATTTAATTTGGTAAACATTAACCCCCTAGAAAGTATAGTAAGTCATACTTTTAGGACCAAAATTTCTTTTGCGAAGTTAATTTATTTATTTATACATCTACTCTTGACCTTATAAACTTTTAAGGAACTGTAACCCTTAAGCTGCTCGTTACGAAAGAGACGATCAAAGTTACTCAATAAATATTCACTTTAATAAAGGGAACCCATATCAACTTGAACCACGTTTTTTGTCAGCTTCTGATGAAATCAATTAAAGTTTGGCCAACTCGGCCTGAAGGCCACATGTACAGGCTATTGTATTGTGTGGCTGCCACACGTTGCACCATCGACATTGTATTACGAATGCAATAAGTGTGTGTCCGGGTGGGTGGCCCTGTTGCAACGCTTGAGTTGCAGGTCCATATCCGTTTTTAATTGCGGAAATGCACTTAAGCCCGGCTAAGGTGAAAAACAGGAGTCTGAGGCAGCATCCACTCCCCTGCGACCTCTCAGCAATGCTCGTCACGTTTGTGGCAACAAGTGTTCTGATTCACTCCAATCTGCTTTGTTACGAGTCCTGCCAAGCAGCTCTGACGCAAAAAATATAATAAAATAATAAATGCGAGCACAAAAACAATTCCACTGAAATCTGACCTTTAATTAAAAATGTGGCTAGTGGAACTATGTGGCACTTTTTTCCGGCATTGCCCCCTTGACATCGCTTTGAGCTTCGGGATTAGCCGGGGATAAAGTCCTGGGCTTGCCCTTTGAAGTTGCACAAACATTTGCATTAATTGGTATTCTGCAAAAGTGCCTAACAATATTGCCATTGAATAATTTCCATTAATTGGCTTACACTTTTGATAGGGGGCTGCGAATTAAATCAGTTGGTAAGCTGTCTAAAAGTGCCTTAACACCTTAATTGCTAAAGATTTTTATTAATTTTATATTGGAACAGCAAATTTTTAATTTATTATTTTACAGAAAAATAGATAAAAGTGGACTTTTAAGAATATTAAAACATTTTTTTTTTCTTTTTATCACTTTCTTACTTGTGCTATTATTTTAAGGCTGAAAACTTTGTTTATACTTCTTAATGTTTTTCACCAAAAAGCCCGCAACATATGAAAATATGTACTTAGTAGTGTTCTGAAAAAAATAAAATACATTTTGCTGTCGGAATTGTAGCTTTTTACACATTTTCTTCCCATTTTTATTTTTTTCTTTCAGTTCAAAACCGCTTTAAAATGATGAAGTTCGTGCAAATACTGTTGTGCTACGGCCTACTCTTGACCCTGCTCTTTGCCCTCAGCGAGGCTCGTCCTTCAGCAGGCGAAACAGGACCTGTGAGTATAGCGACTTAAGGTGAATAAAAAGCAGAGATTATTGGCTTATTCGGATTCCAGGATTCGGATGGTCTGGATGGACAGGAGGCTGAGGAAGTGCGCGGCGCCTACGGAGGAGGCTATGAGATGCCTGCCCAGGCCATCTATCCCAACATTCCCATGGACCGACTGCAGATGCTCTTTGCTCAGTACCGACCCACGTAAGACAAATACACCGTTTGTGAAATCAACCGATCATTGGTTAATTTAAGTAGTTACAGCGCCTATTTGAGGAGTCCCACCTATGGCAATGTGAACGAACTTTACCGGCTGCCCGAGAGCAAACGTCAGGTCAGATATCGGCAGTGCTACTTCAATCCCATCTCCTGCTTTAGGAAGTAAGTTCCCAGCCAGCAGATAGATTATCCACAACCTGCAGCCCTTGGATAAATTAACAATTCAAGCATTTCAACAACCCAAAAATGATGTTTAGCATAATGGATCACCAAAAATGTAACGCAAATATTTAGTGCAATTAAACTAAAGCTAAGACTCAGCTTTATCCACATATACATATAAATATACTGAAATCTATATATGTAACTTAACTATTTAAATGTCTAAAAAAGAATGAAAAAATGTTCCATTGTAGTTACCAAAAAAATAAATGATGTATTTATTTGAATATTAGCACAAAAGTTAAAAATTATAATATTTCTTTTCTTGATTTACGCTTTGCATATGGTGTGGTAAAATAAATGCTTCAATGCTTCCTAAAGCTATTCATTTATTGAGAACGAATTCGAAATACAAATGTGCTTTTGTAAATTTAAGTGTTCCAGCTCTTGTATAATACAAAATTATATAAAATAACAATTTAAGAATGCGAACTTGGAGTCATTTAATACCTACAAAAACTTATATATGTAAAATAAATCTTTAAACTAAAGTTATAAATATATACGTATGAAATAAATGCGCCCAAATGTTATAACAAAATGTTTTATTCTTTGTTTATTTTTTTGACTTAAAAGGGGAAGGACGGACAGACAGTCTGACGGACAGACGGACGGACAGACAGACATGGCTAGATCGACTCCCCTGGTGATGCTGATTAAAAATATATTTACTTTATAGGGTCGGCAATGTCTCCTTCACCGCTTTGTAAACTTTTGACTGAAATTAAAATACCCTCTGCAAGGGTATAATTATGAATAAGTTGATTAAAAAGTATTAAAATTAACTATGACGTGGCCATTAACATTATTTTAACTTTATTTTAAAGTTATGTTAATGTTATGTTAATGTTATTGTTATGTTAATGTTATGTTAATGTTATCTTAATGTTATGTTAATGCTATGTTAATTGTATGTTAATGTTATGTTAATGGTATGTTATGTTAATGGTATGTTATATTAATGTTATGTTAATGTTTATGTTATATTAATGTTATGTTAATGCTATGTTAATGGTATGTTAATGTTATGTTAATGTTATGTTAATGTTATGTTAATGTTAAGTTAATGTTATGTTAATGTTATGTTAATGTTATGTTAATGTTATGTTAATGTTATGTTAATGTTATGTTAATGTTATGTTAATGTTATGTTAATTTTATGTTAATTTTATGATAATTTTATTACCACGTCATAGCTAATGAGAATTTTTACCATCGACTTATTATAGTTCCCAATCAGTTCTAGTCAAACATTCATGGAGTAGGGACTGTTTCACATGAAAAATCAGTTGATCCATTTGACCGAAAGTCAGTGTGTGTGAGAGTGTTACTCGAAGATCATATTTGGTGATACCTACTTATTTGGGTTGATCATCAGGATGCAGGATCAAGGACCTAATAAGGTACTTAGTAATTTTGTAAATTACATTAAATACATTAAATTAATTATTTAAAATGTAATTCCAGGATTAGTGTGCGCTTGGGGAGCGGTTGATGGAGGTATATGGCGATAACATGACTTGAACCGGATGCAGTGCATCAAGAAGCCAACGGAGAGTGCGCACCATTAATATAAAAATAACACCTTTAAATAGGCAATGTATTTTTTAGTCAGACCTATTAGAGATTTCCCTTATGAAGGCTAAAAGCCGGATTGACAGAAGAATTTGAAATTAAGACTTAGTGGAGTCCGGCCGTGAGTAATTTGAAGGTCTGGTTTAGAATATTCGGTTTTTCAACAAATTTTAGTTTTATCTAATTCTTTCAATGCATTTGAAACATATTGATACTACTTTTTTTAAGCAAAAGAAATAAATCAAAATTGTTAACAATAAGTAAGAATAAAGGATTATATAGGAGAATTTCGCAGCCAAATGGACTACCAAAAACAGCGACTTTATCATTCGTTATTTTGGAGCGGATGTAACCCCAAACTGGACTTCAGAATGCTTTTTCAAAATGTCAACAAGAGGTATGTCATAAATTTACAAATTAGTTCATAAAATGTTTTATTTAAATGCGATAAATCAGCTAAGCGAGGCGATACCATCTTATTTTAATTGGAAACCATGCTGATGCTTGGATGATGCCACGAAGTTTTGAGGTACAAAATAACTTGGGAGTTGCTAAAATCTAAAATATTTTATACCTGCTATTGGAACAATCGATCGAAAAATTGCTGTTTATAACGGTTTAATGGAAACCTGCAACCATATCGAACAAAAAGTCACATTACCAACTTGTTATTAATTCGTTTTATTTATAAAACTATAAAGCGGTGTAATTTAAAATTAGCAGTATATACGTTTTTGTATAACTAAATTTGTCTGGTATAATTAATAATTAAAATAATATTAATTTATATGACAGTTTTATATTAATATACTTTTTTTTTTTGTAATATTTTTTTTATTTTTGCTTAGCAATAATAGTGAATTGACAAAAAGAATACCAGTAAATTTTAATCACATTTAATATTTTATGAAGATACAATATTTTTATTGACTTAGCTTAAGATTTGAATTGCCTCTGAGGCAGTATTCTTTAATAATCTGGGCTTGTGAATTTTTCGGAATTCTTTATCACTAATTTTCGGCCTTAATGTCCTCGATTTCCTATCACATTCATTACGGTTCCATTGTTCATATTTGTAAACGCCGCCTCTCTAGGTTTCTGGACTGGCACTTTCCGCCACGTCGTTCCATTTTAATGACCAATCGATCTGGGGTGGATATCTTGTAGCCATTGCACCGGCGGTAGCGCACCTCGATCTTCAGCGATGTGGCCACCATGAAAACGGAGAAGACCAGAGCGATTAGATAGCGAACGATTAGCATATTGTGACAAATGCTGCGAGCAATCGAGACTGTTTGGGTGACGGGCTGCAGTGCGTCTCTTTATAGCTCGAGGTGTCCGGAATATCGGTTACCTACCTGTCCTTCGAGACCCTTCTTTCGAGCAGATTCCAGAGAGGAGCTGATGGATTAGGACGCGGTTTTATGGCCGCGAGTCGCCAATAAACCATTCCGAGCTAATCCATTCGGCCATTTCCACTTCCTCTGCTCGGAGTCCGCGATCCTACGCGAATCCCCAGATGAACCGAACCTGAACCTGAACCACATACAAAAAGGGAAAACTAATTGCCCCGTCTGATGAGTGGAAGTTCCGAGAAGGAGTCACAGGGCCGACTTACCTGATGGGACAGCGCTTTATGATCCCTCTTTCTCTATCGCGCCTCACTCTTTCTGCCATTAGACATTTTAATTGTTAATTTTTGCAAAGCGAAGTTGTGGCCGGGGAGGGGGAAAATTTAAATAATGGCCAAGCTGCAGGCATTGGGCAGCAGTAGCAGCGAGAATCCAGGAATCCAATGGCTACCTGCATTTATTATCTGCCCGGCCCGGCTCCACCCCGCATTCCCCAGCACCCTGCCGTTGATCTACTCCACTCGGCCCAACCCGAGTGCCATCAACGTGAAAACAAGTGGCAACAATTTTCTATAAATTGCATTTGTGCAAAATTAAGTTCAATCTTGGCCGAGTCGCGAACCAGTAGCTGTATCTCTTCGGCCAGCATCCGCTCGAGTCGCCCAAGTGATCCCGAATCCCGATCCCCCCGCTCCAACTGCTCTTTCACTGCTGGAGTAGCCAAACTCCATTAACTTTGCAATTGGCCACCATAACTCGTCCGTCGGTCTACCGCCCCCCTTCCCCCTCCTCCCTGCCCACTGCCCGTTGCCGTCACCTTGCCGCCCATTTGGCCGCCGCATCCACATCCACAGCCACCTCTGCCTCCACATCCATCCACATCCACATCTTACATCCCACAGAGCAGCAAGCGAGGTCCATTCCATTCCAGTCCAGTCCCGGCCCCATCGCTTGTTAGTTTTTGCGCCAGATCGTTTATAATAATTCGTATGCGAGTCATGTCATGCCCCTAAAGTGTATCTGCAACCGCGCAGTCGCCAGTCGCCAGTTGCAAGTTGCCAGTTGCCGCTGGCTGCGCCTGCGCCTGCGCAGTCGTCGCGCTCGCCGCGCATATCTGTATCTAGTTGGTGGCTCCAAATGGAGCTGACCACGTGACACGATGCACTGGATACAAATATTGAGAATGCCGAAATTTACCCATAAGCATTAATGCCACAAAAAACCATCAGCGACATTGAAAAGTTTACGGAGTTTGTAGTTTGGCTGCTGACTTCCAATCTTTTAATAAAATAAAATAATTTATTAATAATAAAATTATTAAAAGAATTTGTAGCCTTGATTTGCATTTGACTAACCCAATTAAATATCTGTAGTGAGAGGGCAAGGCAAAGTTTATATAGCCTTGCATTTATTTCACTAATTCTTATTTATAAAACTTAATAATAAGTATTTTATTAAGCTTTTGTATTAAACCACACACTATTAGGGACAATAGGTAGTATAGGTTTTTTTGCGTATATGTGTAAAAAATAAAATTAAGTCTTTAAGATTTCATGACAGTTTTCAGATAATTTTTGTGTCAGCTATATGATATCTTCATCCGGTTTGTGTAACATTATATATGTGTATGCTACTATATATCGAATTAATTTTTTTCGATCTAGCGATAAGTTGTAGTTGTTCAATCCCCGCGGTTCCAACATAATAACAACTTGTTCAAGAAAAACAGATCTTTGAATACCTAACCTAAAAAGCTTTCTATTTGAGACAAGTTTACGGAGAAAAGGACATACGACCATGGATAGACCAGCTCGACTGTTGATGATATATATATCAAAGTCGGGAATGTTGTCTAACATGCACTACAAATGCTGACTTATTTATAATAATATATAAATGTCTAAGAAAAAGTTTAATAATAGTGAAATGCTGTAATATAGGTTAGTTCAATCATTATTATCATTTAAGTTTTTCAATTACCCACATTAGTAATTTGAAAAAGTACTAAGACTATACGATATACTACTTTTATAAGTTATTTATGTAATTTGATTGGTTACTGCTTCGATTAATAAAATATTTGTATATATTCCATGTTTAACATAAAACGCTCTGATATGCTAACCCTTCCAAATCATTGCCCGTAATCTCCCAGTCACGAATGGCGCTCATCTCTGGTCAATGGAGTGGCCAAGCTTGGGATCGCCTGCTCCCGCTTGTCCCGATCTGGTCAACTATGCAACCCAACCGGCAGCCTGAGCAGCCCCAGAAGCCCCAGCAGCCCGGTGACTCGAACTTGACTTCACCTGGCTTGATCTCGCGCCCGTTTCTTTCTCGCATAGCTTTGGGTCGCCACCGGTTGGCTCTTTCTCCATCTCCACCTCCATCTCCATCTCCTGGACCGATCTCCACCCCGGGATCCTCTCCTGCTCGTTGTCATACCACTTTATCCGCGGCGCTTTGTGCTGGTTTTGTTCTATTGGTAAAAGGAAGTTAGAAAAATGCTCTGGATTCATGGGTTCTCTGGTGGGGGTTACCATAGGCGGTGGCCTTAAGTGAATTGTGCTGGATGCCAGCTGGGCCTGGCTGGGATCTCAGGAAGGGAATCTGAACATGGATTTGTTCTGGCCTAATGTCATGGAACCCTGCAACAGCCAATATGGATTTGAGTTGGCAACAGTGAAAGTTTGATAATGAGAAAAGTTTATCATTAAGTTGGTGACTCTACTAAAAGTATTTTTATATAATTTTCAGTTGAATGCGTTTTTAAAAGCAAGTATAAGTCGTTTTTTTTTTAATTTGCTAGGATGGAGTAATAAATACTTAATTTTGGCACGAAAGTATAAATATTTGTTTGCATTGGGAAAGAATAAGCAATTCCCTTAAAAAAAGCGTCCATAGGTTAAAAATTCTGTCTTCTCCATAATAGTTGTTGATATATATTTGATATATATAATATATATAATATATTCTATCCCATTTTAATGAATTTTAAATGGTTAAACTCTGAATAACAATGAATATTATTTAACTATAATTATGACAACTATGCAATTTTCCAATACATCTTAATCCCCTATTGAGTGTCTTCCAAATATATTCGGGCATCATAAAACACTTTTGACACTGGTTTAATTTTTGGTTATGAGAGGATTCAATCGTGGCACTCAGCATTTTCAATGGCCCCATTATAAGATGCCTCAAAAGGGCAGAGACAACAAAAGCAACAAGAGAAATATTAAATTCCAAACAACTGAATGCAATGGTGCACTGCGAATTTTATTTCCATAAATAAAATTTATTCAAATTACTATTAGTTAAAGTGTTTTTGAATCCAAACTATTGGTTTTATTCAGTACAAAATACCAAACTTGCAACTGGGAAAAAATGGGTACTTGAAACTTTATGAATAGAACTATAACCATCAATTTATTATAATTATCTTCTTTCAGGATTATAATTGTATGTTTTTGGTGGCCAGACAAATTGAAAAAGTAAATTAACGTAAAATACTATTTTTTAACGTGTGATCCAATTGGCTTTCGAACTCGCAACGTAACCGGTAGTCGGTTTCGTGGCTCCCGGCTGGCCAAAGCCACTTGGCCATGGCCTAAACCGCCGCCTTGGCCATCGCATGGCCATCGCCATCGCCAGCGTCGTCGTCACCATGTCGTCTTGGACAATGTTGCTATGTTGCTCTTATTTCAGAACATGACCACCGTCCAATGGGAGGCCACGGAGGAATGCCTTAATTCAGGAATTTAATGAAAAATGCTCTATGAAGCGGTGCAGCAAATTAAAAACAGAAAAAAACAAAAAGAAAAAACTAAAGCAATAGCCAGGAAAAGTTGAGCGCACAGAAGCCATCGAGGCGGAGTGGAGGGAATGAGAACAAAAAGGTTAAAATTAAAATCTGCGCTCACTTGTTCTCCTTAGTTAAGCACTTTTTTTAGTATACCCTGTTACAATAGATTGGCGGGGTTATCTGATGGGAACTACAAATGATTTAAGACTATAGAAATATGCCTTAAAAGAATTAAAAGTTATAAATAAAAAAACAGAAAAATATATTTGTGTTAAAAAATATATTTTTAAGTCCGAGATATTATGAGATAGTTTTAAAGAGATTTTAAAATTTTTTTTTGTGGTTGAGAGTAAATTTTAAATTTCTGGATTCATAATTAAATTTAATATGATAAGAAAAGGCAAAGTAACATTTTGAAAAATTAAATGCCGGTTGATAGGAGATTAAAAATTTCTGGATTCGTAATAAAACTATTTTAAAATGATTTACTGTATTGTATATTGTATAATTTGAAATAAAGAAATGACTCTCTAACGTTTCACTAAAATTTGATTTGAGTTAGGATCAGTTTTTTATACCAATTAAAGTAATATTTGGGCAATGGCTATATCGTCTGAAAGGTTATAAAAATTAAATAATTAGTTCTCTAGGGAAAATACATGTAAACCGACTAGATTAAGACTAATTGTTTACATTTGCGCATTCGAATTTGAATATATCCTAAATAGTTTGTAGGGTATATCCCACTCGATCACTCGTATCCTGCCCGCGGCTCCTGTTTCCTTTTTTTTAGCTGCTTGGATTTCATCCGAGCGCGATTCGCCGCCGAATCGGTGGCTGTGAGAGCGGTGTGAGATCGGTGGCAGGTGATGCCGATGCCGTTCAACTTTGAGGTTGAGTGGCTCTTGATGCGACCGAGACCGACCAAAGTTGACCAGTTCCCCGTTCCCGGGCGAGTGTGTTTGGTGTGTGTGTGCGAAGTGGTCGCTGCTCCGCACCGAGCGTTGTAAATTACATTTTCCAAATGCTTTTGCCATGTCGAACCAAAAAGCCATGTACATATGTGGCATAAAGGAGCGGCTCTTGGCCGGAGTTACTGCCTGTGCTTCCGTTTTGATTTGGAACACTTGTTGCGTTCGGGCCGCACTATGCCTCTGGCCTTTAGGATTTGTCCTCCGGCCAGAACGACAACCAGAAACATTCGTTCCTTGGGGATATGGCCACTCACAGATACACACGCCAACCCGATGTTCCTACATGGATTCCTACATGGCATTTGGGATGCACCTTCTCGATTCTTTTCTTTTTTATTTCGGCCTTCCCTCCTCGTTGCGTATTTAAGCGTTTTGCTGTTATTGTTGTTGTTGCCACCGGATTGGGAGGCTGCCGTTGATTATGTTGTTGTAGTTTGTTCAGATTGTTGTTGATTTGAGTGTTGATTGTTGTTAGCGGAATGGGTTCGTCCCTCGGAGCTGTTGGCTTCGATTAGCCGAATGCCAGATCCGCTGGGGATCGGTGGGAAAGGTGGTGCAAGTGAGGCAAATAAAAGCTCTAGGCTTAAAAACTTATCACCATGATCTTTAATAATTTGAGCAGTCAGATATCTTATAGAAGTACCAGTGCAGTAAAACACAGGAGTTATTCTTAATACCGTGCCTATAAAAATGTGCTCTAATTAAATAATTTGTTAATAATTTCATTAAAAAATAAATTTATAAAATAAAAACCAATTTATTTATTAAGTTTTTAGTTTTCTGTTTATTTGTATACTTTGTTCTTAAGTTATTTCTAGATATTTAAAATTAGTTTTGGTTATATCCGTAAAAAAAATTATTGTTTATTACTTTGTAGTTTTTAAGACTAATATTTTTCGTTCTTTATATTAAAGAAATGTCAGTACATTAAATTAAATTTAATTTGATCACGAAAAGACTATCAAGCTTAGTTTAGACAGAAATTCCTTTGATCTCCTATTCCTAAAATAAGGATTCTGGCTCCAGGATCTCGTAGGTGGGCAGTGGCTGGACATCATTGCCAAAGTAGTTCGAACCACCGGGAGCGATCTCGGGCTGAAGATCACCGTAGAAGTTCTCGAAAAAGGGACTCTGGGAGAAGATCATCTTGGGCCTGTCGAAGGAGCGGCTCTTCAGGAAGTATTCCCTATTGTGTGGCCTCCTTATGGGCGATATCTGGTCCATGATGTCGTTGCTCATCCTCCGCTCCGCCGGCAGGGATGTGACCTCATTGTATATCGAGGATCGGGTCCTGGGTCGAGCCCAAGCGATGAGAATCAAACAGGCAATGACCAGGATAATGAGGGCAAGTTTAGAGCTCGACATCTTGACTGCTTGGCAGTTGGGATCTGAGTGTGCTGAATAAGCGACGTTCGTGGTGAATTTATAGCGGTAAATATATCGCACAGGTAGCCCCTTATTTTTAAGCACTTTTTAATGATGCCATGTGTTGGGCGTACCTGGTTTTACCTACCTTTTATTGCCAACAAATGTCTGAAATTTTGTTAAAATAAAATTCTGGGGTTTTACAACCATATGATGTTCGATAATTATAAATTTGGCTATGAACAAACATAACGCGAATAGAAAATCATCTTTAAATAAAAATAACAATAAACTACACTATGGGATGCACTCGAGCTAAATTCAGATACAAAATTCTTGATTTTAGAAGAATTACCCAGTGTCCATAGCTTAAAATATAGCAGCTTTCCTTCTATTTGCAATTATTTTTGTTTGGTTTTTTAAGTTATAAATGTATATAGCAAAACCAAACCTATAAAATATAAGCAAACATAAGGCTTATTTATAATTTTCAAACCATTTAAACAAAGTTTTTTTCTTGATTTTATGTTGTTGGTTTCTTTGTGTAATAAGTATAATATAATAAAATAAAACAGACATTTACCATGAAAATATAAAAAGCAGGCTGATTAATTCAATTACTTTTACTCGTAGTTTGGTGTTTGGAGTTCAATTGCCAAATGATTTGCATATATGTACTAAATGAATGCACCAATGGACTTAAAGGTTGCCGGCTGTTCAGATAAACGCTCCCAAGGAGTAAGTACTTTGAAATCCATCAAAACCCACAATTTCCCTGGCCGTTCCACTCGAGGCCATCACTTAACCCATCCACCTCATCAATCTCGGACATTTGGCTAACTATCCGCCAGGCGATCCGGCTGAGACGGGGACGGAGTCACTTAGAGTCGCCGACTCCAGTCCACTCCACTCAAGGCATCAAGATCGGCTGGGATTGGATGCGATGCCATTTCATGTTAATCAAACAACGAAATCCATCAACAGGTGACACACACCGCCAAGTGGGCGGCTGGAGGTGGGCTGGGGGGCGAAAAGGGGTGAAAAGGGGGTGGTGGGCAGCCGCGACATCCAGCAGACATGTCAGTGCGATAATGGTGCTACTTCTCCTCCAGCGAATGTGTGTGCCTGTGCAGGAGAGTATCTAAAACAACTTCATTCACAAAAATCGGACCAACAAAAAGAGCAGAAGCAAAGTAGCAGAGCATCTGCAAAAAGGAAGCTGGGCCATTAAAAATATCTTGTGGATGCCACGGCGAGGCAGATAGCAAGCGGCCGCCAGAAGATGCATCCGCAAAGGCAGAGGCCACTTGGTAGCATCATCATCATCATCATCGGTTTAGCCGCGGCTTTAGCTGCAGGAGCTGCGGCCTCGAAAGCACCCGGCTGCGGGGGCGGTGACGTGGCGGAGGGGGCGGGACAGGTCGCCGGTCGGTTGGTGGGCATGGCCTGGGCATCCACGGCCAGGGGGCAGCCAGGGAATAGCCAAGAAACATACGCCTAATGCCACAGTCATCGACATCCGCCATTTAGCTAATTAACCCAAGACAGGCCACTTGGGGCTCCTTCCGTGGAAATGCAAGTAGGTGCTAAAGTATATTAATAAAAAAATCGATAAGGAAGTGCTTTTTATTTTTATTAGGATAAAAATATGTCTTTAAGCCCTCACCCCATTCGGGAAAAGGGTTATTAAAAAAACATTCATTATATTCAAAAATTAATCAGAATTTAAAAATACAAAATAAGAAGAAATACAATTACATATGTCTTGAAATGAAATCAATTATGAAATCTGAGTGTATTTAATTGTTTTACAAATATATATAAACGGTGGATCAAAAGCTCATCTACATTAAAGTTACTAGTTGCCTTGAAATATGGGAATTAACCAATAATATGATTAGACAAAAGAGACCACAAATTCTTCAGCTTCGTCATATGAATTTACAAATTTTATGAATTATTAAATGGAACGCGAAAAAGGACGCGAAAAGGAACGCGAATTCTTGAGCTTTGAAGTCTTTTAAAACGTCGATACATTGACTGTAGATTCGATAGTCGAGCGAATCCAACAGGCACCAAAGGGTTAATCGATCTTCCATCAGTGTGCTTGTCTCCCTCCAGTCGCTTAGCTCCTTCTCGCTCCCACCTTTCTTGGCTTCTGACGCGGATTCTTCAGCTTCTGCTGCTGCTGCTCCGTCTGCGCAGTCGCAACTGTCTACATTTGTCGGCCTGCCTTCTCTTTCCCACCTTCCTGCCGCCGCCTGCTCCTCTCCACCGGACTCGTCTTGTTCTTCTTCAGTCGATTGGATGTCCAGCTTTCAATTTGCAACATAAAGCATCTTCATCGTGGGCCGCATGAATGGGCAAGTGACTGCAAAAGGGGAGGGAGTGGGATTGGGTGTGGGCTGGAGCTGGGAGCTGGTTCTCCGCCTCTTCTGCCGCCAAAACCCCCTTCCACCACCGATGATCCGGCAATTCAACAATCTAGCAATCCAGCAATCCGGCAATCCGGCATTGACGGTAGGCACTCAGGCGTGCCCTGGCGGTAGTCGCTGACCTTTATTGATTGCTGTTTGACCTCGCCAGCTATTGTGGCTGTTGCTGTTTTCGCCGTTTTTGCTGTTACTGTTGCATCTCCTAACCATTTGTACTTAGCCGATCGCTGGCATAGATTGCACTTGGCCAGCACTTCGGCGGGGGAAAGGGGCACGGGGAGGGGCGGCAGTGGGCGGATGGGGAGCGGTACACGCCCACTAGCATCGCCGCTTTGTCGTTTTGCTTTCTGGCTTTTTGTGCAGCCTTCATTGTTATTGCTCCTCTCTCCCATGCACTACAAAATATAATTTCTTCATCTAGAAAGTACTACTTTTTGAAATATTTTTTAATCATAAAATACAAATAATCTGAAAGAATTTGTAAACTATTAAATACATTTTGTAAAAATTATTGTTGTTATTTTTGTTGATAATTTATATATATTTTCCGTTTTTATTTTAATCAACATTAATAATCTTATGTATATAAAATATATATATCATAACTATCTAATTAAATCACCTTTCAGAAGAGATCTTGATGGAAAGCCAATTTTACAAGTAAAATGTTATTTTCGAATATTTTGTTTTGATTTTACTGACACAATCATTTTCTAATAAAAATACTATTTCGAGATATTTTGCTTAAGGGGCTGCACTATTTCTTTCTCTGCTGCCACTGTTATTCTTGTTATTGTTACTCCATTACCACGATCATGGCAGTTAATTTATATTCGATGCATCTCTCGGTCCTTTTCTTGGGGCTTCGATTTTTATACCCTTGCAGAGGGTATTATAATTTTGGTCAAAAGTGTGCAACGCAGTGAAGGAGACATCTCCGACCCTATAAAGTATATATATTCTTGATCAGGATCACCTCCTGAGTTGATATAGCCATGTCCGTCTGTCCGTCTGTCCGTCTGTCTGTTTCTACGCAAACTAGTCTCTCAGTTTTAAAGCTATCGGATTGAAACTTTGCACACACCCTTCTTTCCTTTGCACGCAGTATATAAGTCGGAACGGCCGGGATCGGCCGACTATATCCTATAGCTGCCATATAACTGATTGATCGGAAATGCCATAACTTTCGTGTTTGTAAAGTTAGGAAGTTGGGATTTTCTATGGGTTTTATATTTGGCCAATCAATCCGACCTACCAAATTTCATAAGGATCGGCCGACTATATCCTATAGCTGCCATATAACTGATTGATCGGAAATGCCATAACTTTGGTGTTTGTAAAGTTAGAAAGTTGGGATTTTCTATGGGTTTTATATTTGGCCAATCAATCCGACCTACCAAATTTCATAAGGATCGGCCGACTATATCCTATAGCTGCCATATAACTGATTGATCGGAAATGCCATAACTTTGGTGTTTGTAAAGTTAGAAAGTTGGGATTTTCTATGGGTTTTATATTTGGCCAATCAATCCGACCCACCAAATTTCATAAGGATCGGCCGACTATATCCTATAGCTGCCATATAACTGATTGATCGGAAATGCCATAACTTTGGTGTTTGTTAAGTTAGGAAGTTGGGATTTTCTATGGATTTTATTTTTGGCCAATCAATCCGACCTACCAAATTTCATAAGGATCGGCCGACTATATCCTATAGCTGCCATATAACTGATTGATCGGAAATGCCATAACTTTGGTGTTTGTAAAGTTAGGAATTTGGGATTTTCTGTGGGTGTTATATTTGGCCAATCAATCCGACCTACCAAATTTCATAAGAATCGGCGGACTATATCCTATAGCTACCATATAACTGAACGATTGGAAATGCCATAACTTTGTTGTTGTTAAAGCTAGGAAGTTCGGATTTTTTATGAGTATTAAGAATGCATCATATGAATAATTTTGGAGAATATAATTTACAGAGTATTCTGCAAGGGTATATCAACTTCGGCTCCGCCCGAAGTTAGCTTTCCTTTCTTGTTCGTAGTGTTTTTATCGTTTTTTTTTTCATTTTGAACTTCCTTTTTGATGGGTCGTTGTTGTTGCTGCTGGCGTTGTCGAAGTTGCCGAAGGTCGATGTCAGTCCTCTTCGTCGGTCGTCATTGACGCCTTTTCTTGTACTTAGTCTTCCATTTGCCATGCAAAAACAAAAGACAAAGGCAAGGCAACAATAAACAAGCTAGTACTCTGGATCTAGACATTTCGACTATTGGATACCCGTTTAGTATCAGTTGCCTAACAATTGTAAGTAATTATAAAACGATTCTGGGAATCCATTCTGCAATTATTAACATTTTTTATCTTTTGTATCTTTTCTCAAAACTTCGTGAAAAATCTGCGCCTCGAAATCTATCTGAAAAAGTCTTTCCATTATTGTAAAATAAAGTTTATATACTAAATATATACAGCGAATTTACTTAAATTTTATGTTTGTTTCCATATTCCTATATGGTAATAATATTCGATGCATCAACTTGATTTAGTAAAGCTATTTATTATCCAATATTATACCCTTCAAGTACCGGGTACTAAAACGCAGCACACTTTGGAAGCCCCGCTTTGTTTGGTTTCTATCGTGTAGTTTGTTTTGTTTGACAGTTTCTATCTGGAGGGGCTATCAAGAGTCGGGGCTGGCGAGTTGGAGCTGAAGTTGGACCTGGATCTGCAGTTGGGTCTCCAACTGCAGCCGTGGTTGCTGTCGTTTTGTTTGCTTAATTGTTTGGTTTCCCCCATTTGAATGGAGGTGGAGCCCCTTTGGCAGGGAAAATCGTTCGCTTACTCGAGGTGGGGACGATATTTTCCAGGGAAATAAATTAGCTGATTGAGGATAACCGTAGTTAGTGGCCTGGGTTGGGATCGAATGGCGAATGCAAATGCAAGCGGGTGACGTACAAGTGAATTATCACCTCATACATTGTGTCTCTTCTGGGAGATAGATACCTCCATCTTGTCGTCCTAATGGGGATCTGTGATGATACCATCGGAAACACGATTCGCCCTTGTTTTAATCACACACACAATCATTTTTTACAGTGCATTTTAATCATGTTTTGCTGAAATAAATTTTGTAAGAACTATAATTACACTAGTTTGCAAAAGGAATTGATTTCTTGTAACAATATAAAAGCTTGTGAGATGAATCTTTACATTTTGGTGGTTACTGTTTTAAAACTAGTTAAATAACATCCCATATTATTTTTTAAAGAGCATTTTAATCAACTTCTGCTGAAATCAATATTGTAAAACCTATTATTACACTTACAAAACATATAGATTTTTTTAAACAAAATAGAAGCTTGAAAAACAAATATTTACATCTTAGTGGTTTCTGTTATTTAGCACTAGTTAAATTTACATCTTAAAAAACTAAACAAAAATTCAATTAAATAAATACATAATAAACGATTTTCAGCATCAACCACCGAGACTCGATCGAAAATAAAGTTAAGATCTTGAAAAACGTTAAAACTAAACATATTAAATGCAAGCCACCTTAAGACGCCTTAAGATAGGCAACAGAAGGAATGGCTAGATATAATAAGCATTTGATTCTGTTTAGGAGTACTTTATATGGTCCTCCCTTCTCGCTGTTGTGTCCTTTTGTAAAAGGAAAAATTCTTTATCGATGTTATATTTACATTATAAGAATGTTTGTATAAAATATTGTTTATTTATTCAAACCTTCAAAAAAAGGACGCTTTTGCTAGCCAGTGTAATTATTGACCGGTCTTGCCTTAATATCAGCAGCAAATCAGATCACTTCATAATGATAATAATCACTCAGGAGAAATAACATGCTACACAATGAAGAGTAAATCTTAAGAGCGCCGCTCCCCTCTCCATCTCTCTTAAAGCAGAGCGTGCCAAACAAAATTCATTCATACAACCAGAGTTGTTGTTGTAATCCCCACTTGTCGCTCGCTCTGCGAGAGAGAGAGTGAGAGAGAGCGGCAGAGAAAGAGAACAACAAGGCCCCAAGTGTCGATTGATCAGTTGCTGCTGCACAGTTATTTTTCCAAAGCTCTCGAGTGCGGTTCGATGCGGAAGCTTTCTCGTGGCCCAACCAAACAATAATAACAAACGTAATTTAAACAATTAATCAAAACGCGGCGATCGATGGATATTGTTATTGCGACTGCAGGAGAAATACAGACAGATCAAAATGTTTGTTTAATTGCATGCCAGCCGCAGAAAACCAGCGACGATACGACAAGTGCCAGTGAATTATTGTACTTAATTTAACGTACAAATGCCAAAGCGCAAGTGTGTGTGCGTAGAGTCCGGCAGAGGAGTGTCAGTGTGTGCGTGAGCGGATTTATCAATTGCTCCACATAAAAGTTTTCATTGAAGTGTTTGACAGCAAAGAATTCCAAATTCCAGCGTGGAAGAAGCAGCAACAACGGAGGAAAACAGGGACGCAGCTTAAAACGGTAATTAATACAAACACACTCTTGATTCGGCCATAAACAAATGATTCAGCAAATGTCCGCCGCAGCAACTGTAAATGCAGAGACATTTGATTGAGCCGCAACCGCCACTACAGCCACAATTACAATTAAACTTGCAATTACACTTACATCGACGGGTGACAAAAGCTGTGGCGACGCATGCTTGCAATTAGTGGCTAACTGTTTCGGTCCACCTCTGCCTCACTTCTTCGCTCCACTCTCTTTCAATCTCCCGTGCTCCCTTTGTGCGTTTGTTTCGCGACTCCCCCCCATTTCTACAGCGGAGTCTCGTCAGAGTGACCTATTCCTACGTTTCTTTTTTTGCGATACAGATAGTGTCACTTTATTTTTGAAATTTAAACATTTTATTATTGAAACATCTAAACTTTTTTTTTAAGAATTTGCAGTGCAAAATTTAAAAAATTAAAAAAGTTAGAAACTCTAGTTGCCCTTCAAAAAAATATTGATATCTGTACATAGAAGCTCACCTCTAAGAGCAACGCAAAAATAAAAATTAATTCGTTAAAGAAAATGATTTTCAAGATGTTGCTATTAAATTTATATTTCTTCGAACTTTAAATAGCACTTTGAAAATCGGTAACAAATTTACTGTAAAATAAAACAAATTTAACAGCGTATATTGGAGTGGTCCTTAAAAATTGCCTTTTCAAGTCAAGGTTTGTGTTCCTGCTTCAACATTATTGATCGTTAGCATTTTCACATAATATTCTTAAAAATCTTGCATTACAATGCATTTTTAAAATTTTTAAATAAAAAGATCTCCTTAAAATAGGGAAGCATTTGTTTTCAACCAAAAATGTGTTTATTAGAGTTATAAAGGAACACAAAAAGATTTCGTATCTTGCAAATAAAACCGTATGTATCCCAAAGCAATCAAAGCGAATTGTTCTAAATTTAATAGTGAATGTGAACGCTGTGGGCCTGGTCCACCTGTACTTTGCTAGGCTTTTATGGTCATGCCGTGGACATTTTCCAAAGTATTATTTGCCATTTTGTCGCTTTCATTAATTGGCCTGCCGGTGAAACGGCTACCTGTCCCCTCTTGTAGATTTTGTTGTTGTTTCGCCGTGGCTCTCTGCGGAACGGTAAGTGCAAATTTAACGCTCTCTCCGCGGGTCTGTTTACAATCCTCTCCGGCACTATCTGTTGCTCTACACAGGAAGAAGAATATGTATTTTACACATCAATTTAAACAAAATATATTAATGCAAATTGAAATATTCTTGCGATATTTCCATTTATTTACTTCTACATTTACAATTATCAAACAGGAACAAGTCCATTATTCCAACTTACATGAACATATATATAATTTTTAACTTTATTATAATATCAAAATTATATTAAAAATGTTCATATTTATTTGACCTGCGATTTACATATGTAGGATTTGATGTAGGGCGGTTTTGTTTTGTGTGTAGTCGTCTCGAGCACTTGTTGCTTGTTCATTGTTTTTACAGTTTTTAAGTGGCGCTCATATCCGGCGTTTGTGGTTGTTGCTGTTTTTTATTTTTACTTTTTTGCGTTTGCTTTTGGGCCTGATAAGCGCACTCACCTTCCCCCTCCCCAACTCCCCAATTGTTTTTTTTGTATCTTGGCTTGCCGTTTTTGTTACAGTTGTCCTAAGTGAGTATGTGTGTGCACTCTACCTGCATTTTATTTGCATTTCGCATTTTTGATTACAACATTTTTTATGCGCTTTGCACTTTTTCTCTTCACCGATTCGCTGGCCTTGCCTTTTCGATTTTACCTTTGTTTTTTTTTTTTTGTAATTAAGTTGTTCTAAACCTTTGTGATTCAGTTAAAGGTTTTTGGCCGTAATGTCCAACTGTTTCTGGCCCATGGCTCATTGAATAATTGCCTAACTGGAACATGTTTTCACTTTAGACCCTTTTTTGTGAAGTTTTTTATTTTGTTTAATTACACTTAAATACACTTGAACCTTTAATTTATTTATTAAAGCCGCAATTAAAGCCTAGCTCTGAACTGATGTCCATAAATTTAATTAAAATTTAACTACAATTAAATTTGTTTCCTCATCGCCAGGCTTTACGTTTATTTCAACAGTTATTTTTAATTTGATTTGGATTTTAAAAAAATCTTAATAAATATAAAAACAGCTTTGTATTCATTTTAAAATCTACATTTGAGGTCAACGTATGAAATATGTTTTTAAATAAGTTTGTATACTTTCTGTCAATAAATACAAATTTATTTTGAATACTTTCTGTCATAATTTATTACTTCACAAAATTTTAATTAGAGTTCTAGCAGTAAAAACGGAACTCAATAAAAGCCAATCGAACCAACCGACGAATTACTTATTTATATCCGAAATGTACAGAATTATTCTCATATAAATCACATTACTTTTTACATAGCTGATGTGTACCAATTTTCGAAGGTTTTCCCTGAGTTCGTGAAGTCATATTAACCCCCATAGGAGACATAAGGCCATCTGTTGATTAACCGATCTCAGAGCGAATGCATTTTGTTTGCCCGGTTGCAGTTGATGTCTCAAAGTTCAGAATGTGAAAAAACACATTTCGGTTCGCGTTTAATTAAAGTTCAGCACCTCACTCAACCCACTCGACTAAAATCACGACATTTGCGATCATTAACACAGGCGCACAGCCACAGAAATATAGGCACACATGCGATCGAGTGTGGGCGCCCAGATCGGCACTCGATCATCTGTGGAAGCTGGGACAGACAAAGTGGATGCTTTATGGAGAAATATGATTTCATGTGGCGGCTCGAATCAAACAAACAGCGAACCTAAGCAGAAACAACAGCAAGCAATATTGTGGTGCTGCGGTCAGTGATTAACCTTAGGTTCAAGCAGCGATCTTTGATCTGTCAAAAGATCAAATTATGAAAAAGTACTACACGTCGGCGAAAAAAATCAGGGACCATAACAAAACGCGGCCGATCGGCTCAATTATGGGAAGTGATCTTCGCATCGAAAAACGCTGACCGAATATGGCGAGTACATAAAGTAAACTTCAAGTTACCCCTGCTTCGAGGATTGCTGAGATCGCGGCGGCGGCAAGTTCATGTGACAAAAATGTCACAGTCAGCAAGAAACGAAAAGCCGAAGCCGATCGGTTTACTCAACTCCCAAACTCATCTCATACTGAAACAAGAGGGGACCGATCTTCTGCAAACAAAAGAAAAAAGTAAAGAACGCCCTCATTGCCCTCAAAGTGATCGTCACTTGCTTTTTATTATTATTATTATTATTTTTCCGCTTTATTTCGGGGAGAACGGGTTATGGGATGATGAAGTGGCTGCGCGGCGGAGGTTCGTTTGTCTTCGTCAAATATTTACTTTGGAGTCCGCTAATGACATGAAACGGCAGAGCTGCCAAGGGAGACGGCAAAATTGTGATTTGAGCCGCAGGAAACTGTTGAATTTGTTATTATTAGCATTTATTTTTTATATTTTACGATTCCAGCTTGGGGATTTTCTTTTTGTTTTTTGGTCGGCGGGACCTTTATCAAGTGACAAGAGAGTTTGTGAGGTAAGCAGTTATGTGCCTGATTATATGATGATACCTGAGCCATTTCTCACCCTCGACGTGTTTTTGCGATACACTTTTCAATGAGCTGGCGAATTCCATTCACAAATCGTTGCCTAAACGGAAGTTGAGACTTCTCGAAAAGGTCAGAAAGATTTTCCAGAATTACTTAAAATTCAGACTTAAAATCTCGGTCTTCGTTTTCAATTCCAATGAAAATAGAGTATTCCCTAGGTAAGCAGAAACGATATGGATGTTTCATCAGGGCTGTGCGTGATTTTTCATTAATCTAGTCTACATTTGACTTTGTGTGACGTTGGTTTGTTACCATTTTTATCGAGCTAAGCTTTTTGGTTCCAGTCGCATAAATTATCATTGGATAGCTTGACCAATCCAAGCTTTGGCTAAGCAGTTTAAGATTTAATGTTCATTAAATGTTTTTAATTTTACTATAAATATCTGACTGTTTCTTTGCTTCTTTTATGGCTTATAGCAAAAACGTGTTAATGCTTGCATATATTTTTAATATTTTGGTTTTTGTTTTGGTTTGGTATTAAATATAAATATTTATATGTAGGCTTTTTGTATTTCTTTTATGACTTACAGGTTTTGTTTTGTTCGGGTTGGGATTGGATTTCGTTAATCTGAGCGTGTTTGCTTCGGTAGGTCAAGAGTTGAAAGATGGTCCAAGATAAGTGGGTAAGATGTGAGCTTGTTCAACTGCTAAAATATACAGTTCGATGAGATGGGGGTCAATGGGAATGTGGATCATGCTTATATTGCGTGTTGGAAAAGCAGATCTTTACGTTTTATATGATTGTTTCAAAATATTGTTTTGGCAACAAAACCGCCATGTTAATGCAAGGAAATACTCATTGATAAAGTCAGAATCAAAAGATAAATATATTAAAGAGTTGTTGAAGAAAGGACGTTTTGCTCTTACAACCATATAGAATAATGAAATTCACAATAAAATACAATCACCTAACGATGTATTCAGCTAGCGATGGCAATGACAATACATATAAGGATATTTGTGAGCCTTCGCGTCTCCACTTTCCGATCTTGCAGCACGCAAACAACACGTCAGTCATGACCATAAACACTTTGGCTGTCCGCTTCCGCCTCGTTTATATTTGACCTCCATTCCCTGGGCCTTTGCAGGTGTCACTTTTCGAGTACAGTTGCCACACGACCGACCTGACCCCTCGAGCTGGCCCATAACGATCTTTGTCGTCTCGACCAGCACTTCTCGCCTTAAAAGTTTTCGCTCGTTCGTTGATTTTGTAGCTGCCATGTTTTTGACTCACATCCCCGGCGACAGGCTTCGCCTAAACTGGTGCAAAAAATGAAGAAAACATGCAAAAAAAAAAAAGAAACAGCTGAACCCAACACGCTGATGCTGCCCACACGCCTCGACATCGACTTGACTTGACTCGGC